TTTCGAAATTTGAAAAACGCGACGCCAAGAGATTGAATCCCAGGGAAAGGGTTCAAAATATCTTCGAAATTTGAAAAAACGCGAATCCAAGGAATTAAATTCGAGAGAAAGGGCTTAAAATCAAAAATTTTGCGATCTTAGCACCTCAAACGCACGGAATTCAACCCGAAAACGGCGGCAAAATGTGGAAAGTTTTCGAATTTTGAAAAATGCAAATCCAAGAAATTGAATTGCAGGGAGAGGGCTTAAAATCAAAAATTTTGGGAGTTTAGCGCTTCAAACGCACGAAATTCAATCCCAAAACGACAGCAAAACGTGGAGAATTTTCGAAATTTGAAGAATGCAAATCCAAGCACGAAGCTGAATTTCAGCGGAAGGGCTTAAAGTCCAAAAGTTTTGGGATCTTAGCGCTTGACTTCAAACGCACGCGATCCAATCCGCAAACGATGGCAAAACGTGGAAAATTTTCGAAATTTGACAACGCATATCGCTTACATCTTTGCCTTGTTTATTTTCTTATTTTGGGGAGGAGGAGGATCCTAGTGGGAGGGATGTTATCGGACGCTCCAAGCTAGTAATATCTACTACCAGGAGCTGCTACTAACTATAGATATGGCCATCCACCATAACAACAAAAAGTCGTGTCTGCTGTGCGTTTGCGCGAACGCCTGCATCGCCGACAATACCAATAGCCAACCCAGCAGCCAGAGAGCTCATTCCTACTGTCAACCCGGCTCCGAGGTGAGCGAATCTGATGTTGATTTATCGTTGTTTTGGTGTTTTATCTATGGAGTAGTTCAGTAAGTATTAGTACTAAGTAGCTACTAAGGTTTTATCTATGGAGAGAGTAGTTCAGTTAGTATTAGTAAATAGCTAGAAGTTGTACCCTTGGTAGGCGGAGTATTTCGCTGGCTCGTTGAGTTTTTCGTTGATAATGACGGAAGTGATGAGGCCGTAAATTCCTGTTTTGATTTTTGTGAAGATCGTAGAAATTTAGCGGGATTTTTTTCTCAAACCTTCTGCGCACAGAACCTAGCTAAGAAAGTCCATGTCCATGTCCAAGAAAGTCGATTATAAGAAGTTGTTGTACTTAGAGCCCTAGCGAAGAAAGAGATAAACTTGACAATTTCACATTCTTTCAAATTGAACAAATAGCAATACCCAAGACACCTGCCATGACAACAGGTATAATTGATTTCATCATCAGTTCCGGTCGCAACACACCCATGCTCATGATTCCGACACCGCTCTTCGCCGTTCCATATGCAGCACCTAGGAAAAGAGGAGAAGGATTCAACACATTGTTTGTTGCATCAGACAGGATCATCCAGAAGACGATACAGAACTCGTAGTGGTAGTCGTGTACCCATTCATCAACAACAAGATACGACTCTACTGGCGATCTTTATTGCAGTACCAAGATTGGCAAAAACAATCGCTGATGTGACTCCCATGAAGCCAAAAAAGCTGCTGGTAGGATCGCACGCAACAACCGTCATTTTTGCTTCCTTGTTGTTGTTCCACAAGAATGAAAGCTTACTTGATCTTACACAACGACAAGGTTCTTCTGTAGCCGTACGTTTACGTAGCCTTAGATACCACCCAAGCTCCTAGCCTTGATTGCCTATTTCTTTGAAGAAAATACCTAGAGAACCAGACTTCTTCTATAATTCTAAGTCTAACGAGATGAAAGTAGGTAGATGAATACGCAGTTAAATTCCGTTTCAGGTCTACTTCAACTGCTATCTCCTTTACATCGTTGCACCACGTATGCAATAAGTAGTGCTGGTGAGTGATACACGTTGTAGATGTAGTTGCACTAGGTATAACAACTACTCAGACACTTCTGCCCACGTGCTAACCGACGGCGAAAGGACACTACAAACAGAAGGTCTTTAGACTTGTCACAAAAAAGGTAGATTTACGGCTTGTGAATTCGGTCACACTCCGTTTCACACCTCTTCCTCGCGGCAATCTGGATTCATCCTTCATTCTGTCTCTACATCTTGAAAAAAAGCCATGGATGATGTTGTTCTCATAGTAAGGAAAAAGTAGCTAGGCCTGCGTCGCTATAGTGGTTGACGTCGTATCGCACGAACCCAAGAACACTTCAGAAGCATGAGTGCTGGACAAGTGCAAGTAGTGATACCTTTGCTATAATACTTGATGCGGAGGTTCTTTTGTTGAGTCACGCAGATGTTCCGTTGATTACTTAATCAGGTTCTTTTGTGCTCGAGTGATACGGTGAAAAATGATTACGTATTCGGAGGTTCTTTTGTGTGATTTGACATTGATACGATGAATACTAGTTGAGGATGAAAGTAAACCCAAACCCTTGAAGTCATTGCACGACAAAGCGTCGTGGTCTGCGGACAGGTCCACTACTGAGGGATCGCGGATGACTGGGCGGTCGCGGCACTAGCGGCTGGCTTGAAGGTCCGAAGGCGCTCGTTTCCTCGTCGAGTTGTACATTCTCTACTTGTTAGAGATCGAGATGAAAACGAAATCCTGAAAACAAGGATCACAAACAACATAATTTCCGGCGAAGGAATGAGTCATTTCAAACGTTAGTATGGTCTTTCTTTACTTATTTGCGTTTGTTTGTAATTTATCAAAAAAATTTAACAACTCCGACATAATGTTTATCACGACTGCCTTCCCCCGTTTGCCTGCTTTGTGGAATCCAAGAAGGTGCATCTTGGTTTTTATCTGGTTTTGTCCCCATGTTTACCGGTAATTTCGGCAATGGGGATCGACCACGTTGTTGGTCTGTAGACGCGTCAACAAGCCGTCTCGGAAAATTGTCCCCAGGTCTTGCGCGAATCGATACTAATGATGCTGCTGTCTGAGGCTGAAAATTCGAGAGATGATTACTGAAAGAAGGTGGAAATTCGAATTTGGCCTTCAAAACTGGAGAAGGTGGACGTGGACCTTTTGCATTTAAAACTGGAGAAGGGTTCGGGTTCATTATCGGCGTTGAAGAGGGGGGCTGCGCCTGGAAGTTATTGAGATTGACTCTCGCGGAAGCCGAAGATACTGTGTCATCTGTTGGCGGAGGAGCTGACGACATTGCTGTTTGCTTGACCTCTGGAGCTGAAGATACAACTAGTGAATGCTTCTTTAGTGTCGCGGAAGACACTGCGTTATCGGCTTTGGGACGAGCGTCAGGTTTCTGGCCGTAAATTCCTCTAGAAAACGCCTGCCCCTGAGGATCCCGGACCTGTTGTTGAAGATCTACTTTCCTCGTAGTTTTACTTGGAAAATTAATACGGTATGTCGAAGATGAACCAAGATCAGCAAGCATTTGGTCTAAAGCATCGCCACCACTCACCAGTTCAGAGATCTTTTTATCCGTAGTCGATTTCCCACGAGTAGCAGGTCCAGCAGTTGCATGCTCCACACCATTCTTCGCATTGTAAGCAGATCCTCCGATTGTACTAGCTGTATTTCTATTTGGATCGTTTTCCTTGTCGTCGCTCTCGTCTCGACCATGGGGCTGCTGAACTCTTCTAGACCTAGAGGTCTTCTTAGTTGTATCCTCATTGTCTGGCACTGGCAGGTCTTCATTCTCAGCCTTCAATATTGTAGAGGTTTCGTCGTCCGTTTTTCTACTAGAAGGATAATCCACTATAGGATCCACTATAGGAGATGCAGACGCGGTCTTTTCAGCATATGTTGAAGTGGCCTCCTGTTGACCACGATTATAATCCACTAGAGGAGATGCAGACGCGGTCTTTTCAGCATGTGTTGAAGTGGCCTCCTCTTGACCACGATTTTTGTCCTTCACGCCAACAACGTCACGATCAAGGCAATCCCTCTTGACGACAGTGTCCTCGTCACATCCGTCGACCCCAAATCCACATAGACGTTGGAATCGATATTAGAAAGATATTACATGAATTGCAAAAAATCACATCAACATCAGTCAAACCGTATTTGCTCATCTATGCATCAGGCCCTACCCCGAGCGACGACGCAAAAAATCAAAATGAGCTTATTAGGCGAAGAACTGAGTGCTTGAAAACGATGCATGTACACCTAAGTCATTCCACAAGAATGCAGCAAACATCGCATAGTACGTAATAGAAACCATAAAGAGACAGTGAACGACTCAACCAACAATTCTCAGGAACAATCGGCAACATGGCTTTCACCACCTCCAAATGCGCAACCTCTCCACCAGCACCCGTGACAGACGTAGTTGCGAAAGTAATTTTATCAGGATTGCTCTTTGCGTCTCTGTTAGAGATGCAGAGGGGAGGACGAGAGTCGTCGGTGGATGAATTTATTAGTCCACTCACAGTACTAGATATCATCTGCGTTGACCAGGATTCGCCTGAATCGTAAAAGCTCCTTTAGCATTTTTCTCTAATTGTCCATGTGCCAGTCACATCGACCTGCTTTATCCTTTTCAAAATTGCAACTACTCGAATTCTTTTTCACAGACTATCACACCAGTGCACAATCGGAAACGGGAAGTCTAGCGACAACAAGTAGCGCGTAACATATTCCCCTGCCGCTGATCCATCAGATACAACATCGTCAGCCAACAGTACTAGATGGGTTCTGGGACAATGGAGCATCACTACCCACGGACCCGATTTCGTATGGTCTTCGGAGGATCCTCGAGAGATAGAACTTACAATGCTTTTCTGCCTCCATCGAAAGACGGATACAAGTGGTGCTGGAGGGATGTTGTTGTATTAGAACGTGCTGTGTATTTTAGAAAACTGATCCATATGATGTTGTTTGAAGGGATAAGCCTAAGGATAGAGGTGAAAACTAACCGGTTGTTTTACTCTAGTGCTTTAAGCGTCGCTGGACCTAATCTAAACTTGTTGGTACTACTTCTAATCTATTATATATTGGGGAAACGATAACCTTAACCACCGTGAGTTTCCAAAGTCGGCTCGTGTTCTTCATCTTTCTTGTCGCCCGTAGCAGGTGAATCCAGGTGCAATAGGGAAGCAGATGCGTCGGCTAGCTTCTTGCTCAATTCTGGGTCTAATAGGGCTCGCGTGACGAATCCAAACAGTCGTGATGGCTTGGGATTAGTCTTAGATGAAAGTACTGTCATGTACTGCGGATAGGCGCTAACTTAAGGATATGCGAGACAACGAAAGTACTATCATGTAAGTAGTTCTAGTTTTTTCTTTAGAAATAACTGCGAAATGCTGATTGCGCTGAGCTAGTTTCTTCTTCCATCTGCTCTAGCCGTAATTTCCCCGCCCCCCTTCATCCCACTCTCTGGTACTCCAACGCCTGTCGAACCAGCACCGTCTGCAGATTCTTGGGATCTTTTGTTGACTTGTTCTACTTCAGCTTTAAGAGTTAATGTGTCCTCCGAATCCTGAAAACCGCGAGAAAACCATGATATTTCCCCGTATCCTGGCGCAAGCACTGACGCGAGGCCGTCGAGGTCTTGTCTTATGGTGCTGCTAATCTTGTGCTCGAAAAGGGGCTTTTAGGATTAGAAAAGTTTACTTATATATTTATTCGTTCACAATTTATCTCCCATGGCGTTCTGCATTCGACATCTGTCTCAGAGTCAGGCTAAGGCTGAAGGGTGGTATGGAAACTGAGGACGAACCATTCTAAAAAATAGGAATGCACCAAATTTCATCAAAAGCCTTTCAAACCTTAAAAGTAGTCTCGCTTAGTGTCACTGCCTGCTCCAGAAGAGCCTTTTCCAGAAGTAGCTACATTTGGAGCCGCGTAGGATTGCGCAGTGTATGAAACAGCTTCTTTCTCCGCACTCGCATTCGATTCTGCGATCACTTTCCTCAAAAACTCTACAGCCAACAGATCAGGTGTGCGAAGGAGACAGAGCTCGACAAAGAAACGCAGCCGAGGGGAGATCTGCATTACTTGTTGGCTTTGGCTTTAGAAGGAGTCTGGTCAAGCACATGCTACATTTCTTGTGGGTAGAATAGAAACTACGCACGACTCGGCTTCCATATTCAGCAGACGACAAATGCATGTCTGTAGTACTCTCACAAAATCTTTCTGTATCTGTCGTACTAGACCATTAGCAGGATCATCTTCCATCTATCATAAGTCTCGTTCGGCCACGACAACGCCACCAAGTACTGGGATCGCGTCAGGATTGAAAAAATCCTTGCAGAAGTGCCAACTCGGAATAACCTGTTCTCCTTCGATAGGAACAACGACAACCCAGCCAAGAGCGACCCCATGGCTTGTTGCTGGTCCGCCGTCTGGGTGGCGAGGAAAGTTAGGTGAGTCAAAGAGGCAAGTCACAAGGAGAAATCTTCTTCCTTCGAAGCATGTCGTGAAGGATCTTCTTCATCACCTTCATCTAAAATCAACATCTGCACAGCGATATCAAGCACTATATTAGATAACGTAGTTAGTGACCCAGCATAAGGAAGCTTCCTTCTCTTCGTCCGCCGTGTGTACCACATCATCTGGTCCCTGTTTTGCTTTTGACTTGACAAGTGCAGCATAATCGACAATGCGTCCAGCGGGCAGCGCAATAACATGCACGTAGTCGGCTATGAGCTCTACAAACTTTGATGTGTCGCTTGAGGATGCGGGATCGGAGATGATCTTCTTCAGACATTAGAAGAGGTGTCGATGGGAGGTGTCGAAGGTTGTGAGGACCTGAAGTGCGTCTCAGACATAAAAAAAGGTGTCGTCAAGACGTATCAGAGTTCTTGTGACTTGATGAAGTATGAAGTTGAAGATGTCACTCACGTATTATGAAAAGCTACATCCAATGGATTATACTTAAAAGAATCTTAATTTTCAGCGACGGACCTGGAGAAAAACATGTTTGCGACACCTCCATCTGCGCCAGTTGTCGTAGCACCCAGCACTGGTCTCAAATTATAACTACTCGTTGTTGCAGAAGAACATGATCTCTCTTTCTGTTATCATCTCAGTCTCACGACCTCAAGATCGCTAGGTGATCTACTTCAAGACTAAGCTCTCCTTGTGTAGCAACACTTACCGGTATTATCCCACACGACAGCACACCGAATAATATTCTCTCATGATAGATCGAACAACATGTCGTGTGTGCGTTCCTGATGTTGCTGTTCATCGTATTGACTGAGTGGGTAGCAAGACTTTTGTACTTTTTGTTGCTTCTGTGCAATCAAAACCGTTCCATCAGTTCATTTTTCAAAAAAATTGTCCCTTGACCGGAGGATCGGCGGATCCAGAGGTATGACAAGAACAAGTAGGTAGACAAGGTCTGTCATGGTCATGGTGGCGCCTTGACGTGTTGATTGGCTGTTTGAATTTGATCCAGTGCTTCAAGCATTATTCTTGCTGCCCAGTCCAATCTCAGCCGGTTCTCGCTATGTGTCATTCACTCGCTATGTGCCCTCGCAAACTTGCGCCACTTCTAGTTGTTCTCTTCGTGACGCACTACGGCGACGCGCTGGTGAGAGCGACACCAGATGAAGGATTCTAGAAGCAGCAGGAATCCCGAAGATCCTGAGACACGACGACTGGTGAGTATGCCAACGCAAAACCGCAAATATTTGTGGGAATATTATCGTCTCAGACGGCCCTTCGTCTCCGTCGTACTCGGATCTGAGCGCCGTCGTACTTCAGCGCCCCATGTCGTCTGGCCTCGGCGCTCACTCGCAGCTGATGATTCCTATCGGACCTCGGATTCAGATGTTCCCATAGTCCTTACGCGTGTTCGGCTCGTCTCAGATGTTCTCATATTCCTTTCGCAAGGCTTCGTATCGCTCAAGATCTTTTGCCGTCACCGAACAAACAGTACTTGCCGCAGCTTGAAGAAGGTGACTCTTGCCCACGTCAACGCGAAGCAAGGCTTGTGCTAAAGCTTGCTTGGCGGCTGGATTGAAAGGGGTTGAGAGGGAGGTATGGAAAAGATGGTTTTTGGGTTTACCACACCCGGAGACATTCTTCAGTAGCATCCGATAAATGAGAGGCGGTCAATCGCCAGCTGCAGCTTAGCAATTTTAATGTTTTCTTGATGAAGATTGTGATTTAACTATGGATCTATCGCACGATGAAGAGTGCTGCTATCTTCACCATGATCAACAATCTCCTTGGCCTTAGAATTCAAGAAACGATCCTTCACCACGATCAACAAAATTTGATTTACAACTAGAAGTACCTTGTGTATACTCCTCTTCTCGCTCTACCTTGACGCCACGTACGTGCTCAGCTATCCGGTTCCACATGTCAGTCGAGAGGTCATCAGAACCAGCACTCGCGACTGCTGTACTATGCGCTTCAATTCGCAAGAGCAATCCTGTGACGCGCTTCTCATCGCCACGGATATTAGAGGATTCCGCGCCTCACGCATTTCTGTCACTCTATAGTTACCCAGCTCTCGTCCAATCAACTAGGTATCCGATCCCGTAACACAAAGATCCTCTTGAATAAACGCCACCCTCTCTCCGAGAGCTTCAACTGCTGCTGTTTGGGCCAACCCCGCGATGTCCGCAGGCGACATTTCTGGTGGTAGTGTTTTGGCAACCTCCCGCAGAACTGCTTCTTTGCTCGTATCTTCCAAGATATGAAGGAGCAGGAGGGTGGGACAACTGAGTAAAAAAAGCTACTTAATAAAGGTGAGCTTATCCTGGAAACCAGAAAAATCCTACGCGAATGAAGCTCATCCTCTTTCGAAAAAAAGGACATCAAAGACAAAATCGTCATAATTTGACCCCTCCTTCTCTGCACTCGTCCCACTAATTTCGTCACCTCTAACGACGAAGTTTCGACAACAGGCGGATAACACTGGGTACTTGTCCTCTCGGTTGATGCCCAGGTAAATTTTGCGGTCCAGTCTGCCTGGACGCAGCAATCCGTTATCCAACAGGTCTGGGCGATTCGTTGCTGCTAGCAGAAACAATTTTGGTGGCATGTCATCCAGTTCTGTGGTGAGTGCGGTGACGACGCGATCCATCACACCGCCAGAATCAGAACCCGTTCCCCTTGCAGGAGCCAGAGAGTCTAACTCGTCAAAAAACATGACCGCAGGAACAGCCTCACGCGCTTGCAGAAACACTTTTCGAATATTATGCTCGCTTTCGCCGATGTACATGCTGAGGAGTTCGGGACTTTTCTTAGAGAGGGTGTGGGTGAGTGTTGTACTACTACTACTAGATAGAGATGCTACTTCTAGAGAGAGCTTTTCAGTTATTATAAGTAAGTACCGTTCTTCTTAACTTTCACCGATATAAAAGTGCACTCTTGTTCCGCAGCTACTGTTCGCGCCAGCAAAGTCTTTCCCGTTCCTGGAGGTCCGAAAAGCAGTGCGCCGCTCCTTGGTTTGCTACCTGCAAAGTAACGCTCGGAACTTGACTTAGACAGAGACGTTTCGACGATGATGTTTGGTTTTGGTGAAGACTTCATAAGCGACTAATTCTAGTTTGATCAAAGAAATAGCGCTTATGCTACCTACCTAGAAGTAGGTACTACCTACCTCGGAGTACGTACTAACAACCCAGGAGCAGTAGCATCATCTTCATTTTCGCCAGCGAAATAAATCAGAAGAATTTGAATCAAAAGTAACTACAGAACATCACACCCATAACCTTCGACAAGGGGAATTCTATCAACGCTTTGATCTCTTCTATAGCGCGTTCCATTCCACCTATGTCGCGCCAACTGATATCCTTCCTAGTCAATTTCACCAAATTCGTTTGTGTCCCCTTTTGCTCTACGTAGCAAGCCCGTGCCTCTTTCAATACGGCGTCGATGACGGACAGGACGTTGATGAGATTTTTAGCACTAGTACTAGAATTGGGTCGTGAGAGTGAGTCCTCTTTAACGTTAGTCGTTGAGAAAACGCGTGCCTCAGCTCTTGTGGTAAGCTTTGGTGTTTCGACTTCAGAAAAAAATGTAGAATCGTCCGGTTCTGAATCCGAATAGGAATAGCCGGAATCATCCGTGCAAGGACTGCAGAGTGCAGCAATGACACGGACAGCCGCACACTCGAGGTCTGCAAAGGAAAATCCGGCGGTTTGTTTTAGAATTGGTGAAAATTATACATAGTATCATCAATAGATCTATCTACTTAAATACGCATCAGGATCAGGAATAAGCAGTGGAAATTACAATTGGTTTTCTAAATGTGTTGTCGCAGTCTTAACTTCTCAGCCATGAGCTTCCAGATAGTTTCCAACTTCTGCCATTTGCGCGAGCCTTCTTTTATCAGTTTCTTCTCCATCGAAGACTGTTTGTAGACGTTATTCAACACTGCTGAACTTGACTGCACGTCCTTCCGATTATTGAAGGCTGTGGCCAGTACTCCTGCAACACCGGTTTGAAAGAAGTCGACTGGTAAGGCGGAGAGAAGACAGCGACGCAGGATGGCTGATCGCGAAAGTTCGTCAGGAAGCCTGAATTCTAGGACACGACAACCAGGCAAGTCGCTCAAAGCAGCTGCGCCAGGAACGTGATCTTCACAACTCAGAAGCAAGGCAAAGGGGATTTTCGAGGTTGGTTGAGGGGTGTTTCCCAGCATGCCAAAAGGTGGCACGACCAGTTTTTGGTTGCAGAAGGGTTAGAGGCATAATGTTCTGGTGATGGAAATAAGGATTTATGACGTGGTGAGGAGGTCCTTAGAACCGCTGCAGGCTCATAGTCGAGCATTTATAATCTGATCATGATCAAGCGCTGTTGTGAATCCGTCATAAAGATATCGAAAAGCCGGCTCTACCACTTCGCGTATATACCTCAGAGCACGGCGTATCGCGGCCACCTGCCTCCGCTCCCTTGCTTCGCCATTTTCTTTCTCATTTTGTGTTTTAAAAAGACGATCGCATCGTCTTAAGTGCAATAAAACTGGTACAAGGTCGGGAGGGGCAAGTCGTTCTTCTTCTAGGGCATTAGTATCGGCGGGATTGGCAGACTCAGCTTCCTCTGCACCAGACTTCTCCTGTTTTGATTTTGAAGCATCACCAGCGCCATTGCCGCCAACAGTCGAAGCTTCTCGAGCATCCCCAGCACTCTTTGCGGCTGCAGTCTTGTTCGCAGAAGCAGCTTGACGGTCTTTTGCTTTCCCCTTCCTCCTTTTGTCCCGCTCAGCCGCGTCTGTGATCCACGTGAATTGGCGCATTACTAGACCTTCTAGCTGGTTCTCTAGACTTGAGAAGTCAGTCTGGCATGCAATGTGGACCTCTCGGTAGGTGTATCCCAGCATTTGTGCTAAGGCAGCTGGCAAACCACGTTTACCCGAGTTCCGCGGACCAGTCGCGAAAATCACGTTGCTGTATGGTGCTGTCTCGCGGGTCGTGGACGATGTTGATGGCATAACTGAACATTGCATTAGAGGACGAGTCGTTACAATGGAATCAATCCAAACACTCTGGGACAATAAATTCAATCTAATTCTAACAATCTAATTCTAATGATCACCAAGCAAACAAGAGCGCAAGCCTTAACTTCATCGCCGTCATCAAGGCCTTTGCATTTTCCTGCAGGCAAGGCAAACCCAACAGCGGTTCTACGCCAGAGAAATGCTTCAGTGCGTCCGGTACGAATCCGGAAACGTTTATCTCTTCCGGCAGAAGATCTAGCGCTGCAGTGCTGCCAAGATGATCCTGTTGGGCTGTCGAGGAGCAAATCACAAGTTTCAATCTCCGGATCCTTCCCAAGTTTCTGCGTCGAAGGACATCATTGAGTGCACACACATCCCCAGGTGGCGCGATCTGCGTGTCTGTGTCCGGAAAGAAGGCTAGACCGGCATCCACATCATCGCCGTTCTTGGTCCGCAGACGTACAACGCGGAAGCTAGTGGTATGAGCGAAACTATGCCCCCAGACGGGATGCGGGAGGACTTTCTTGCTGCAGAAGGTTCCTCCAACACGCCCAGCAAAGACGTGACCACCATCATTACCTGGCGTCGCTCGTTCGTTGGTTCTGCTCAAAGAACTACTATTAGTTAGACTCAGCTCTAATCCATCTTGGTCCCCTCATCTCGACCCCTTTAACCTTGTATTTCATGAGAATACAAGGGGGAAGGGGATCAAAATGCCGAGAAGGGTGGATAAAAGCTAACCATAAACTAGAACTAGTACTGGCACTACTGTCTTCTAAAAACGTCTTCCTCAGCAGTATTTCCTGTTCCTTGTTGTTGTTCTGTCGCGGGAAAATGGCGTCACAAACGGATTCTCCGACACCCGCAATGTGGCGGAGCGTAGCCTGCCAGTGTGCATCTATAGGATAAATCATCCCCTCACGCTCCTCTTGTTCGGCTTGCCGTTTGTTCTTCGTCGCCCTTGGCGCCCAAGGCATCCGCTTCGCCGTTCCTGTTGTAGTCGAGGAAGCGCTAGACGTAGTTGCATTTGCTTCGCGATGTTGATCAGTAGCATCTTTAGCTGTTACTGAAGATGTGGGTGTAAGAGAATCACCCGCGTCGTCTTGTTTTGTTTCATCCTGGAGCTGTGGTCGCCTATCCTCTAGTGCACCACAGACCCCATCCAAATTAGATCCTGCTTCAACATCAGCCAACAGCAACGGAAACCAAGCCGAACCTGAGGAAGAGGACGAAGACGAGGAAGTAGATAGACCCTGACCCTTTGCAGCGGCTTTTGATTTCACAGCGATAGTGGAAGACATTGCTGTTTTTGCAGAAGACCGCTGCAGGACAATCGAACTTCCTCCGCAAGGTCTGCCACCCCGTTCCATTGTCAACACTTGGTCCATGCTTGCCGGGTACTGGCGGCAGGGTACCGTGATCACTTCGCCCAGCGAGACGCAGCGCGGAACACAACTCAGAAACGTCTGAAAGGCGTCTGAGATGTAGTTCTGAGAATCGTCGTCCAACGGTGGCCCAATCATCTGCACTGATAGCTGCGTGATTTCGTTCACCTCGTCTTCAGAAATTGGAGTCATTTGCAGGTAGCCGATTTTTCCTATGCTGCTGGGTCCAGGCGCGGATGGTGCAGCTTGTTCAGCGCCTGGAACTGCACCTTGGATAGCAAGAGCAGGTTCGTCCGGATGGGTTTTCTCTAAGTCCGGACGAACCTGCTCTTCCGACCCCAGCAACATGAACCATGATATCCCTTCGGCGTCGCTGCGACCGACCAAGTTGTGGTGTAGTTGAGCAGACAAAAGCACCTCTTCATCGGACACTGTAGCCAGAATTCGGATGCAAGCCAGCATTTTGCAACAACTGGCTGTTGCAGTCGGCACTGGTCGCATTGGCCCTTCTGCCGAAAATTCCGAAACTCCAGGAGAACATGCGAGAACCGCTCCACAGGAGACCGAGAAATACCTCCGTTCTTGTATATTAATCTCTCGTAGAAGCCTTGTGTAAGTAGCCGGAGAGACGAAGATCTCGTGTAGGGTATCGCGCAGGAAATCTCCTGTGGGTACGTGTGCATGCGGAGGAAAGCTCGACTTGCTGACTCGCAGAAGGAGATCCTCTCTAGAGTTGTCTAGCCCGTTGTCCATCTTTTTGTCAGTCTCAGGGGAAGGGGGCAACAGCGTCATGGCTTTTTTCTGTTAAATATGCAAAATTCTTTTTACAGTAGTAACCTATGACCAGTTGTTTAGGTTCTTAAAAAGTTCAATCTACCAAGAAGGGGTAGAAGTACCTTACATCTTCCGATCATTTGATCTATGATTCAACTGCAGCGACAATTTAACATCAAAAGATATCCTCGTGCAGGGCCTACCTCGCCGATCTTCCAGTAGTAGATCCACTGAACGGATCCGATCCGGGGAAAACACTGTCATCGTTCACAAATTAGATGGTGAACCAGCGGCGCGGCAGCCAGTGCCAGTGACTGTACCCAGCAAAACGGAAGAAACTTATCAACATTATACCCTCCTCAAGTAACCCTCGTCACCACAGCAATCTGCGACATTCGCGAAAGACACAAAAATTAGTTGTTCTTGAGGCTTGTGCAACCAGAAGATTCAGGATCAAAGTTGCAATTATAGCCGATGTACTTTTTCTGTTGCTATTTCTAGTACTGTCCATTGCAAGGTCACTTTCTTGCGCTTTAGGAGGACACTTGCAGATGAATCAGCATCGTGGTAGTCTACCATGGTAAGAAATCCTGGTCTATCGCGGCGAACATCATAGAGCATGGAATTCATTAACGACAGCGTACCAAGTAAATAAAGCCGGCAGCAAATAGCAACATCAGCGATGCGTACCAAGAGAAGTCGACGTAACCATGAAAAAAATAACACAGAGTGTTAAATTCGTTGTCAATTTCCACATAGAATGAAGAGTTTTTCTGCCCAACGTAATTTTCATCCTGCAACCACCCGACCTCTCACCCTTCATCCATCTCCCCTTCTTCTGCTTCTTCTTCCGTGATTATAGGTCCGCAGTTTGTACGGCCAGAGGAACGCCTAGGAATCCGTTCCGCCTCCGCTGAGTGAGGCATCTCAGCCATTCCGCCACTCCCTAGTCCTTTCGCTAATCCTTGGAGTTAGAGAGGGATATCAAGACGCAAGGAGGGAGGGAGAAGGGGATGGAGGGAAGAGCAGAATAACGAGTCTGTAAGTATGATTGCGATCAGAGTAATCAAACCTCTTCTGCATTGAGGCACCAGAGGAATTCTCTGTGAAATAAAAGAAAAAGTCAGACCTATCTAGCTGTAGCTCAACATACTCAGTCATGATTCCCATCTTTCCATAATCGTGGTGAAGCAGACCTAACAAACTAGAAAAAAGAAAGACCGGAGGAAGATAGAAAAGAGAAAAGGGTAATAACTGGTAAGCAGGAGATAAGAGCCAAGAATTACAGGCAGTAATAGGTTATCATTTACTTAAAGTATGATCACGTTGTACTACCCATTGTACAGTTACCAACTGTACGGAGTAGCACCTATTCTAGGTGGATAATAATTCCATAATTATTCTTCGGCGTTGTGCTGGATAGCAGAGAGCTCACTTGCAGTTTCTCACCCACGAATTTAGCGAATGTTTCCAGCACTTCGCAGTCCTCGTCCAGGAAGATGCCGATTTCCTGATCAATCTCAATCTTGTTGATCATCTGGATCACACCGATTACCTGGGCGTGGAGGTTACACCAATGATCACTGTTGTTGACACGATCTTACAATCTAAGTAATGACCTGACACACGATCTAAGTAATGACCTGACACACGATCTAAGCAATGACCTGACACAGTTATGACACCAATAACTACAGAAGTAAAAATAAGTAATGAGGGCTGTTTCTTGAAAACAAATAAAAACGAATGCGACCATCTTAACATACATCAAACCAGCAAAGAAATGTAGAAGTGCCTTCGTTTCCGTGCTATTACGTATGGGCACGCAAAGCATGGATTGCGTGTGGTATCCGGTTTTCTGATCAATCTGCTGGTTAAATCGCGCATCCTCATAGGCATCCGGGATATTGATCACGATGCCTCTGCAGTTGTTAGAGGTGTTCATTGTCGTACGCAGTTAGCACCTCGTTTAAGAGTCCGTCGGACCATCTCTACTTGACTGCATGAAGGGATTACAATTACAACAATTACAAGTTTTTCGATGGAAGTTCGACGCACCAGCAGCGGTGGGCGCAGAGAGTTTAGAGGTGAAAATAAACTACTGAGAAAGAAACCTCTACTAACCTCCCCTGCGTAGCTTCAGGTCCTCCAGTTGCGCATTCACCTGCTATCCCTGAGCTTTTTGGAATGCGTATTTCTCGATCCGAACTCACGCTCCACAGCTGGTCCTTCCCTTCGTCGACTAGAAAGACTGTACATCTATCCGCTTGCACTAATTCCGAAGCATGCATGGTAACTGGTGTTGTTCATATATTAATTATTGATGTTCTAGTGGCGGGATAGGGAAGATAGGAATTACAATGCTTCTTGATGGGTAGGGAAGATGGAAACTACAATAATGTTTCTTCACGCTTCATCGAGAAAGGATATTGAGGAAGAGACAAGTAAATAGCGAAGAAGAAACTGAAGATAGTACTGGTCAAAATCGTTGACTGTGTTCCCAAATCCTGCGACAGAGCTTGGATTACGTGCAACAAGCCATTTGCTCGTTCTGAAGCCACAATAGCATCTCGGTAAGGGATTAGAATATGAATGGCACTTGTAATAGTGGTTCGACTTCTCCGAGGATCTCTGTAAATATGGTGCTCCGATCATTCTACTTGAAAGGTGTGCTAGACTGAAAAAAGTTCTGAAGCATTTAATGCAACAGTTCTTGGTAGCTGATTTTACTGTATGTATTCTTGTCATAACACTTCAGCATTCCTCAAAGCAATCCCAGCATGTTGTGTCAAATGACCCAATAACAGCTCGTCAATTGGACTAAAAGACGTTCTGGTAGTCGCATCTTGGTTTCCAGACTGCTGCTCCTTACTAGAGGTTGTAGGTTTAGACAGTGAGACCTGGAAGAACTCTCCGTGTTCTACGTCTAGCGTAACGAGCAGACCCACCGTTTAGGACATTCACAAAATAAATTTAAAGCCAAAGAGTGTAAGGCATTGATTTAACGATCTTGTTGAGGAGGTTGTGAAGCTTTCAGCTCTCAGCTGTTCCTAGGTGATGTTTCTCTTTCCAAGTATGAGCACATACCCTTCTGCAACTAGACTTCCACAACCAAACGAACCATAATGCTAGCTCCCTCCGGATTTTCTGCAGTACTATTCTCCTCTTTCTCTTTCGATTCGGCTGGTCTCGCAGCCGTTGTCTTCAGCTTGTTGATTGCCTGTAAGACCCCAACTGTTTCGTTTCCAATTAGATGTCGTTACAACTACAGAAATAGACATTTATATTCCTCAAAACATGATCCGCTTGACTTCTTTCCCATTGGAAAAATCAGTTGAGGATGACGACAGGAAGGTGTAATTCACTCCAAGTCCTTAACTCAAAGTCTACAATGGGCATGACTAGTAAACTCTTGGTGTGGTAGCCCGTCAATTTATCAAACCCAGGATCGAACCTAGGATCCTGGTAGCAATCCGGGATGCTCACCGTTTCCTGTGTTAAGTGCGTTGTATTGCTGCATGAAGGAATAAGCCTAAGATTATAGAGGGAAAACGAACCGGTTGTTTTACTCATGCTCGTAGTTGTAGTTCATTGAGATGTAGTTCTTCTACGACGACTTGAACTGTCCTCGACGAAGCGGTGCTCAACAAAGCATGATGGAAAAAGTTGTTGTAGCCAGGACATCATGATCATCGCTCTTGCACGTGATAATTCTTAGTCATGATTGGAGGAGAGGAAGAATTTGAGAGTCAATTCTCTGTTCTCATACTAGTGGTGAAGCCATACTGGTGGAGAAGTAGCAGAATATTCTCTTTTCTCATACTACAGCGAACTTGAGTACTTTGTTTAATGGGAGAAACCTACCTGTGTCTCGAAGACATGTCCCGCGATACCTTGTCCAGGTTGGACCCGGATCGGTTTGGCGAGATTTGACGCAGTCAGTATGAGCATCTTGATCTTCGGGTTGTATACGAAAAGGGACAGCAGATTAGATGAAGAGGCTGTGAGGATGTTGCTATTGACATACTTGAGATTGAGTTGAAGAAGGTACTATCTAGGTACTGTTGACATACTATGAGATTGAGATTGTTGAAGAAGGTACTATCTATGACTATGAATAAAAAAAAACAGGCATGATCTGGAGCCATACCACGATCACAGTTGAGGAGCTTCGCAGTTTCCCGAATGATAATGTTGATCGTCTCCTTCGGCACAATTTCCGCTGTAATCGATCGCGTAGATTCGAAAAGGCTGTGGAAGTTGCGTAAGGATGGATTTCTGGGGAAGCGATGTCAGGAAAAAACCAGACTCAACTTGACCTTGTTCTTTCTACTAAGTTGTCTAAGCTAAATGTAAGGAGCCGGATTACCTAGAAGCTCTAGCAAGCTAGCTTCTAAATATTTGATAAACTGAAATAACCGAGTAACGTGATCGAAGAGAGCAACTGTAAGTTAGAGCAACGAAGTTCTTAATGAAGCTGACAGACGCAGTGTGTGTCCCAGTAGTTGCTGCCTGCCGAAGCCCATCGAGGAAAGGTGCGATGCAACCGTGCTGCAACTGGACCGATCTTGCGCATTTTTGGTTTTCGAATACTAAGTAGAGAAATAGAAATACCGTTTCAAATGCTCCGAACTGACGTCCATCCCGCCACTCGAATGACGCATTGCAGGAACTAGACCTCCCGCAGCGGCCGATCCTAGGAATATTAGAGGCTCCTGCTAGGTGGAGAGGACTTCTACGTAGAGTTGGAGTAGAGAGGTTGGCATTATACTGCTTCCACTTCCACATCTACTACTCTACAAGAGTCGCACATTATTAGACGTAGTAGATGGAGAGGAGTCGTCACAATAATAGTCTGTTGTTGCATGGGATAAGCCTAAGTTTTAGAGGTAAAAACTAACCGGTTGTTTCATTTAATAGACGTGGATACCTTAGAAGGACGTCACAGTAGTAGGAGTAGTCTTCTAGTCATCGGAGAGATAGTACGTTGTGTTCTCGTTTACAACTGTTCGTACTAAGAAGTAAACCCACCTACTGAGAAGTATAAAACAACAAAAAGGAACAACCATTAGTTTGTAGTTTTAGCTGTTACAGTGAAATATGAGAATCAGTAAGAATAGTGCAGCGCTTGACGGGCTGAAACTCTAAGTTTATTTCAGCCTTACACTTATTGACTGTTCTCGTCTTGAAACTCCGTCGCCGATTTCTTCTTCCAGCTTGCCCAACAAAAATTTTTTAGGTTGCATGGGCTTATCCTTTAGCAGAGACTCCGTCAGCTCCAGAATGAGGTCTTCGACATGGTGCTCCGCCAAGTACGAACGCACCGCCTCGACCTCCATCTTGATGAGAGTCTCCTCGTGCTTGGGTAGGTGGGTGGTCTCTCTTCTCCTATCTGGCCTCAGTAGAGGATCTCCTGTCTGGCCTCAGTAGAGGATCTCCTGTCTGGTCTCATTAGTAGGGGAGAAACAAGGAGAAGATGGACAACTCTAAAAACGTTGTTGAAGATGAAGAAGTAGATGAAGACCACGCTGTGTTGAAGTACTTAAGTAGTTCTTGTTACGCGGCGGTGTCTAATTCGTATCCTTAGAGAAAATGCTGGAAGACGGGCAGGCCTTGAATCGGGAAGGCAAAAGCCCAGAGGACGCTGCCCTAAGCATCGACGTGAAGGCAGAATAGCTGGTACTTATTAATATGCTTTTCTTGGCTTGACCGCCATCAGGCTCAGAAAAGTGCTCTCCATCAAACCATGATCTCAAAAGAATTCTCACTACAAGTTTCTCTTCAAAGCTTTTTTACACAAATGCTTTCAAGGTCGCCGCGAAATTCTGTGTAGGTCGTTTGATATGGTGACCGCCTTCGGGTGTGACTCCGCGAGCAACATGTTGCTGTTGCTGCCGCTGCCTAAAAGCCGAAATAAGTGCCTTGTTCAGTAGCTGCATGACATGTTGCATTCTTACAAAAAATTTTTTTGCAGGCCTAATGCACAGAACAACTTAGTGCGTGGCAGTTAAATATTCTCAAACGTCTTAGTCAAGAACAGCGACTTATGGGATGACGCAGCATAAAATAGATTTTCGTGTTTGGCAGACAAATCTAGAAAAATGACAGGTTTTTGAGTTTCGTTTGAAGACTAGTTTCTATCAATAGACAGATATCCAAACATGATGATCATGTTCACGAATAGGACTACATAGTAGTTACAGGCTGATAGATTTTTCACAAACATATGCAAACATGATCAACTAAGAAACTGAAAATCCTCAACATGATACTGATCATAGTACGCGCAAAGTAGTACTGGCCTCATCAGAAATGAATTTGAATAAAAAGTAGATAAAACTGAAAATTCTTGGATATGACCACTTCAAATAGATTTCAAATGGTCATATCCAAGAATTTTCAGTTTTATCTACTTTTTATTCAAATTCATTTCTGACGAAGGCTTTGCAACTCAATGACACTGAACATGAACAAGAACATCTTGATCTTTCACAAAATTCCTTGTCTATTTTTCAATTAACCTCCTCCCCACCAGAATCTTCTGACGATTCCCCTGCTTCTTATTAGAGCTCATAACGTTGCATTTCCTACGTTCCAGTTCTTCTGACTCCCAAGAAGGATTTAGGGTTTAGGGTTCTGACTAAAGAAAAGAACCTGTGGAAATGAAATATTTTGAGCCCTAATCATATATCGCGAGTAATGGTGTGCTAGTTCCTCCGACTCTTCCTCTGGCTGTACGGCCTCTACCGGCTGTACGTCCTCTAGAGGCTTGCCTTCCGTTTCTTTGATGTGCTATGGGTATGGTCCATCTTATTGGTGTAGTTGCTGCAGCTATTCTGGGTCGTTGCTGAGGACTAGAAGAAGATGATGAAGCTGGCGTAGAGGCAGATGAAGTACCTCTTGCGCTTGATCTACTTAAATAAGAAAGACGTGCCAAATCATCAGTATTCAGTCCTTCGAAAGCAGCAGGTTCTTGGCTTAATATAGTCAACACAACGTCAGGTAGTGGCTCCCTGCTGGAGGTTGAACTTGAAGATGTAGATGAGGATGAAACTTGAGACGTGGTGGATGTCGAGCTTCTTTCTGTACTTCCACGACCTCCTGTACCTGTTTCACTTCTCTGACGTCCAACATCTGTTGTGTCGTCGGCTGTACTTGCAGGAGAATAAAAGTCATCAGATGAGTCCTCTCTGTGATATCGACCCCATAGCTCGCAACAGATAGCACCACAGTAGCAATAACACCCGACACAGCACGAGCACGCGAGCTCCGGGCACCTGCACAGGGCTAGGCAAGGTATGTTAGAAAATGTTGATCTTGGTCACCGGAGAAGAAAAGTCACTTAATGTTGTCCTCCCTGTAAAACGTATGCCTCGGATTCAAGCATACATAGGATCCACCGATAAACTTTAACTTCTTCATCAAGTGTCGCCCATGCTGTCTGATTCAAGTACAAGTACGAGCTACAGGTACAACTTTACACTTCAACTTCTGTGCCTGCCGTAAGTATCACCACACCCTGGGCCCATGAAAAACATGTTAGAGCTACTGGTGGACGACGCAAGAGCTTCAGCGTGTCCACTGCAAGATTCGGCAAGCAGGCACTGGCACCAGAAATGGCTTTGTCGAAAGCTCGAGTCGATAAAGAAGACAGCGCAGATTAGCGCTACCCTTAACCCATCCCGTGAAAGGATCCCGATACTACCAGCGCAGTACTTTAAGAACGGGATCCACCTAGTCGTAGGTAGGGTGCTTTACCTTTATTGAGAAGTACAACTTTAAGAAGTGGGGTTGTCGGGTTTTGTGGAGCCTTAAGTAGAGCAAGCGAAAGATCTTTCAGTTTCTTCATGTTGATGGCCTGGTGCTGCTGCAGGTGAAGGGGATGATACTAAGCTTGACTGCGCTGCAGCACTTTGATATGACGACGCTGGTCCAGCAAAACAACAACAGCAAAGACTCTGACTCTGTTGTAATATTTCACCAATTACTTCTAGAGATGTGCCTTGTAGTCCTGCTCTATACGGACTCTCCTGCTGATGCGTGGTCGTGCTTGGTGAGGCAGAATCATCGTCGCTGGAGGCCGCATCGGGCACAGGAGCCTCAGCTTCCCGAGGATCCACCGATGTAATTTCCAGACTGCTCTCCCTTCGACAGAGCGGACACTGATAAGTGTGCATACCAGCACAGGAGTCAATATCATTCGACGTCCCTTGATGGTGACCGGCATGCCGCCGTCCTCGTAAATTTCGATTCTTCTGTTTTATTATTTCTTTCGCGACAAACTTCATGTGATTCCCAAGACACTTCTTGTGAAAAAGGTGTTGACATCCAGGCAGAGCGCGAATATCCTCGCACAAGGGAGAGAAAAGACCGGACTCGGCACCGATCCTAATGCTCATCGTAGAAGACTCGGCATTTCCGACAGAACGGCTCCTGTCTGCCGGACTCTCGCGCACAGTGACAACCTTCAACGGCTTAATCTGTTCAGCAGACAACTGCAATGGGTTATGCTCTAAATCTTGTCCTACGCTAGTAGCTGTAATTGTAGTACTTCCGAGTGAGGTGGAAGAAAGATTAATACTATGTTCTAAATCTTGACCACGTTCGAGAGTAGTGCTACTACTGTCTGTGCTTCGGGCTTCTTGCTCAACACTTCGAGGAGCAAGGAAGGCATGTAGAGGGTGTTCGCGCGCTACATAGTTCCCGTTCTCTGCGTAGTTGGCACCATCAGTAGAGGCCAACAACGGCTCCAAACACAAAACGCAGTTGAGTGCTTCACGAGCTGCTGCGCTTGTTCCTCTGGAGGTTGAGCTTCTCAATACGGAACCCTCTGAAAAGAGGACACGACCGAGGAAGGGGACACTGATGAAGAGCCATCTTCTTTCGGTCTTCATATTTTTTTAGAAACATAGTTTTTCTGTTTCCTTCTCTGATTAGATTGAATATGAGTCTCGCATACTTAGACTAGACGAGAACACACTTCTGTAGGAAAGATAAATGGTTTTTACTTTCGAGGCCCTAGAGAACTTTTTGAAGAATAGTGATTCTACGCTCCTTTTCATCGGTCTTTATCCGTTTTTCTAGGCTACATAGAACGCAATTTTGTCTTCCGCAAAGCTGCACAGTCGTGCTCATACATCATGAGCCCTGAACAACTAGAATTTGGGATATCTGATTTGCTCTTGAGAAATTCGTCCACCATGACACGTCTCCTCCTAACCGGTAAGTGATGCAACGAAAGGAGCATTATATATAATTAGTTGGTTCTAAATCCCACCCAGGCCGCCTCAATTCCAAATTCGACCTGACCCTCCCTCCACAGCCACTGCTTCATACTCCCCATCGCTTATTAGAAAATGTCTGGCTCTGGTCGTGGTCTTCTACAACTACTCGCTAAAAAAAATCTATCAAGAAATAGAACGAGCTCAAAAAATCATTGCTCTTCCAGAATGAACTTCTTAGGCCTTATCTATACAGTTTGTTACTGCCACTGCTTCATACTCGCACTCGCCACTGCATCATACTCGTCATCGTGGTTTTTTACAACTACAACTTGCTAAATATTAATGCCTCAAAACCTGGTCTTCATAACTTCACCTTATTCGGCTGCAGCTGGAACTTTATCCTCTCTCCTTGCACAGGAATTCGTCGATCGAGGAGAGAGATAGAGCGGAAAAAGACGTTTGCCTTGCCTATTTTCGAAGGAACGGCAATATCTGGTCGGATAAAACCAAATCCCTTTTTTATATTAAACCCATCAACACAGCCTTGATACACTGTGCCAGCCGTCGGATGCTCTACAACTGGGGCAGCTTCTTCTTTATACATCTTCGCGCTACCAGAAGTTGTACTACCAGTGGCTTCATCGTGTTCTTGCTCTTGTTCTGCTGCGAAAGAAGTCTTGAGATTGCTTGCCGAAGCAGAGGAGGTCTTGGATTAGCGCTGTGCTAAGGTAAAGTGAAAATAGGATCTAGCTTCTTTTTGAGTATTCGAGTATTTATAGGATAAGCAATCGGCTTGAATCTCTTAAGAGCTTCCCTTCTCTTAAGAACTTACATATACTACTTACTTGTATCTCGTTTCTTAAGTAAAGGCCCGATTTGATGCAGGCACTAAGAACGCCCTCGCTTGGTTCGTTGTAAAGCACGACTTTTTCCGAGAAGCCAAGGCGCGTCCACTGGGGATGAGGCCTCGCAATACGCGACCGAACCGAGTCATGCTCATTGACATTGTCTTGCACTAAATAAGGGTGCAAGAGTATTAAGCTTGGGTTCTTCGACGTTCTCAATGAATGATAGTGATACATCAATTTGACAAAATGAATGAATGATTTTGACAGAATAAGTAGAAGTAGATCTTCTCTCTCACTTCTCGTTGCTCCGGAGTCTCGACGCACTCGCTGGTAGTACTTCCTCTTCTTCTAGGCCAGCCTTTCACAACGACGCGAGGACCCGAACAACATGATCTTGCCACTCTAACAAGCCAGCAGCATATGCCGCATGAAACCCTAGGCTTCGTTTTCTTCGTCGCTGACAATGCTTGCCAGAGTTCCTTCATGGAATCGGAGAGATACCGATGGGAAGAGACCAAAACTAAAGAAAGCTCAAAATGACATAGTATTTTCTAATCTCGGGATAAAGGCTTGATAGATGATGTGAAGATACAGTGCCATGCTCTAAGAATAAGAATAAGGATTCATTTTTTTATACACACAAGAAATTTTTCAACTACATTTGTTCATTTATTATATACACGAGATACAATGTAGGAACCAAGAAAGTTCATAGTATCTCCACTCATTCATGTGCCCCACCCTGACCTCTTTTTTTTTGTTACCTGGGTCTACAATTTCCCGCAATCATTCCATTCAATTACCCCGCGGGAAGCCTGAGGCCAATTGTAGATAAATCTCACGACTGTTCATCATGTCGCATTGACCTCACTAAACTGTAGCTCGAGTCGTTCGAGTCATTTATTACTAAGAATTCAGTAGAGAAGCATGGGATAAGAAGTCATGACATGATCATTGCGAAATATTTATGCTAAGATCTACATTTATCATATGGACCAACGAAGAAGAGGATTCACTTTTTATTAGATGGTGCGCTAACTCAACTAATCGCACTCAAGTTGTTCTAGATAGCAAACGTGATCGCGATAGCGTTATGAAATCCACTACACATCCTCGCAGTGTCATCCCTTTTTTTGCACAGCTGACTCCATCTAGCCATTACTTCCGCGAGAACCTGACTTAGAGCCATATGTATCCATGAGTCGCACCTTCTTATCTGATCCTCGCATGCTTCCTCTCCTTCCCCTTCAAAAAGAAGAAACCAGGAGTCAACATACTTATCCTTGGATAGAAGCAAGTGCAAGTTCTTCTTTTTCCCCTTGAAAAAGAACAATCAAGGATCTGGATCTCATCATTCAATTCAATTCAATTCATTGGCGCTTTTTTTTTTTTTTTTGTAGTGCGAGCGAGTTCCGATAAGTCCGAACCCAAGGGAGTTCCGATAAATCAAATCCTACCTGCGTATTTTCCGCGTGGATACCGACTCCATCTCCCCATTCCTGGGCGTAGTCGACGAGAGCCACAAAAAACGGCACACCAGGCAGACGAATCTGCCATGTGGAACCGAGTTTGACACCAACAGCCCCCGATCTCTTATTCTTTCGAGAAAGGTCCGACTTGAGGCATCACCGGAGCGTGTGGGCATTCGTGCTGGCACGCAGGCTTTTACGTCCAAAACACCGGTCCACGAGCCAAAGCACGAGTGGCAGTAACAAAAGGAGCTGGGGCGCTGCTATTTATATACTCTATCTACCACCAAGTTACTTGCAACATTCAACTAGCAAGGTCTTGGGCACCCATCTTTCCTTTCCGACGCTAGTTATACTTCTGTCTAATTATGCTAATCTCCTTAAGCCACCGTCGCCCGCGCTTTCGGCACTACCAATGTCCTAGACGGCCCAGTGCTGCGGTACTTGCTGATTTTTTGGTTTTGTTTCAAAGGGGATTAACTTGAGTGTATGTCTTATTTTAACTTTCCCTGGGGTTTGCCATCCCCCCTTTTTCCTTTTTTTTTTTTTTTTGTTTTTGTCCTTTCTTTTTTCTCTCTGGACCGATTTCTGCTTCCTACTTCGTTTTTGCATGCTGCTTACCCTCGCACATGCTTATGCACTTCGTCCTTTTGCGAGTGCGTCGTGCACACTTGCAAGGACTTGTTCCTCCATCCCTGCGTCTGCAGCTACCTCCGCTGCTGCTCCCTTGTTGCTTTGCTCTTCGCTCCGTACCCCTTTCCGCTATCACGAGATCCGTCATGTGTTTTTTTTTTTCTCTTTTTCTACCTACCTATCTGTCTTACCTATTTGCAGTTCAATTCGTTTCTTCACTCATCTAGTTCCGCCCTATTCTGCGTCCTATCCTTTGCTTCACCACTCCTGATCTCCTTGTTTCAATACTTCTTAATCGATCCAATTTTATTTCATGTTCGTTTGAGCCTCTATGCCTTCAGTCTGATTAGCAACTCAGATCTGCTTGTTCGGATCATTTCTGCGTCCGTGGAAGCTTCTCTCCTACTGATCTTCTGCGATGTTATTTTCGATTCGATGATCTATTACTGGCTCCTCTCTTTATCTTCTTGAGGGCTACTTCCATTCGATTGTTTTCATCCAAGAGTCATCATTCTAGATCGTGCTTTCCAAGGCCATGTAGAATCAAATGTGACAGGGCTGGCCTTATTAGCCACCCGCACGTTGATACTCCCTCTCTTTCTGTCGAACCGTCTTTATTCAATTCAATATTCGCAGAGATCCATGTGCTTAATTTTTTTTACTTTCCCCTTCTTTGGGATTTTTACCAGTCACTCCTGCTTTCAGTGCCTCTATTTGTTTCTGAATGATGTGGTTGTCTATTTCTATGTTCCGGAACATTCCTGGTGTATACTTGATTCCGTTGGGATCCCACGTCTCTGGTCTTCCTCTGTGGGCCGCTTTCACCATCTCTCTGTCAAATGCTGGTCCTGGCTCCATCTTCTTCTGCTTTGACAGTCCTATGACTTGCCGCACCACTTCGTCCCTAGCTTCTTTTTTCCACTCGTCGACATCCGGATGCTTTTTCCTAATGAAGTCCATGGCATACTTGTCAGAGCCATATCCTTGTTTCCCTTTTGGCTCAGCTACCTCTTCAGATACTTCTTCGACTTTTCCATCCTTCGGTCCAGCCACTGCCGCCGGCGCTATGACTTTGTCCGTGCTTCGCTGCACGGAGTCACTTGCATCATCTCGGATTTCTGTTCTCGCACGAGAAGCTACCGCTTTCGGCCTGACTCTTCTGCCTGCATGAGGTTCGTGCTCGTCTTTCTCTAGCACACCTTTCCTCCGCAGGTTTACCTTCCGTAGTCGCTCCTTCCAATCCATCACGATTGCGTTTGAGCTTGCTAGGGGTCCATTTTATTGAATCAACCGTGCTTTATTCAGCTCTACTACGATGGAAAATCCTTCTTAATACTGCTGTTTATTCCTTTACATCGTTCAGGTTTTCATTGAAGCTATTTAAGTATCCTGATTTTTGGATACCTCACCATTTTGCTGCGGGTCACAAGACTAAAGACTCTGGTACTCTTAGGACTTTTCATTACTCGTTTTCACCGTGGGAGTCATCTGATATCTTGATTTTCAAACTGAGGGCTAAAGACCTCTCTAACTAAGATTCTCTCCTCGTCTTTCATTCCTCTTGTAGATCCTCTCTTTCCTTTCGTATTTCGTCACAGGACGCGAACGTTTGTACTCACTCTTTTTTTTTTTTTTTTTTTTTTTTTTTTTTTTTTTTTTTGTTCGTCGCTTGCACACTTTATGACGCGTTCTGCTCCCATCACGACGAGCTACCGCTCAACGTTGCTCAAGGTAGACTTCTTTGATATGACACAACGATTATCTCCTTAGACGATGTCTTGTTTCGAAAGTTCCGAGATTTGGAAGCTCAACATCGCTCTGCAAAATGCCGACGAGGACCTGACCCGTGCTTATGCAGCTTCTCCTCGCTCCTCTTCTCTACTGTGTCCACGCTCCTTCCATATATCTCCTCTGCATGCCTAATTCTTCAGTGCTTCTCCTCTTCTTCTCAGGAGCCACCAGAACTTGTACTCTCGCGGCTTGTGTCTCGATTTTACTCGACATGTACATGGTTACTTACCACTTCTCTGGTTTCAATTGCGTCCTCTGCCCAACGCAGCCGAGGTTGTCGAGGACGACGGGCTGGATGGGGAGGACGAGGAGAAGAACGAGATATGATCTTGGATCACCGGACCGTTATCCGCCTTGCCGCGCTTCTTCTCTTGAGCCCGCGCCATGAGACTGCGCGGGTTCGGCAGCTCGCCCTCGATCGCCATTGCTGTCATCATGATGTTGTTGTACGCGACCATCGGGCCGATCGCCTTCGCATACGCCACCCTCTCGAACGGACAAATGCTAACCGCGCACGGCGTGGAGAGTGGAGTGTACTTGTTCTCGTCCACATTCTGCTTCATGATGGCAGCATACTTTTCGACGTCCTTTACATCTAGCTCCAAATCCTGCAGCATCTCTGTGGCATCTTTGTTCCCCAAGAAAAACTTCTTCATCTTGCCCATGTTCTCCTTATTGAGTTTGACCACGAGTTTCTTGGAGCTTTGGAGAATCTCAATGCACGGGATCGCACGCTTACGCACAGTCTTATCCTCTTCGCCAAAGATTTTCTGCTTCTCTTGTTTGTACTCTCCTTCGTACATCACGACGGCATTATTGTGGTCGGCTGCCAGCTGCAGGTATTGTTCCACTAGAAGACGAATCAGGTCTGGTGTCGGCAGCGTCGCACGCCGCTCTGGCGTACTCATTCTCAGAAGTCTCTCCTTTGTAAGAGAGGTCCTCGTTGTGGTGCCACTCTTGCTTGATTCCGACATTTTGTTTTGCGTCTAATCCACTATCTGATAAACACTAGATTACGCAGGCTATCTCCACTTCTAATGTAACTTGCGGGATAATACTGCAGAATGATTCGTGACAAAAATTGCGATAACAGTAACAGAAATATTTTCGGCAATCGTCTCGTAGCGTCGAAGAGTGACTCACACTGGTTCCTTGTTGCCATTAGTTTGTTCAAATGCATGATGGTGTGGAATGCGTCACATAGAATTGATCTTTGATGCTACGTTCTAGACCGTCTTGTTTTACCTACGAGACAAAGACAGCTACTGTGATCAAGGTATAGCTCTGTTGATCTGTCTTTGTTGTCTTTCCTCCGCCGCAGTATGCATCACGTTTCGGGGTCCCTTCCTTATAGGGCAAAATCGTGCCACACACGTCCCGATCATGGTCACACGAACAAGATTGCAATGTAAGTTGATACCTTTTAATTCCTTTCAACTCATTGGCCTTTTCTAGGGCTCAGGGAGAATACCAATTTCTTTCCATCGCTTACTTGTGTGCTCCTTCCTCCTGTTTGATTTACCTTAGTAGGATCACTTTCATATGATGTTCTCTCCTTTTGTTTTACTAAGGGTTTGTCAACCTCATACATCTACCAAGCCCCCTTGTGATGTTGCGCTCCCTGTTGTCCCTGCTTACTTCTACTCGATTCGCCATTCTATTGTGCGTTCTGAACCTGCCTTCCATCAGAGTGTCATGCATGATATTCAGGTCTGTCCCGGCTTGTCCATGCGCAGGCTCTCGCATCCTTTCCCTAGGTGCTCTCCTCGCGATCAAGGAGCGATAGTTGCTCCTAATCGCTCGAAGCATGTTCTGCTGTACCTGCCTTGTGATAAAGGTGGTCCAAGGGGAAAGTGTTGTGCTGGTCGTATCGTCCACGTACATGTCCACTCCCCGGTGGCGTTCCCTTGCACGCAATGTCACGAAGTGTTGACCTGCTCCACTCATCATTTTCTGCCAAAAATCCCGTGTCGTTATACGGGATCCAATTCAATTCAATTCAGTTCAAGAAACGAGAAGATAGAGAGTAAACAAAATCCTAGAGGGGATGGAAAATACTTTTTGGTTCTCTCTCACTCCTTTTTCCAATGCACTAATTTACCTTGTTCTTGTCTCTCATGCGTCTTGCATCTTAGACGTATTGCTACCTTTTCATGCGATCCTCAATGTATCTGCTCCTGCCTCGTAGTTCCTCATGTTCCACCCGTATGACTGTATTGCTGCGTGTACCTACCTCACGGTTCATTCGCTTCATTGCTATGATCCCAGTTCTTTTTATGTTTCTACATCGACTCGGCTCTATCCATGCTACTGAGGTATACGAAGTTTTGAGATACCTGTTGCTCTCATAAGAACGGATTGTGTGGTGATGGCAAATGGACAACCTGTGCAGACCAATAACGTTGTTTCATTCTATCATGTATCGACATATTTTCCTTCCCTGATAACGTTCCTACTCTTAGCTGTCCGATTATTAGTTTTTTAATTTCTTGGAATGATACAAAGTGTCGTCCCTTGTGCCATCATGTCTCTCCTTGCAAGCTCATCCTCATCGATGCTTGCGCTTTTTTCGATCTTTCTCGAGCTTCTTGAGCAGTAATTTCGTCTTCTTGATCTGCTCTCTCTCATCGCTGCTACTGTCCGACCCTATTGAGCTGCCTGATTCGCTCTCCGATGCATCTACTTTCATACTACGTTTCTTCTTGCCCTTCCTGCGTTTCCTGCCTTCAAGGTCGCTCTGACTGGCTGAGCGGTGTTGTTGCGTCAACGTCATGATGTTGCTCCGATGTGCGAGACTATTCATCTCGGAATAGCCAGATAAGGCCATTGGATGAGAGAATACACTAGTTGCCTGAGATGCCGCACCGTTCCATCCCAGGATGCTAGGAAAGTACGATGATGTTGCAGGTGTCCTGAAGGTGTTGTAGAATTGTTGTTGTCCTGCTGATCCTGTATTGAAACTGAGTGCAGAAGAAGCGGACGTGGGGCCTGCGTTTCGCATGTTGGCTGCGTTTGGCTGCAGATCCCAAAAGGGGGTGCTCATTGGAGGGAATGGCGCTACTTGGTTGTGCAAGCTTCCATTCTCCAAGGCCAGCAGCTGTCGTGCATCTTCTATAGGTAGTTGCGGCGGTCGGTCCTCATACCTGTCGTCCTCCATCTCTATGATCACCGGCCTGCCTGCATCCCTTACTTCTAGTGCAACAAGTTCATACCTTAACAGCCTTTTAGGGTCGTATTCCGGCGGTGGATGGAAGAGATTGCTCAGTCCATATGCTTCCTTCTCGAAGCACTGTGCGACTCGTCCATCTTTCCCCTTCCACTCTTTGCCTAGTAGTAGCCTGGGTGTGTTCACACATACATCACTGAACGACGCCGGATGCGCCTTGATCTGCGCCATTGTGAATAGACGTGCATCGTGTTCTACTTTTTTGATCACCTCGGTGATCATCGCCCCTAACAGTCCTTCTGCATCATTCTCCACGCGACAGGTGTTCTGATTGAAATGTTGCAGATGAATCGTATGAGTGGTCCTGCCGGGTCCTAGTCTTACTCTGCAGACTACTTTGATGTGATTGCCAACGTTGAAGTATGGGATTAATGCTTTCAGAGAGTTCCCATGCGATAAGGTGTGGATCACCAACCAGAAGAAGTCGATGGGAAAAAAATTCCATTTTCTCCCGCTAAGCGGAGTGTCAAGGGCCTTGTCTCCTCCAAAGAGTGCTGGTCTTGGCCTCACCCCGACAGCAGCTTCAGGGCCTCTCCTTGATGCTCTTCCAGGTATGGCGTGCATGATGCCCTCATTCGGGGGGGCCATCATCGGCACGTCGAGGAGCGAGAAGTCTTCTCGAATTCTTTGGTGCTCCATGCCCTGCTGCTCCTTGCCAGATACCATTGTGTTGAGCTCCGTGTCTGCTGGTTGCTGCATACCTTCCATCCCTGGAGTGATGCTGATGTTGGGGGACTGTACTGCTTGCCCATTCTGCTCTTCTTTCCGTGCAGCATTGCCGTGTTCCATCAGTCCTAGCGCTACTACTTCTTGTTGCGCTGTCTCCATCTCAGGTGTTTGCCTAGGTGCGTATGTAAGAAAGCGCGTCGTGCTACTACTGCTCTTGTTGGGTTGAAATTCCTGCAGTTGCTTGTCTACACTATTCCTTGCTGACTTCACGTCATGACTCGTTGTTTCTTTTTCCTGCTGATTCATGTTCCTCGACCGCTTGCTCATGCACTGTTCTTCTTTACTTCGGTCCCTGTACTCATTCGCCTTACTGTCATTACCCCTTCGTTCATTCCTGCTTCTCGACCTGTCCCTATTCGTGAGGTTACGCACTTGTCTTCTATCATCATACTTTCTACTCGCTGGCATCCTGTACTGTGTTTGATGTTGTCGATCTTCTTCTGGTCTCTTTCTATCATACTTCCGAGTTCTGCTATCGCGGCGATCCCACTGGTTTCTATCGGACCTCGCGTTGACTAGATGTGACGCACTCCTTCTTGAAGTACCCGAAGTGCTTCTTGCTTCCCAATGATTATTATTTCCTGTGATGTCCCTTACTTGTTTTACCGTCTTGTCCTGCTTTCTATCGCTGATCTTACTGCTATCCGTGTTAGACTTGCGGCGATGATGTGTGCTACTACTTCCTCGGTCCATGCTGCGCGAGACTTCTACGTTGCTTCTGGCTTGTATGTTTACTGCATCCTTCGTAGCCTTGATGCTGTCTTCTATACTTGAGCTAGATGAGGTCGTAGAGGAGGAGCTATTCGAGGATGATCCTGAAGATGCTATCTTTCTGACAACCTGCGGGCGATCATTTTGTTTGATCCCCTCTTCTCGCGTTCTGCGATCCGAGACGCCGCTATTGATCGTTCGCAGCTGAGACATTGTGTCTTGCTGTCCTTGTACCTCGTTCTGTTGCTCCAATGTAACTACTGCTTTTTCATGTTTTGCTTCACCAGCGGCACTACGTGATTTACCGTCCCGTGACACCTGGCGTTGTGAACTTTGTTTGCTTCTGTCTGCTGCGATGAGTTCGTTCCCCTGCGCAGCTTTGTTCTCCACCGCGATTTCGTTCTCCACGCATCCTGTCGCACCTCCTCTATCCTTTCCATGAGCATGTGGCATTAGAACTGCTTGTGCATTCAAGAAACGCACTTTCTTCTTTGGAGGTGCTTGTCCGTTGAGGACGGCATCTTCCTTCATCTTCTCTTCTCTTCCCTCGTTCCTACAGTTGCTGCTTCCGTTCGTGTGCTCGTCCATGGTTCCTCGCTCCTCCTGGATCTCAGTGTGTGCGTCAGTGAAAGATCGGAGACACAATGATTTCTTCTTTCTTGTTAATCCAGTCTACGATATTCCTTGAACTTAAGAGATCTGTAGGATAAGGAAATCAATTCAATGCATCTCAAGATAGTTCTCTTGTCGAAGAATATTCCTGGTTCTCGATACCTCCTCTACCTGCTTGTGTTTCGCAATTCCGTCATTATCAACCGGAGGCAATTGGGATTCGCAAAGTCCCTCTCTAACGAAAGGTTGTGTTTCCTGGGATATATAGGATTATATGAATGAAATGTTGTCCTTGGGATGATTTGAAGGAAGTAGTGTCTCAGTTGTTTTCGACTACAGTCATCCATTCTTCAGTCCTTTGATTCCTCCTTGCTAACACTATTACGCGCTATCAAGCATCGATGCGCATCCCCGGAGAACAAAAGGATCTTAGCTTCTACCTCTCTTCGGATATGATACACCTTCTCTCTCTTCTGTGAAGAATGCTCTGCGGAGTGTAGGCGAGAGGAGTTCCCGCGCCTCGATGCGGGAGGACTCTCTTTGTCTGACATCCTCTCGTCTCTATCCGCGAAGTCTTGACTGATCGGGGATCGTTCTATCGTCCCTCGTATCAGCTGCTTGCCTGACTCAGGAGACTCTTGTATTCCTAGTCGTGAATCCTCTGCTCCTAGATTATCCGCCTCTTTCGATTGTACTGTTGCCGCTGAAGAAGAAAGCGTCTCTACTGATGGGGACCTGTGTCTTAACTCATTGAATGTACCCCCCGCATTTTGCGAGGGCCTGCCAACGTGCTGCTGATTACTGTAGTCTCCGGAGTGCGCGATAATCGTTGTTTCTGCTTGCACCCTGGTAGTTAGCTTCACCGGGACCTTCGCATCCGCCTTTTCCGCAGTGCTGTATGTGGATTCCGATTCGGGTCGCGTGATCAAGCTGCTACTACTAGCGGAAGTGCCAGGCACATGTGACAATGCTGGCAGGCTGCCTTTTTTGCCGCCGTACCGATTAGAGAAGTGACTTTTCTGTTTTCCACTTGTCCTGGAGTTGCTCCACGTGCTCTTCTTTCCTTTACCATGCTGCTTGCCACAGTGGAGGCTCGGGCTCCAATGACTAGGAGGCGACAACTTAGCCGGTGGTATTCGTAAGATTCCCTTACCATTCGTCAACCCCGTGGGCGAGAGTTGTGCCGGCGGCGATGGGACTTCCGACACGCGTCCTTTGTATCCCTTCGCGCCGCCCATATGTTCATCTGTTAGATCACTTGTCTCTCTCTCGCATTATGTCATTTTGTATTTGAAGAGTCAATGCTTACTTACATGTCACTACGAAACCTATTTCCACATGAGAGGTGAATTTCAATCCGACAAATTGTGTAGAGCCTTTTTGCGTTTTTCGTGAGAATATCAAGTAAGACTTTCATTCTCTCTGTTCGCATAATTGCTACTTAAGCCAAAAAAGAAAAAAAAAAGGGCGTGCAAATGGGTTCCACCCTTTTATCTTTCTCTCGATGCTCACGTTGTTGAACCTCCGTTTTTGATACTACTAAGCTCTATGTCGCTTCTGCTCATCTCTCCGTTGAGTTCATTCCAGGTCTCTCCTCAAACGGGATTGTGATGGTGCCACACTACCTTACGTCCTTGGGGATACAAGAATACACTCAGACTATCTCTAACTGAGTTGCATGAGGTATGGGAGGCGTAAGTCTACTGAGCATTTATTTGGGAGGTAGTCTCTTTGTCTTACACGATTTTCTTATCTTTCTCAAGACCAACTCATGAGGAATAAGAGTTGACAGCTCTTCTGCTTGCAATTCGCCTATCTTTCGTAATTGTTCACCTGATGCATGTGGTTCAGCCTAGTTTGATACTCCTCTGTCTTCAGTACATCTCTTTTCGCATTTAAAAGTTCTTTTTTTCTTTTCTCATTGAAGCCCCTCTTCTCGTCTTTGTTTTCTCTGGACGGTCCATATAAGAGCATCTCATTTCTATCTTCCATCCCTTCTATCCCGGAGGCCTTCTTCCTTGCTCCTCAGACGATTGCAGTCTTTCCGATGGCTCATCCAGTTGGTGTTGCCAGGATAAAGTCGCTTGCTGCAACCCGATGATCGGGTTCGTTTCACTTTTCCTCTTGGTCGCTCCAACTAATGCTGCTATAGTCGAATCGACACGGACTGTTTTGCCGACCCTGTTCCTCTTGCTGAGCAACTCCCAGGATATCGCCACACCCTTCTTGTTGATGAGATGCTTGCATCGATTCGTTGATTGGGATATACTGCTTTCCATCAATGGTTTTTCTCATCTTGAATATTGGATGTATTCTTCGCGGGTTGCGCTTTCGATATGTCTGCGTTAACGGATCGACTACATCTCCGTATGCTTCTCGCGCAGCATCCACGAGCTCAACAATGCGGTTATATTCATTCTTGTCGATAATCGTGTTTTCGTGGTATATTGCCCGTGCTCGGTTACGATTGTCAGCAGCGTGTAGTTCCGATCGCATGTCTGGAAATACCAGTAGGATGTCATTCGTTGGCTCTTTTGCGATACCGATTTTTTTGGAGTGGATTCCTTCGCTCCTGCAGTTGTTGATAATGAGATCTTCTACTGCTTCTGGTCTGTCTTGCGCGTCATGTGTCGATTCATTACCTTTGAGCGCTTCCCTGATGATGTTTACTGCCTCGCTTTGTTGATGCCAGATGGATCCTAGTTCAGTAAAGAAGCTACTCTTGATTTTCCTGCTTTGTGATGCGGTGATGACTGGCGTTTCTTCCTCCACTGTTTCGCGGGTGACGGCGTCCTTGATAACTTTGACGAAGGAGATCGTCTGTTTTGTTGTTGGCATTTGTTCGTAAAGAAATTGAACTGCAAGCCCTGAACAGTAATCTGCCACCATCATGGCCATCCATACTTGTTCTAAATCGTCCGTTCCTCTCAAGAGATTCACGACCAGAGCAACATGTAACATGGATGCCTCGTCGCTCCTGGTTAAAGATTCGTAGAGTTCATAGTCGAATGCTTCCTCACTACTATCCTCTGCATCTCGTAGCCTCCTCAACGATGCCCCTTTTACTTCGTTCGCTGCAATACATGGGTCGTACATAAGACACGTCCTGGGTTGGATGTTGTTGGTCTCGATTCCTTTTCCTTTGCTCAATTCGCTTTTGGGTTGCGGTCGACTTGCTTCTTCCTCCTTGATTTTGAAGTTGTACGGGCTGATTAACGGCTCTCCCTTGAGCGAATGTGGCATGTGATCGGCCCATTCCTCTACATCTGCCGCAATCCGTGGTTTTAAGTCACCTAGAAGTGGCACTCTTTCTGCCGCACTATCAGAGTTGCAGCAGGCGTCATGACTTTCAAACTTGACATCTTTAATGGCTGCTCTGTACGCGGGCGATTTGGACCAGTCTGGGAGTGGTAGACGTAGTGGTTCGTCTTCTTGGGGGTCCCTTGGGTGTCTCCGATGCTTAGGCTTGGCATGCAGCTTTTGAGAATCATCAGTCCTACGGTTCCGCGACATGGAGCATTTTGAGGCTTGCGGTCCATCGTTCGACTCCAGAATAGACACAGCCCGTTCTTCGTGGGGAACCCCTAAGAAATATCCTTCTTGACTTCCTGTTGCTATATTCCCTTGATTTTGTCCTTTGTGTTGACTAGTCCCTTTCATTCCGCCACTGGCCACTCCTGAACCGAGGTGTTGCTTAGTCCCTGTTGCTTGTGCAGCCTGTCGTCGAAAGAGATCGCTCCTTCTTACTTCTTGTGTTTCTCCTGGTTGAGGGCTAACAAGTGCATTTGAGTGGTGGCATAGTTCTCCACTTTCTACTTCAGGCACTCCTTCCACCGTCATGCTGAATTCGCCTTCCTCACTCACAAGTGACAGCTGAAAGCTCGTTGCACCCTTGGGGATTTCTGGCGGGGCGATCTGCTGTAAAATAATGGACCTTGTTTTATTACTCGAGGGTTCGCCTGCCTCATCTATTGTTTTGATGATTACAGCTGCAAAGAGAAGATCATTGCTCCACATTGGGTTGTGCCAATACATTATATATCTGGAGTGTGCATACCCTTGGAGGAATTGCTCCGATAACATTGCTTTGAGGGCCTTGTTTTGCATGGATGTGGTGGCAGCTTCTCCTCTTTGCTGCTCCAATATCATCGTTGCTCTAGATACAACCTCATGAATGTCTTCCTGACATATTTCTGGCGGGGCTAACCGTCGTAGTTCGGCTATTAGAGATTGGCGGAGATGAGTGGTCCACTTATTCTCGTTCGGCCCTATAGTCTTATACGTGGCTACTCTTCCACCCATTAGGGTAGAGAGGCCTAGCCTCGTTTCATGCTCGATCTCTTCATGCAGATCGTTCTCGTCTGCTTCGCTATCGCTACTATCCAGGTGACTCGAAATTGGGGTTTCTGACCCCGTGCTGCTGTCTTGTGACTCCTTCCGCTGCACTTTGTACTTCATGTGCGTAGCTGTTATTATCTGATCTGCATTGAACTCAGCTCGAATCACTTTAATAGCCGTTAAGCAATTGTCTGCGACGACCAAGAGCGCGTTATACTCCTGTCCTTGTTCGAGAAGGTACTCCGTTGCCTTGTCTTCTGGGATGCGAATGCTGCTGTCCTTGATTTCTGTCCCCGTGTCGCTCTTCTGCAGTGCGTCCTTCGTGATCGCTGCGAGCGACATATAATCATGAAGCGGATACTTGCTCCTCATATCGTCCGACTTTCCATCTTTTGCGGCGGTTCCTCGCACTACGCATGCTCCCTGATCGCTTCTGGTAATGAAGTTACAGATTATTAGTTTGACCAATGCTTGGATTTGCAGATCACTAAACTTAGCACTTCTGTTCTGGACTGCTGCGGCGTCAACCACCGCATGGATTGTGCTTCTACACTCGGACTTGGTTAGTTGACTTCCTGCATTGTCCACAACGGATTGTAGGACCTTGCCTTTGGCCGCGGCTAAAGCATATGATCCTCCGCTACCACCAAGAGCGTTCCCAGGGACTCGTTCAATTTTGAAGGATGTGATGTAGTCGAATTTCGGGTCGATTTCCAAGGCCATTTCATCCACGATCGACTTGTATCGGCGGTTGTTGTTAGGCGTGTTCTCTTCCTTGATTCTATTTTGATTTGTGCTTGCCGGCATCATTTCCTCGTTGTTAGCCTTTCTCCCTCGACCGTGTCTGGGAAAATTGATTAGATGAGCACCTTTATTCCTCTTGCCATATGCGCCAGATTTGTTGGCTGCTTGCGTAAGAAGATCTTCCATGGAAATATCCGAATCGGATTCGTAGATCTTGTTTTTGACTATTGCTGTCACCGATTTGCCCCTGTCGCCGCTTCGATTCACGTTCGCTTCTGCCATATCGTCACTTTTTGAGATCTCTTCAGCGGGGATGATGAGCTTGTGAGCCTCCTTGCCTCGTTGCTTCTTCTCCTTATACTCACTTCCACGGCTGCGCTCGTGCTCGTTAATACTGATCTGCTCTTCTTCCATCATATGTGCTCCTTCGAAAAACCTGCCCACATTACGATTTAACACATTGTACGTGAATGGTTTGCTAGTAGGCTTGCTAGCTGGAGTCGATGCGATGGATGAGGAGGCAGCGGCTGTGTTGGTGCTCCCTCGTAGCAGGTTTCCTTGCACCTTGACATCTCTTTGATCTTCCACCCTGCGGATTTTGAGCGCCTTCTCAGTGTTGCCTCCTCCCGTTCTATCTGTAGTCCTTGTTGTCGATAGCGAGAGCAGTTCTCGACGGTCGTACCTGTCTGTCAATTGCCCTTCTTCCGGGCCACTTGCTCCGCGAGTTACTTCCTCATTGTTACTTCGAGCTTGAGCTTTTCGACTTTTTACAAGTCCTCTGGGAGGCGAGAGCGACTGGAAGAAGATGTCCTCGTCGTCGGACTGGATTTCTTCAAGATAACAGTTATATTCGCTGTATTCGAGTAGTGCTCTATACGAGTCGCCTGGTGATTCGTCAGCCTTGTTGATGCGACGTAGTGGGGGACAGTAAGCATCAGGATCCGCAGCTTTCGCCGCTGCAACCACGCAAGCCTGCATTAGTTGCGGTTGGTCCCATATTCTGCTTGCCTCCGTAGAGATGCGCGGCTTCCCGGAGAGAGTTGTTACGAATTCTTGTACTGTGAGCTCTGCTATGGCCTTTTTCTGATTTCTGGTAGGCTCTTTTTCTCCCCATACGCTTTCCACGCTCTCTGCTATTTCTTTTGCAACCACTGAGGTGAAGAAGATGTCCTCGCGCATGATGGGTTTGCTCACTCCATGATCGAATTGTTCACCGGGGGCGCTTATGGGTGTCATCGCTTTGGGAGCTGGCGAAATTTCTTTCTGTATAAAGGACTCGATGGTGACCCTAAGGTCAAACACCCATGATGACGAATACTCTCCACTTGAGCCGCTGATATTGTCGTCTGAAGGTTTCATAACCATCCGATTCCTATTACGAAGTCTGGGGGAAGCAAGGCCGTGCAGGAGCAAGAGATTCGCTTCAAATCTTTTACTAACGTTGCAGTTTCTGAGCTGGTCCTCTTGCGTTTGTGCGTCAACCTCATCTGCAGTTGACTCCTTGTTCTTCGTCTCTACACCTGCTTCGGATGCAATTTCTTTCTTGGTTTCTTCTTCACTTGTGTTCACGGCACCGCAGGCACCTACTTCCACACGGATGACTACTTCATTTTGTGTATACAGGAAGATCTGGAAGCGGTTCTGTTCTCCCTGATTGCCTTCTAGAGGATGTTCTTCCCATCGCATTGTCAGTTCGTCGGCCTTGTCTTCCTCGTGGTCATTTATAACTCTGACTAGGGCAGCCGTGAGAGCAATTTCATTACTCCATAAATGCGAATTAGTATGCCTGATGTGTTGATGTCGTGCTAACCCGCCTAACAGATTGTAGTATAGGAATGCTACAATTTCCTCTTCCTGTGTACTGCTGATACCACGGTGACCTCTCTGTTTTTCCAGGATGTTGATGACTCGGTGAACAATCTCTTCAATTTCGTTGATGGAATAGGTGGGGTGGATCATCTCCTTTAGCTTTTCGGCTATGGATTGTGCGGCTTGCTCTAACCAGTTGTTGAAGATGGGGCGGCTGAGATTGCGAAAATCGTTTACTACTCCATTGACTACTGTTATTAGAGTCGGGTACTCTCGCTGACTGTTACTGCCGCCGGAGACATTTGAGTCTACGCTACTTCTGCTCCTCGTGTCTGCTGGTACTGGCTCCGCGCAGAGAACGGTTCTGCCACGCGAGCTGGCAGCAGCAAATGTACAGTCTTTTGCAGAGGACATGTTCTTGATGGGGACAGGAAATGTCTGTCTTTACATGTGCTTACATTTAGCACTTTGAAGATGTTGTTGAGGGTCGAAAAAGTTTGTTTATGAGTCAAGTCTCTATGCGGCTGTTAGCGTTTCTACACTGCTTCTGAGGTATGGCTTACGTGCGACAACATATGACATTAGAACCCTATGGATTCAATTCAATTCAACTCATGTCGCCTTTGTTCAGAGGTAAGAATTGTGAATTTACCGGAAGGAAGGAGCAGCTTCTAGGAAAACTAAGACTGGATACACAGGCTGTCCAGGGATACATAGGACAACATGCTGATCTGCATATCAAGTCAAACCGACCTATGCTTCGCAGCGCGACCAGACTTTCTTGTAGTTCACATCAACAATCTTTGCCCCCTTTTTTTTTTTTTTTTTTTTTTTTCTTTTCTTTGTAGCGCGAGCGAGTTCCGATGAGTCAAGCCTACATTCCTGTGGGATGACCACTTTGCTTCAGTTGAATTTCACACTATGGGGAAGTCGTGTTTAAGTTCATTGACTCATTGCGTTGACATGTACTTGAATTGCTCGGAGACTTGTCGTGGATTCCACATCCCGTCTTGTGCAGTTCAAATCTGCGCTATCCTACAAATATTGCATCGTCTTATTCCTTCGCATTTACATTTCTTTCGTTGACGTCGTCTTGCTCACATAATATAGGTACGCCGTGGGGAGATGCGAAATACGATGAGTCGCTCCCCCCTGATTAAATCTTGATGATTTTCTTTCGTTCACAGTTGATCATCGTCCTTTTCTTCAAGTGACATACTGAGTGAGGATTCTGAATCTGAAGACGTACCACTTGGTGACGAGACTTTCAATTTCATTTCTGCTTCCAGTTCAGCGCTTTGCTCTTTGAGTGCTTCATCTGCCATACTTGTCAGAATATAATCTTCTGGAGGATCGATTTGAACATCATCGTCCTTGCCTTCATCCCATTCGTCTGACGGCAGTAACTTCTGGTCAATGATTTGTCTTAACTGGTTCCATTTCATTCGATCTTTCATCTCACGTAAGATGACCGGATACGAATTAGCTCCTTCCTCTAATTTGTGCTCCTTTACATCGTCTTCTGGTAACCTCCTCAACAGTTGCGGATCGTAGATATCGAATTTCTTGGTAACACTGCAGCAATTTTTCGCCGACAAGATGTGCGCGTGTATAGCAGGAAGCTTCTGCTGAACTAAAAAGAGTTCGGCGCTGCGTATTTTAAGCCTGTGCGCGGCTCTCCATAGGGCTTCGTATGCGAGTGAACCTATCTGCGGTAGATACCCAAAATTGTACACTACACAGGTTTTCCCTTGCATTTCCTTGTGTGCGACCTCCAGTATCCTATCGATTACCATGGCAACTGCGAGAGTTACCTTGAAGTTCCTCGCACGTTCAGCGGCCACAAAGGACGCGTCCGGCAACGTGACGGTCCACCACATGGGAATTGCGTACTGGGCGGCTAGCGAGGCTTGTGTGCCTACATATTTGGCCACTACGCTCTCGCCGCTCACTACGAGCAAGAAATCGCATGATTCTACTTGAGAAGGAGAAATCATTCTTGGTGGCGCGGTATCGGAGGCTATCAGCTTATTGTACGTGGAACGACTGGTGTGGGACTTAGCCAATTTGAATGATCGTAACTCCGGCGGGGTTTCGCCGATCGGCGTCATCTCTTGGATAGTGAGCCTTAATAGATCTACCATCTGTTCATCGCCTGTAACACTCATCCAATTCACCAAAGCGTTGTCTCGCGCTCGTGGGCCCACAATCGACGGCCGCTGAAAACCAGTCATGGCGGAGAAGAACAAGTCTGCGCTTCTGTCTGATCCATGTTCTGCCAGGAGTTGATTTATTGCTTGATTTGAGAAGCCGCACTCCGATAACATGGCAGCAGCGATCTTTTCCTCAATGAATTCCTTTTCCAGGGAATCCATGCGATCTGCAAATGCTGGAAAGAGGTGTACTATCGGAGAAAATGCGAGTTGTTGAATAATATCCAAAAGGTCTGTTCCTGAAACCACGTTTGAGAGTAAGCCTCGCACTCGCATGGCCAAGTACCTGCACGCACCAATCCTCCTGTTGATCGCGTCCTTCATAGAAGCAGCTAGATCATATCTGATAGGGAATCCGCATATCGTCGCTTCATAAACAATTTGCGGCGCAATCCCGAAAACCCGATATAAACTCTGTGCCTTATTCGCTAGAGTGTCCCGTTCTTGATCTTCAAATTTGGTCAGCATCACTAGCTTGAACTTTTTCTTCCCATCGAAGAACAGGGAGAGATCATCTGTCAAGAGTTCCACCATCCGGCACACCGCATGAGAGGAAGCTCGCAGGTACGGGCAACCTCCTTGTAGTTCTTTTCTGGTCGTTGTGAGGAGAACTGAGATGTCGTCCACACAAATTCGCATCACGAATTTAAGATCGTTCGCTGTCTTTTTTATCTCCGCGGTGAGTAGATGATACTCTTCCCAGTAATCCAGATCACATTCGCGCAGCTTGAATTTATCCTCTTCTATTACATCGTCCATTGTGTATTGGCTCCATCGGACTAGTAGATCTCTTGCATTCTGCAGTGGTTGATCAAGTGCGAACTTTGGTGGCGTCTTGCTTTGTTCTTTTGCCTCCCGTATGCTCAGGAGCGTGCGGTGCAAAAACGCAAGGTAGGGGGCACAAGCTGCAATTGCGATTTCACATGCTTCGTTTGTGCCTATGATCAAGTGCGAGAATCTGCGTAAGGCGACAAGCGTTGGGCCGTTAGATGTGAAGACTTGTTTAGATACGTTCGAAGCGGCAATGAAAAGGATTAGCTCGGGTCGGATCTTGTAAAGGCGCAAGACTCGCAGGAGAAGCTGGAAAATCATGGTGTTGAACATGTTGCAGAAGTCTGTCACCGAAATGAGAACGATTGCTTCTGGATTCTCCAATGTGGTCGTAATTGCTGTATCCCATGCTTGCCTACAAACATCCAGCGCTGAGAGTTCTCTTCCGCCAGCCGTGAATGTCCCAAGGGCTCCAGCTTGCTCAGTCCGGGTCTTTAATTGTCTGCAAGCGTAGGAGAGGAGCGCACGCACTGTGGGCTCGGCACTAACGACCAGACGAAGCTGGGACCCCTTAGCCGCTTTTCCCTCTTTATGCAAGTAACTAGCGACCTGTCTTTTGAGATGAGCTGGAACGAAGGAGGGAATTGACCTAGCAGTTTGTTCCTTTACTTGATTCAAAGAGTTCTCCATACAGGCCCGGAAGAGTTCCAGAGCTACTGGCGACCTCCTCATCGCTGCCAGCAATGTCTTCCTCGCCCCACTTGGTGATTTCATTTCAGGTTTCTCTGCTGCATTTTGCAAGAGCTCCGTGGCTATATTGGTAGAAATCCTTATAGGATCTAGGTTTCGTGCGATGAATAACATGTCCTCGAAGATGTCATTGTTGCACAGCTCAGGATGGCCTAATCCTGTTATTTTCCAGAAAGCACTCGCCTTTTCGAGGTGCTCCGCCGTCAAACCTGCCGCGACTTGCGCTGGAGTCTCGCTGACTAAGGTACCTGTCCGAAGACTGTGAATAAGTCCAGTAGGGGTTCCTCTCTTGGAGCCCATTACAGATTGTTGGACGCTGGTGGTGGCAGAAAAAAGCGCACTCGACTTCTGGACGGTGAGCGACCTCATTGCAGCTGTGATCGCCTTCTGCCTCGTTTCTTCGTACGCGATCATCTGTTTTTCGTTCATTGCTGCTTCTCGTGTGACGGATCCGGAGGGTTGTTGCCAAATTTTCATCGGACGTTCTTTGTCAACCTTTTCCCCGATAACGTACCCTCCAGCGATAGCCACTGCCGAGAGGAAATCAGCCAGTTGAAAGATGTTGTTGGGAATTGGTCGACGAAGCACTAAAGACCGCAATTTCTTCTTTTTCTTCCCCACAGGATTTTGTGCCATGGCTGCATCTCTCTCGCGACGTCTTTCCTCTCTCCATCGCTTTTTTGGAAGCACGGCCCTCTGGAAGAGTAGATATCGTTCTATATCGTTCGCATAGTCATATTCAAGGATTTTCGTTTCTCGAGGCATCTTAACCTTGAATTCAAATCCATGTGCCAGATCATCCTTTGTAGCTAGCACGTAATGTGAGATGTGGCGCTTGGATGACGGATGTTGAAAATCTGGATAGCTGCTGAGAACTTGTGCTCGTGTCTTCGCCTTCACGGCTAGGGCATGGGCTTCTTGGTCTTTCTTGAGTTCCTGATCCAGCCTTGTCTCTACCGAAGCTGCATCGGTTAGAGATTGATTCGAGATGTATAGAGCGGCATGATCCGATGGATAGTCTTGAAATTCATCATCATTCAGCAACTCGTGATACTCTTGATCCTTGATGTGAAATTTTCGTACATCCCCCGCGGATATATGAATGATGTTGGTGAAGATATGGTCAATCGTTGTTCCAGCCTCGGATCTAAAGCATGTGACGCCTACTCCGCGTATACGGTGCCCGCCAATCGCCAAGATGGGATCTATAAGCGCTTCGCGCACTGCTGGAGAGGGATCCGAAGGTTTGCGGACAAGTGGGTCGAAGTTGAAATCCCCAGCTACGATCACGTGCCTGTCCCTGGCGGACGTCTTCAACCAGTTCGCATACTTTTGCAGTTCCCTTTTGGCCGCCGGGAGATTCAAGTCTTGTATATCTTTGTGAGGTCTATAGTACACACTAACAAGGATTAATTTTTCGTATACTGCTGCAGCGAAATATGCAACAAACGCTCGTGACTTGCGTATTTCGGTGTTCATCTGCGGTAAATCGTCCGGATTTGCTTCTAAGGCGAGAGCCTTGATGCCACCTGCAATCGGCATCGGGGCGGGATAATCTCCAGATGCCAGTTGTAGAATTGCCGCTCCCCCGGTGCCGTCCGGCCCACATTTTTCCACTATTGACGTAACTGCTGCTACACAATAAGAAATCGTCTCCATCTCGGCTTTAGGTGCGTGCTTACCTTGTTTCCCTTTGCCGGTTCTCCCCTTACCTTTAGTCGGGGAATAACGTCGATTGGTCTTATTGTCTTGCAAGCCTCTCTGCTTGGGGCGCCTAAATTGAAGCCTGCTCGCTTCTTTTGGCCAAATTGCTTTCTTGAACTCTTGTACGAGGATCCATGTGGGTCTGAATTGAAACACGAATTGCTTCAGTCGCTTCCACGCGCTCCAGCCACCCATGTTCCACACTAGGATTCCCCCATTTGCATCAACGAAGTGGCCATCCTCCCAATCGTCAGCAATGAGATGCCATGGGCGTATGATCGTCTCATTTGCATCGGGGCGCGTAGATTGCAATACATTTGGATGAAACAGAGTGTCTTGAATCCTCGCAAGATGTGTGTGCACTACAGGCCACATAGTGGTGGCCTCCTCTGGAGCTCGGATAATCGGTCCGCGTGGATCATACAAATCATTCGAGTTCTGCCATGCTGCAATTCTCTCAGTAAATTGCAACAGAGGTACCGTTTCTAGATGCACCTGAGGCGTGCCCGTCTGAGACTTTACTATGGCGAACCATTTATCCTTGTATTTCGTTGGCACAAAAGTAGCTCCCCCTGCAGCTGTGTACACCATTTTTTTGTATAAGTCATCCATTTTCGCTTTGCTGTCGATGCTGGCGAAGTGGTTCGGTAGTGATTCGTACCTCTGCAGCATGTCGTCCGTGTCTGAACAGTCTCCTTGGAGCATGTGCTGCATCATCTCGGGAAATTCGAAGACCATACGTTTCCTAGTCTGAAAACTGCGGAATTTGACTTTGTCTGATTGAGGATGAATTTCGGAGGCATACATGAGTTTGGCTATATCTGACAAGCCGTTAACTTGCGCGGTTGTACCGTTTGCCAGGATGTCTACGTTGGTCCAAGTTGCGTCGTACTTCCAAGCTCGTAGGTGCCATTCCTGCGGCCTTAGCAGAGCGCTTTTTCCTTCCTGCTGCCGTCTCTTAGCGTATATCGCGCTTTCTATGTCCGCGGTATAACTAAATGGGGCAGCGAAGGCCAGTAACATAGCCGTCTGTCTTCCTGTTTTGATTGCAACGGCCAGAGGCGCAATTTCCGCTTGCACTTGCGTCTGAGCTACAAGAAATTCTATCGCAACCGCTTTCAGTCGGGCGTTGGTCTCAATAGCGCGTGCACGAAATAGCGGAATGAACTTTCCTCGTCCTACTATGGCTGCTTGTACTTCATGCGAGGCTAACAGCTTAGCCACTGGTTGCGTGAGGGCTCGTGTAGTGATGGGTGCAATCGGGTGAACGTTGCCTTTTTCATCCTTCATCTTTTCTTGAAAGTTGATTTGATTCGATATGTGCGTGGCATTCTGCTTGTGAATCTTCATTGCTTTCGTGCACAGAACTTGAGCATGATCAATAGCAACTTCTGCCTTGTGGAAGTATGCCTTTGCTTCGAAAATCCCAGCACGTCTGTAATCCATGAGATTTGGCTCTGCGTTCATGGTAGCCACTCTCTCTACTTGTAGTTTTTTTTCCGGAACTTTCTTCTTTGATTCGACTTCTCCCACGGCCTCATGATATGCCACACCATCATCGCGTGGAGCAAAGGACGGGCGAATTACAGCTGTAGAAAAGAGCCTCTCTCGTCCTGCCCTTGTGGTCGGCTGATACTTAGTCTTCCTCACATACTTTCTCTTCGGAGCAACCACAACATTGTTTCCCTCGGTGAGTTTGCCGCTCGTGGAGGCGGATTCTACCGCGGTTGGAGGCTTCGATGGAGATTCATCTCTCGCAACATACTGTGCTCGCGTGCCCTTGCATTCGGTTGTGCCACAGCGTGGTGGTCGGGACACGACGTGGCCATCATGCCCGTGTGCGTCCAAATGTGATAAGTTAGCACATTTTTCCGTCACCCTTCCCAGGGTTGTTACTCCTTCCGTGGGAATAAGTGGAGTTCCCTTCCTCTTCGCAACGGTAGGGGTCTGCATATTGCCTTCAAGCCTGCTTCGAGATGAGGCAGCGGCTCCTGGTACACCTGGCGGCACATGCTGCGTCGTCTGGGCCTTCTGCGACTTTTGCGGACTCTTCTTCACTGGTCGCTCGCGAGGAAGCATATGCGCATTTGCAATTCGCCCCATGTTTTGTTCTCCTCGTTGTTGCGTAGGTCGTTAGGGCACACTTTTACAATGCCGCCCGGCTACGTGCTGACCGCCTGCTAGTGGCTGGGAGCTGCACGCGCTTCCTGCAGTTCTCGCAAACGGGAGCAAGGGCTCCCTTACCAGGTGGAGATCGACAACGTATTTCCTCTTCGACCGTTCCCTTCACAACTCAATCCCTTATCTGCGTCATGTCACACTCATAAAGTAGTGGAGACAATCAGTCCAGCGTTTTAAAGACTTCTGAAACAAATGGCCGAGATACTTGTTTCAGTTTCAGAAACCGAAGAAGAGGGGAATGTAGTTTGGGCGTAGTCTACTTTCTAATAGGGATACTACGATGATGTTCAGCGGCACCCTTAACTGAACTGCAGCTTGAAACTGCGCCATCCGTTGGTTTTCATCGTCCAAGACATGCAACAAATCCAGGTCAAATCTAGCTGGATTGCTCTCCCACCTTCTAACGTCATCACACAGCATCTTGCGTCCGCTGATTGCTTCTTTTAGAGCTACTTTCATGATATTATATCATCTTTAGATAGACTGACGGACGTTAGACAAAAAAAAGTGGTGACAACTTCAGACAAAGTTTTGAGTGATTTCTGAGCAGGACGTTACTTTGGTGCCTACTATTCCATCCCGAAGATCATCCTGAGACGGACCCGCGACCCTTTAAGAAAGGGTCCTCTCGGGATCATCTTGAGACCTCTTTAAACGGTCTTTAAAACGTCTCTCCGTCGCAGGATGTCTTTGTCTCCCAGGATGCTATATTCTCTCCAGATGACCATTAGGTCTTTCAAGATGGAGCAGTCGGAGAAGCCTTAATTCTTGCCACGCTAGTTGTGATTTTACTTGCGCTTCCGAAGCTATGTCGGTCAAGACACCTTGTTGCTCACACAGCTCTTGCACTCTTTGCAAACTCTTAGAGTACGACAATAGCACAACACCCCAAGCTTGTGGCACTTGTCTTCCAGCAGCAACGCAGACCTGGTACTTGTCGCCGTCATGCAGGTACTCTTAGAGCTCAAAACATAGTTCAGTTCTTCAGTTCATTTCTTCAGAACAATCCTAACAGGAGGGAGACCGAAGAAGATGACAGACCTTCTTCAGAACAATCCTTAGAGGAAGGAGACCGAAGAAGAAGATGACAGACCCTTGGAATAAATGAATTGTTGTATCGAGCCTTAATACTCTAGAATCACGCCAAGCAATTCCTCTGGCAACTCGGCCAAATGCAGAGGCTGTTCGGCAGAGTCCAGCGTAGTCCGGACACGGGCACCACAATGACGATCCACTGGAACGGATGAGGATCTTCTTTTCGTCATATTATTGCTCTGGGTACTTGTTGTATTACTTGATGTATTTGTTGTACCCGATGATGCAGTTGTGCCTTGTTTAGAAGTCGAAGATGAAGAAGAAGCTGCTGCTGGATTGGCAGAGACGATCGCTGTCGTACTAGAGTTCATTTTCTGCAAGCTGGCCTCAGATTCCGGGTCTTGTCCGACCAATTGCAAATCCGCTTCGTCTACTCGATAGACGGCTGATGACTGCTGCACAGAAGCTGTTGAAGAACTAGAACTAGAAGTTGCAGTGCTTTCTTTCTGTTCTTTCTCTACAGGAGCACTAGAAGCCTTAATACTGCTTCCTTCCACATCACTGCTTCCCTTTTTTGCACCTGTTCTTTCTTTCTCTCTATCCATGCCCACAACTTTTACCAAAGCTCCCTTTCCCTCGGCAACTGACCATCTGTAATTGACCGCCACGCCTGGTCGACTACTGGCTGCCAGGGTTTGGCGTAGACCCGCATTCGTTGCGTAGGGTCTACTTGAGGGTCCAAAACCGGTGCTGCCGGCTCTACCAGGTCTGTAATCTGTTGGAGATGGTAAACGAACAGTGGGAGCAGTACCAACACCAGCAGGGTGTGTTGCAGTTGAGGAAGAAGTTGAAGAACTCGCGAAACCTGTTGTAGTTGTGTTTGTGGTTCTAGAAGAAGTAGCAGCGGTGGTTGAGCTAAATGTTGGTGGCGGTGAGAAAGCGCGACCACCGGGAGCAAAAGGATGACGGATGAAAGCTGGCGTTGATATGTTGACACGTTGAGGAACGCTGTACGCGGTGGCAGTCCGTATCGAGGCATTTTCTGTCGATGACGTTGCTGCACCTGCTCCACTAGAAGAGGTGTTCGAGGTTGAGGTTGAGCCACCATTTCTAGTACTTGAAGAGGTAAACGCAGAGGATGTCGACGTTGTGTTCATTGTACTCCCTACAACTGTGTGTGTTCCTCCCTTGATACTTGACTTCGGTCCAGCTGAAGTTGAGCCCCCTTCAGCACGCGCAACAATGCGTCTCCCACCAGGAGGGATTCCCAGGATATCGGACGCGATTTGGATGCGCTTTCCAATGGCAGCAGTGCTGTCGGCGAAGCTTGGACGACTGTGATAGGATCGTCGCCGCAGTGCGGCACTGTCGTTCGACGTGTTGTAGTGGTTCATAGTATTAAACACTGGCGGACGTGGGGACATCATGCGCGTTGTGGGCCTACCTCTCGTTGGCCCAGATGAACCCTGTTGATGTCCTCCAGACATTGGTTGCTGCGAGTGCATTGTAGCGGAGGTGGATGTCGTTGTAGCACTACTAGTACGATTTTAGAACTAAGCGAAATCCATCCGCAGCAGCGTCTTCGGTCCCCTTTTCCCTTTAAAAACGGGACCCGGAGATGCTTCTGAAAATGGGAGATTTATTCTTGTAGAAGCCTTAACTATTGCTGTAGTAGATCGAAGTACCCGTCAAGGAAGGCTGTGCTGTGATCGAAGAAGCCGGTTGTCCTCCTGCGCCACCTGTTCTGAGAGGGAGAGGTGCAAACTTCAAACCGACAAGAAACGGATCGCTCATATTGTATGTTGTTGTAGCAGATGACAATGTATCCTCGTTCGTCGTCCTACCAGATTTTTTATGTCCGCCAGATGATCCTATCGTATAGGGCATCCAGATCCTTGGCTGAAACGCGAATTCACTGGCTACCTTCGTTGCACGCAGCTTCATATCATGAGGCGCCGTCACACTAGCCAACAAGGCTGCGTCTTCTCCCTGCTTCAACATCTCTTGTGCGCCTCTGGCATTCCCTGCTTTGAATGCTTCCGCTTGTTTAGCCAGGTCTCGCGCGTAACGCTCCAGTGTCGCAGTTGCAGCCGTTGACGGTGGACTGGGAGCACGTGGTGCAGGCAGCATCTCGACACGGGGAGCAGGCAACCCGGAGCCACCGGAGAGAACCTGAAGAACGACTGGAGGCATTCTTGCTGTCGTCCCCGTATTGAACTTGAAGATCTTAATGTAATACTATTACTAGTTGTAATGCTTTATTAAGTTTGTTTCTCAGGTCAAATGGATAGATGGTGCTTTCTTGGCGGGTAGTTACTTACTGAGGGTTAAGATGAAGTCCTCCCGCTCTACTAAGTCATTATTTTTAAGTACACAAAAACACAAGATGATGAAGATTCTCTCTATGTTGTATCACATATTAGTTCGTTGCCTACTCAAAACAAGTCACATATAATCAAAACAAAAGGTGCCTGACAAAAGCAGCCATATAGACATTATTAAGAGGAAAATGAGGAGCAGGAGGGTCGAAACTTTAACTTCTTACCTAATATACCGAGAAGAGGAAGCACTGACTCTAGAAATAATGGGTACTCAAGTACTTAGGTTTGCTCCCTGTCGAACAATTGGATCAGACAGATGAGACGAGACCTATGTTTGAGACAGACAGCCAGACACCAGACAGAGAGATATATTTCTCAAGAAGAAGAGATTCAAACACGACTCGACGTTAATCTCAAAAGCCACGAAGGAATACTTCTGAACAAGAAAATGCGCTCGACTCAACGACAGCGAACACGACTACGACACCGGTCTATTGCCGATCATATAGATACATATTCATTTTTGATGTGACAAAACTTACATCCTATTTCTCTCACTCTCAGGACAGAAAACGAACTGACACCAGACACAACACGATAGTGATGAAATGAAATAACTACCTACTTTCGTCGCTCTCGTTGCACAACTTGCTACAAGGGACGGGACGAATAGCCATAGCAATAGCAATTAGGAGGTCGAATTGATCTCTAGGCGCACACTCCTCGTTTGGCTGAACATCTTAGATTAGATTAAGTAGATTAGATTAGATGGCTGAACATCTTGTCATGATTCCATAAGAACACACGTTGTTTCAGTTCTGGTGCTACTAGTAGAAGACCGAAGGAAGGGTCCGCTGCAGCGCCTCCCGTCTACTCCGCGGTTAGGATAGGATAGGAGTTGGCTCACCTATGAGGGGGTGAGCGTTCGAGGCGGTGCGTGCTGAGAGCATTCATAGAGATGCATAGCACATAACGAGAACGAACACGAACACCATGACACTGAATAAAAGGAGCCCCCATGCATCTTCAAAAGGTCACATCTTGATACGCATCGTCAAAAGGTCACATCGAACAATGTAAGAGTCAGAATCAAGCTTCAGAACAATGCCATCTTCAAGCAAGTGTACGACAACGACCTAAAAATATCGCTATCTTGTTATAGATCCGTCAGACGAGGAGTCTTCCTCTTCAGGAGAAGTCAGAGTCAGAGTCAAAAAACGGTCTGTGCGATTGTCCTACCAGATCATACTCGAGTCCGCTATATTTTGTACTTGCTCTTATAGTACCCGGCTGCGGCCCCCGGTGGTCACCTAAATTTAAAAACATTTTCAGTTTCTTTCTTGCAGCTAATAATTTAATATCTTCACGCAATATGTAAGTATAGCTTTCTGCAGAGAAACACTTGCGTCACCATGTGCAAGCATCAGACAAGAAACGGTTCAGGTGGTTGTCTAGCGCTACAAAAGAAGTACCTCCTAGTCCTCTCTTCATGGGCTCGCTCACGACGTAGAAGTCTGCTTGTTGCTCATGAGAAAATGCGCAAGGAATTCCACAGGGTTATCAGGTCTCTCTTTGGCTACGGCGGCTAGACCAGGCAGCAAAGTCGGGACTTGAATTAGAAGAGTCTAGAAGGCATATTTGTTAAATAGTTGACAATGCTGAGATGAATCATCCGAACAGACTATACTGGTAGATTCTTTATCCTAGGTAGTCGTTACAACCGACTTTACATCAAAGCAGGAGCGGATGTAATGGCTTGATTCGTCATTAGTAGCCAATACTCACACATCAAGGGGAACAACTTTTAAATACTATCCTCGGTAGTCGTTGTAGGTATCATATTTTGTCAAGAACAGCACGGACTAGGAGTATCGGTATCCCTCTAAACATATTGGTAGGTTGTATATTGGTACTGGTAGGTACCCCGAATTAGTTGGTAGGTAAACTGTATATTGGTAGGTACCTTCGTAGAGGTACCTTCGTAGGTGTATCTATTGGCCTTAAAATCTGCGAGTCCAAATATTGTCTGAGAGGCATCGTCTGCACCTTGGTGTCTGGTGCGAAAACCTCACTTCTCGCTATTGAAGCTACTCGCTCCAGCTCTCGCTGTCTTGGTCCGGCACTGGATTCAGCGCGTGGAAGCTCAGGAACAACCGCTTCACCTTCTTCGGCCTTGCTGTCACCTTCAGGCTCGGCCATTCTTTTAAGATTGATTTTGTTTTACCGACTTGATGAAGAAAAGACGTTGAAATACTTGCTAAGTTGAGTCGAACAAAGAGAAGGCGTAAATTTGAATTTTTGACTTTCTTCTAGTTTAGAGTAGGAATTTAGGCAGAAGAGAGAAATTAACTCAAAGTTTCTTCTAGTTATAAATTTCCACTGCACGTCATTTCGGGAGATCTTCCGGGGGCGCCTTCCTTCGAGGGTTTTTCAACGAGGTCGACGTAGCCGTAGGAGGTAGATGAATACAACAAGAGCTCTTGTAAATCGCAGCATTGTAGCTTTAACGAATAACAGCGGATACAACAGGGAGTAAGACGAGGGAAGGTCGTGGTCGAGGAGAGTAAGACGACACGCGAATTGATAGTAAGTAGAAGTATCTCTCTCTCTCCTCACTCAGCACCAGCAGTCTCTTGCATCTTCTCCAAGACCAAGGACTACGTCTCCTCCATTCTTCAAAAGTATAATCTGATACAAATACAAATTTTTGCTGTAATACGTAAACCCTTCAGTCACGACGACTATCCTCCTCACTACAATGACAACGTCGATGATATATGTGGTTGATTGCTCCTCACGTCAATCGAATGCTACCTTGCAGGAGGTGTGGGAGAGCGCTCCGTTGATCTGGCAGACACCGACACCGTAGTTTAGGGTGTCTCTTAGGGTCTCATCAAAAGGAATATCTTTGAACATGTTAGTTTAGGGTGTCTCTTCTAGGATCTGGAATTCTGAAGACATTTCCATGTCCTCAAGAGTAGAGAAGTTTTCTAGAAGGGCTAGCAGATTCACTAAGCTTGTTGCCACGCGATGGCAATGTCGGTTTATGTGGATCAGAGCTTCGTTACTGGTTGTTGGCAAAACTAATGTCGTCAACTCTATCCTGCCATTTAGGACACCATATTCTTCTATCTTTTATCGATGAAGATATAATGTTGCTTCATGTTCCCTAAAAGACTAACCAAAACAGCAAGATCGAAACGTCAAGTAATCTCATTGGCCTTCGAATTTTTCGAGAAACGATTTTACTTCAAAGAAAGAAACTGATTGCATCTGCCAACCCACGAAGATAAGTCGAAAAAAAAGGCTGATATCCAAGAACGGCTCTATTTTCTTCAACCCTTTCTTTCGTTTTCCGGAAGTTGCTCTTTCCTTGTCTTCGATCATAAACTAAAATACGCGAGTCACTCACTAGAATAAGCGAGATACTGAAAGAAGAGCAACGTAGAAGTCACCCATATATTTCAGTCACTAACTCGGCTATTCTAAGCTTTCACATACCCAATGCATCTATTTTTGCCCTCAATGCATCTATTTTTGCCCTCAATACGTCTATTTTTGCCTTCGCTGCACCTTTTTCTCCACTCAATGCGTCTATTTCTGCCATCGCTGCATCTTTTTCTGCACTCAATGCACCTATTTCTGCCCGCGCTGCATCTGTTTCTGCACTCAATGCAACTTCTTTTGCCTCCGCTGCACCTTTTTCTCCAATCAACGCAACTTTTTTTGCCTCCGCTACACCTATTTCTGCACGCAATTGAGCCATGCGCGCTTCATTTTGAGCCATGCGCGCTTTATTAGCATTTCTCTCTTGTTCTGTACTCTTGGATCCTGCGCCTGCCTTTCGAACCCGTTGCAGATTACCAATTTTACGGCGAAGTGCATTTCTCTGTTCTTTTAAGTTCAAACGCTCTCGACTTGCTTGAGCTTCTATTTGTTGTACTTCCTCTTGTGTACGAATCACTTCCTCTTGTAGTTTTAGTGTTCCCCGATGAGCTGCTTCTAGATTCTTCCTTTTCTGGTTAACTATATTTCCTAGTTCTTTTTCGTTCGCCTTTGTTTGAGTTTGCATTTGTTCTATTTTCTTCAGCTTACGAGTCACTCCCGCTGTTGCTTCTAGTGCTAGTCTTGCCCGATGAGCTTCGGCTAAACTCTCCCTTTGCTGTTTTCCTTGGGTTTTTAGTGTTTCTTTTTGATTTTGAAGAAGAAGTTGTAGTTTCAGTCGATTTGCTTGCTCTATTTTCACGAGAGCAACTTCCGCAGATGCATTTTGTCCCTGCCCCGGGCTATCTAAGCGATCTAAGGAGCCAGCATGGGCATCAGCCTGCTCTTTTTGTTCTTGCACTGCCCTTTCGAGATCGGCGTCCTCCTTCCTTTGTTTTTCTCGGTCTTCTTCCTGCAGCTTTTTTGCTCCTTCACGCTTCTCCTCTTCCAATGCCTGTCCTCGTTCCACTTTTAACTTGGCCAGAAGCTCTTGTCGTTCTTTTTCGTCCTCTTGCTCTTTTTCAAGCAATTCTTGGAACATCCTGTCTTCCTCTGCTCTGGCACAGCGTTTCTCCTCTCCCAATTCGACTGCTTTTCGCAATTCCAGAATCGTTCGTCGTGTACGAAATTCCTTCACTTTCGCGTAGTAGGTCTGATACAGCGCGAGCACTCGTCGTACATTCGGCAGCAATACCGCTACAAACAGATTATCTGCGTTTGCGTGCATGTACTTTTTTTCACTACTCGCGTTAGCAATATGCGCCATTTTCGCTGCACATTTTCCTCGAATAAAGAGCTCCCTGTCAGAAAAGCAACGCTTCGCTCCGAAAAGCAACGCTAGAGATGAGCTTCCCCGTACGTTCCCAAGAAAATGCTCGATTTCTTTTTGTTGCTGATCCTTGGCGCCACAACCGGAAGACGCAGCTGCGCCCACCATGTGGCTCAGACGGTCAATAGCGTCGATGATAACATCTTGCAAATGCCGAAGCGTCAAGTTTTTCTTGGATGTAACAACATCATGATCACTCGCAGTTGGATGTTCCTGGAGATACGCAACGACAGCATCATCCAGTCCATTATGGCAGTTCTCCTGGTAGCTCTTGTGCAACTCCCAGCAGGTATCTATATCCGCTTCAGCAATGCGTAAGGCTCTCCACGACCGCGAATGGGCTGAGCCATCACCTCCGTCAACAGCGGCAGATGAGCGAGAAGCAAAAAATGCTGCATCAACATCTTTATCTTCATCCTCGCCAGACACATCACCAGCACCATCGAGGGTTCCAAAAACATCATGGCCAAGAAAGCCGCCATCTTCGCCAAAGTCCTGCACAGGATTGCAGACCAAATCATCCTCAGATCCAGACGCACCAGAAGCATTTGGAGTACAACTACTAGCGGCTTCCTCGACGTGCTTCTGCTTGCTCCTGCTAGGAGCATTTGGGACACCAGGCGTGGTAGTGCTCTCTGGGTTCTGTTTTTTACCTTTCTTCTTTCCTCTCTGTACTTGGACTGCGAGCCCCGCGTTCAGGACGAGGCCCATTGCTGCGAAAAAAACAAACTTCTTCATGGTTGTGCTAGTGTTGGATAGTCGTAGAAGGGAAAATGAGAAAAAACCAAAACTAAACGTTATTGGGTTTGGGGGTACAACGCAACTAAAAAAATTCGTTTTCTAGTACTATTCAGCTTCTATTCAGACGCACGGGTAAGTCTACCTTATACTTTGAAAATCTACCGGAGGTTGAGATATATCTACCGACTTCCTTGTGATATCCTGCTTAGGCTTACTTGGGCTTTTTCGTACCAACCTGCTAGGCAAAAGAGTTGCACTCTTCTTCTCTTATACTTGTTCTGTTCTTACTATCAGGAACGAAAGATAATTAGATCTATAGCTTGTCTTCTTCTTACTACGAGTACAATTAGTTGGTCTTTGAGAAATTTCAGTTAGTAAGTTCTTCTACAGATCGGTCTTTTGACTTCAAAAAAGTTTTCCAAAAAGTACAACTGGGAGAGTTTAGTGAGTTGATAAATCAAAAAACAAAAAAAGATGAAGATGTTACTCTCATGTATAAAGACAGTACATACATCGTCGCAAACGAAAAGATCTACTCGTTCTTATGAGTTCTACGCGGGATCTCGTCTCGGATCTGATCTCATCTTTACGAATATAGGATCTTATGTCTTCATCTTCAATACTGGATCTCATGTCATCACTATCGAATCCATTACATAGTAGTAAAAGGATCTATCATCGATGGTCGGGAAAACATGCTGCAAAGAAGAGCTACTACTTCCAGGTTATACAACTGAATCTTTTTGATAGCGGATCATGGATGCGGATCTCGTTTCCTCATCAATCATCATCGTCGTTATCAGCGTATTTATCAGCGTTCGTCGTCGTCGTCGTGATGCCTCAAACGGCGCGCGTACACTGTCGGCAAGACAAAAGAGATGTGTACGTGCCTCTTTCGAGTCACGAATGATAGATTGGAAAAGAATAAAGTGACCATCTGACGAGTAACCAAGTAAGAGGTCTGCCTCCTCGACGGAAACATACGAAGTAAGTTTTGTTAAAGCCGCCTATTCAATGACATTCCAGTGCGCCTGTAACTAGTAAGAGTGTAAATATCATGCTGGATCAACATACAACAAGACTCCCTCCTTTCTACCTAGCTTACAACAACAACAACGAGGATAGGGTAGAATAGGATAGGATAGGTTGCCTTTGCTACATCCGCACACGAGGTGCCAACACAAGCGCAGGCGGAGCGCCCAAAGGAGGACGTGAAGGGGACGTGGTGGTCGCCTCTGAGGGCGTTTTGGAAAAGAAAAGAGAGAGAAAGGGGGTTTTGCTGCCTTGGTTTACATACGTCGTATAACTAAAAATTACAGACTCAACAGGGTGCTGGGGCAGCAGCGGTACGTGGGTGTAATTCTTCCTCTTACAAGCTTCTTGTCTTTCAATTTTTCTTTTGTGGAGGTGTTCGTCGTGTGCGGGTCTAATTCAAGCGAAAGTAGGCGGCGGCTTATTATTCTCTAATGCTTAGAACACGTCATTCACATTTTGTTCACTTCCTTGTCAAGCAGTGGGACAAGTGATCAACTCCCAAGCATTCGAAACCTACATATTGTTAGTTGTCTACATATTGTTACGACGAAAAAAAAACGAACCTTTTCAAAAGACCAGGTGGGAGTCGCACATTGATGGAATGATGTATGAATGTAATGTGAATGAATAAGAGTAGTTTGCCCCGTTACCCAGTTGTATGTCTTGAAGGGAAGGCTGTGCAACATGTACATCCGAGTGGTGTAACCAAGGGGACATCCGAAGAAGATATCGAAGAAATTCCAATACCAATTTTTAGTCTAACTCACTAGTTGGAGCACTGGTTTCCTCTATCATAGGACACCTCTTCTCACCCCAGTAGCAGCAGGCTTCACTCCTTTATCCCCTGAGCAAGAAGACGAGGTCCCGGTGGTGACCTCCTTCTCTTCCATGTGTGTGGACGTAGCATCGACCTCCTTCTCCTCCATCTTTCGTGATCGTGTGGACGTAGTATTGACCTCAATCTTCTGTGCAAGAGCTTCAGCTCCATCTTGTTCTGTCAGTTTTAGACCAAGGGTCTCGATTTTTATTATTCGGAAAAAGGTACTTTGGATCTTAGATGAAAAGCATGTGGAGCACTATTTCAAATGAGTTTCAATATTGTTGTTCTGCTTTAAAAGAGCTACTCCACACTACTTCCGTCTACAACGTCCTCCATGAGACCTCATGATCTCAATCCTCTTCGCACGCGCCATCAGCGTCATGTCTTCGTTGTACTCAATGGACCACTTCTTGCATGAAAATCGTTCTATTTGTTCTGCCATTCCATCAAGTCGAAAGCGATGCTGCTCAGGTTGTCGTAAGTGTGCTGCAATCTATACCACAAATCTTCCACGTGCCCTAATGCCGTAACTCCTGCACAACTTCCGGAAAGGTTAGAGTAATGCTAGATCATCTAATGTGAAATGTAGGATGTGTAATGTAGGACGTTGTGCTAGATACACACGGTGTCGTAGGTGGATCCACGACGGCCCTGGTGGAACTTGACTACAACAACCTCGTAGGCCTTAGAATTCAAGAACAACAAAGGTCGTAATGTGAATGAATGAGTGAATGAATGAATGTACCCACTCATGAATCTGCAGCCAAAAATGGTGGAACTTCACTACAACAAAGGTAAAAGCTTCATCAATGAGCAGGAGTCTTCACAGTGTTCATAACTTTTTCTAGTTCCGCTTCGTGCCCCTGCTCGTCCGAGGTACTGGTATAGCAGGATTCGCGGTCTATTAAGAAAGCGCGCAGCTCTGCTGGCGTTACTCTTGATTCAGAAACGCCATTGCCACAGGCAAGCCAATGAAAAAACATGCGGACCTCGCAACATTCGATGCACCCGCATTTTTCATCTCCCCCTGTCTTGATTACATAGTGGCCGGAGGAGGCATCAAGCTCGCGAGTTCCTTCCAATGAATACCAACGTGGACAGACAAAACCTTCACCTTGTTGCGGAGCAACACCTTCTTCACCAATACCGCGTACTAGTCTTTCGGCATAGTATTTCATTTCGCAAGATCCGCAAGGATTCAATCGCTGCTCTATGACTCCTTTTGTCGGTGATTCTGCAGGCCGTGCTTGCGCAATTCGAGGGCATTCGAAGCCCCCTGTGCTTGCTCTGCTCGTGACCCCTTGTGCCTGTTGCTGCTGTTTGCCCTTTACTTCAGCATGCTCCAGCAGGCAGGTACACTTCAAAAAGTTTTTAGAAAAGTCAATCTGCTTCTTTCGATCCGCCTCTACCCTCATCATTTTCACTGTAATAGACGGCGCACATGTTGGCGGTGGCTTTTGTTTAGATCCTGGTGGCTTTTTTTGTGAAGTCCCTTGTTTGGTCCCTTCTTGGTCCCTCGATGTAGTTTCCCGAGACACAGGAGAAGCTTTCCCATTCCCTTGTGTACGGTGGCTTTTCTCTATTTCCATCCACTGTCTGCGGAACGCTGGCAAATCCACATCGAATACGTCGGATATGGCCCGGTGGTGCAGCACACGGTAGGCGTTATTGATAGGTACCCATTTGTCATGAATCAGAGCATCCACTCGCGCTGTCCACGTATCTCTTAGTTGGTTTGGAGGAGTGTTTCGGATTTCGTCCAGCGCTTCGTTTATTTCGTTGAGCGGGTCTAAGAAATCCTTTTTTAAGTAGCCCGCGTCCTCCTCCAACCCGAACACGCGAGACCAGGCAAAGTAAGCATTCCGCATTCGACAGTCTTCCCATCTAGGAGGCTGCCTTGGAAACGCCTCTTCTCCTATCAACAGTGGTAGATACCGAAGTCGACTACTTTCACTGAGTCCACCTTCTGGCAGTTTTATTATACCCTCTGCAACTTGTTGACGAAATATCTCCTCCGCTCTTCGAATTTCCTCTTCGTCTGGCTGCGCCAAGATATGTCGATAGCGAATTGCAGCCACCTCGTGTGCTTCAACTCCTCTTTTCTTTCGCTCCGCAGCCAAACGCCGGTGCTCATCGCGTTTCTTCCGATTGTCTTCGTCTCTTTGGTGTTTTGCTCTTGCAGCAGCTACGGCTCTTCGGATCCGTTCCCTCTTCGCATCCGCTGATTGCCTTTCCATTGCTGCATGCTCTTCTTCTCGCGTTTTTTTCCGTTCTTCTTGCTGTCTTTTTGCTTCTTCAGCTTTTCGTTTTGCCAAGTCCTCCTCTTGTTCCACTTTCAACATGGCTAAAAACTCTCTTCTTTTATGCTCGTCTTTTCTTTCTTTGCTAAGCAGCTCTTGAAATTTCGTGTCTTCCTCTTCCTGCGCAATGCGCGCTTGTGCTCCCACTTGAGCGGCTTTTGCCAAATTCGAAACCTTTTGTTGCTCCTCAAACTTTCGCACTATCTCTAGAGCATACTGATACCGCCTGAGTCCTTCTCGTACTTTCGGCAGCAACTCGGTCACAAAAACTCGATCTGCGTTGGCGTGCTTGTATTTTTCTTCACTACCCTTCTGCAAAATGTGCGGCAACTTTCTCGCACAGTTTGCTCGGATAAAGAACTCTCTTGCTTCAAAGCAACGCTTCGCTTGGAAAGTCACCTCGACAGACGAAGAGGGTACTTCGTTATTCTTACGTAGTATATCGAGAAAACTTTCGACTTGTTCGTACTGCTCAGACCCGGGACCACAAAAGTTGCCACGACCAGTAGCGAAGGTCCAAAAAGCCCTGCTGTCATCGGAAGGCACCACGTTTTCGTTCACATCAGAAATTGCATGAAAAATGGCACCTTTTAAGTGTGCCAGCTTCAAGTCCGCTTTTGTTTTGACAGCACCAACAACACTTCCATCTTTCAAGCGGATGTCGGTACTTGGATTCCGCTTTAGGTACTCAACAATGAGCATATCCAGTCCGTTGTGGCATGCATCCTTGTAGTAGATGTTCAATTCACGACACTTCTTCTCATCTGCTTGGGCGATTACCCTGCCGAAAGATGAAACACCAGCATCATTAATATTCTGCTCGCGATCCAGCTCTCCTAAAAAGCCGCCATCTGCACCAAAATCGTCCATGACGGGTTCATCGCGAGTACCTTCCCCAGAACCAGATCCAGAACCAGATCCAGTAGAGCCAGTAGCAGTACGAGCGTCATCACCACTTGCGTCTACTTCTAGGCTACCTGAACCTGACCCCTTCTTCTCCTTGCTCTTAATTACTTTACACAATCGGACTCCGAGCCCCCGATCGAGGAGAGCGACTCCAAAAAGAAACTTGTTCTTCATTTTGTTTTACCAACCAGAAAGGTAGAGATGATGGATCTATTCGTATTCGATTACTTGATGTCCGCTGGGGGGCAGAGAAATAATAAAAGTCAACTTAGTTCAGGAAAGGTCTAGACAATCTTAGGATGATGAAAATGTCAAAACGGTTCCATGTAATAAATCTTTTACAATTTTCGGAACTAAATTGGGACACTAACAATCGACGTTTGGAAGCTAATGCTTCTGATTATAGTTTCAGAGTAAAACTGTGCCTACTTTTATGCAGTCTCTTAAGCAGTGATGGTCAAAACCTGGATACGTAGTTGGAAGTAAAGTAAAATGAGAAACATTTATCTTCAAGTTGTACCTAATAATATATAGGCTGATCTTCTTTTTCTTGATCTATCTGGTTGATCCCGATATTAATCCTGTAGGTCTAGAATCTCGCTGATCTTCTGATTGTTGCTGATCCTGATCCGTGCCTGATCCATCTTCCAAATCAAAAAAAGTTACAACAACCACTTACTATGTAGTAGGACCCATGTTCTGTTGAAAAAACGCAGAGCGATCAACAAAACCAAGTCAGTTGCTGCTTCAGCAGCTCCTAGTTATATTCTACTTCATCGCAGAAAATAATCCTTTGATGTGCTCTCACATCACTTCAGCGTAGTAAAAACCTTGATATTTAGTAAGAGGAAGGGCTCCCATAGAGAAGGTCCATCTCATCGTCATACATCTTCTTCCACGAAAAAGATAGATCTCCTCTGATGTCTTCCCTCCTGTAGCGCTCCTGCTCACTTTTCTTTACAACTGTCCCCTTCACAACTGTCCCTAGAACTTCCGCTAGAAGCCCTTCTCCTCTCCACCAACAGCCTCCTTCGTAAATCTGGAAGATAGAGCGGTCCCACAAAAGGTGAAATGAGAGGATAGATGAGCCATCGAAGCCAGCCATCCAATGCTAATCTTAGAGAAACCCAATGGGCGCAGCTGAGTTTGCAGCTGACCCGAAAGTCATCATATCCTTGTTGGGTGCTTCATTTTCGAGTAGAAAAAGAAGAACCAAGGATCATGGTACTATAAGGACTACATGCATCAGCCTTACTAATCCAGATCCACGACTAAGGATCCCTGCTGTCTCTGGCCAAATTCCTATAATATCAGGAAAACGTCGGCGACCGGTCTCACACCTAACTGCGATTTCCGCCATCTGACTCGCGGAAAGAGGTAGAGCACAGGCACTCTTCGCGTCTTGCCTCTCGTCTTCGTGTTTAGTCCTAGCATCCCTTTGGTCGCACCATGCAGTCGCACAAGCTGGCTATTAGAAAAAGGTACTACCTACGACGAGTATGTGCCTAACATTCTTCTAGTATATTAGGTAAGAAGTTGGCTAGAAATTATAAATATAACAAGCGACTAGAGGAGCTAGCCTAGAGGATTATAGATAGCCTAGGGAAGAAGTTGGCTTGAGGCGTTTCCATCCTTGCATAAAAATTGGCCCCTACGTGCTTCGCGTTCGTGCTTGATGGTATTACGGCCACCCCTCGTTGGAGATTCCAACACAGTGCCACAGAATGAGCCGTGGTCATCAAAGCTTCTTGTTTGCCTGCAACAGAAGGAGCCGTCGTCACCACCTTCAAAGATCCGCCTACTCGTGCATCCTTCTTCGCAAGTTTCTGTAGGGTCGGATCGTTCCCGATAGTTCCCTTGCCGAAATTCAAAGGGCCCCAGGCTACCGGAAGTATGTCTAACTCGTTTTGGAGGAAGGTCACGTACTCTTCCTGCTGAAACCCTGGATGCAATTCGATTTGATTCACAACCGGCCATCATTAGAGACTGGTTTTTTCCTACTTAGGCTGACGTGATGTATAGACTGAATAGAAAGTCTTAATTGCAGACTCGACAAGAAGAGGAAAGCAGGGATTCCAATTGGCCACGGTCAAAATTGCTCACGCCAAGCGCACGAATTTTCTGTTCTTTCAGGTGGTTAGAGGTAGGTTGCACAGTCCATCGGCAGTACTCAAAATATATCTGATACAAACTTGTGAGTCCTGCTCGGCGTGCCCCTTGCCTCCTACGTGTGGATTACTGCTCATGGCCAATATGAATAAAAGCATCCAATTTATTAATGACAGACGATGACCTCTTCTACTCTAGGTACATAGCGGAAACTGTCTAAGAATTTCAGTAACAGATGACCTCTCCAATTTTAGCTTTAGGTACTTACATAGCAGAACTAGTTAAACATCATCTCGTATACGCCTCCCCTATCTAATTCCTCAATCGCTTCCCAGGTGATAGAAAATTTTCTATGTATACGTAAGTATGATGTCCTATCTAACTCCTCCATCGCTTCCCACGTGACAGCTAGTGGTGTACCCACATCCTCCACCAAAGGCTTTCCCGGTATAAACGCACGAGGCCAATGGATAAGCAGCAGGTCCAGGTACTCCACACCCAAATCTCTCAAGGTAGCTTCGACTGAAGAGTATGAAAGATGACTAGTAAAAGTGTGCGAAAGAAAGGTACTGATGAGCAGTGTGAGAATATCAAGAACGGAGTAGCAGATATACGTCGAAGAGTGCTTGAAGATGATGCTAATAAACACGCTAAGTAGTTGTACCTACCAAGGTAGCTATATCAACAAAGATCGGAAACAATCTGCGGGACAAGTCAAATGAGACTTCAACATCACACCCACTTCCATAACATCCGGACCCTCTCTGGCCTATGGTCTTCGCACCATATTTTGCTCGTGATAAAGAACGAAGACCGATCTTCGATAGCTGATCCTTTTTCACGTTCCTTGGTCGTCAGAATCGAGGGATCATGGCGTTCTCCTATAATACTACTGCTCGTACTTTGAGAACAGAATTCCCTCAAAGCGTTTCCCACCAAGTGCTCATTCCCATACAGTCTAGCACAGTCGAGATGTCGGACGCCCATTTTTAAGGCTTGCAGGATGTGTTCTTCGGACATATGCGCCGTTCCGAAGCCAACCACCGGCATATGCCCAACAACTCGACCACGACCTGAGTCACGTAGCGGGACTCGAGGAGGACAAGAATCGTGCATGCTTTTATTACAGGCTTCGGGCATTGTGGTGATTTGGCTGAACTTCCTAAACCTTTTAGGTTTCGGACAGTAGATGTGCTGGATGTCCAAGGTTCGGGATCAATTTCTCTACTCTAGCCATCTAGCCAATGACCATTTCCACGAACAAACAATACATAGGGTGGGATTAGTTTTAATCAATTGTGGTCCACCATTTTTCATTCATTCGTTCACCATGACTCAGATTTCGGCCTTCGGAAGCAGACGACACTTCGGAAGAGGACGATCTGCTGGAGGGGCTTCCGCCTCAGCCTTAAGTGCATGAACTAGAGTGCTCGACACTTGAATTCGTGTGCGAAGAACACCAAATGTCACCCCTTCTGCTCTTCGTCCCCCATAAGATGCTGCGCCACCGCGGACACACAGGCGCCGATGGTTAATATGTCTGTGAGTGTTCTTCACGATGCATCAGTACTAGTCAAAATCTACTACTGTTCCTTATATGAATGAATGAAAGTAAACGAGATGTCCGTCGAAGTCCGCCACCCTTGTCATTTTCCCTGGTGTTTTTCTTGCACGTACGCACTTGACCGAGGATAAGGCAGAGCCTTTTCTATCTCCAGCTATTTCTGCTGAAGAAAGCAGGTGGCGCGGACACGAGTACCCAAAAGCTACAACGTGGATCCTGAACGAACAAACCCTACTGACTCCGCCAGGCGTTCTACGTCGCGATCACGTGACCTTCACTACTCGCAGCCCAAACCACCAGACGCGAGCATTTGTCTTGTCAAAAAAGTAGCTCGTCCACGGCGCTGAGAATAGCGAGAGGCCCCAGAAAGAAGGTAAAGCAAACAACAACTATACGGACTCACGTCAACACCGCTGCAGACAGTGCAGTTTTGAATAAAGACACAAGCAAGCCGACTAACGAGTTGTCGACCATGCACGCAAGTGCGGTAAAGTCAGGAGCAGGACAGGCGATCAACATTTTTGATGGTTTTGGGAGAGATTAAAGATTTACTGTTACGATTTTTATACTAGTGACGGTGACCCACCTACTTGGCACAAACTACAGTATAATCAATTGAAATCCAAATCGTTGAATCAAAAGGAAGAGCCTAACTACTTGGGTATGTTGATGCGACAACTTCTTCAACCAAAATGGGAGGCGTAGGCGTTATTCGGATCGTATTCTTTCCACTATCAAACTCAGCTCTTGACTGAGAAACAACACAAACTAGCTTGCAAAAAACATTTCTGATGACGCGCGATCGCTCCAAAGAACTTGATGCGAGCAATCATTTCGTAGAAAAAACAGACTCTGTACAGACAAACACTGTCCTGAATATTTCTTACGTATCACTCACCAGAAAGTGAAAAAGCCATAATCAAAACAAAACCGACACATGAGTCAATGCTTGTTTTCTTTCAGACTCACTCTTTGGTACAGTGGATCAAATTTAGTCCATGATCACTTGTTCTTTGTTATCATACATAGATCACATAGATTTTTGATAGATCCACCTCTTCGTAGTTCATCATGCAAAGAAAATAGACCGATGCTGGGATCGATTTGTTTCTCAAGCCGGATTGCCTTGTTTCTTTGTAAGCGCGAATGAAGTGTAACAGATTCACCAGGAGAAAAAGACGTCAGAATACATCGCCTTGACGAGGAACACACTCACGGCCATAGTTAGAAGCGCGACGTGAATCTAAGTTCCTGCTTGGTACTGGTGCAGAAGCCCTGACGAAAAAACAATCTTCAGGTTTTCTCACCATGGTTCCTACTTGCGCGTCATTCTATTTTCAACAACAAAATATCATGCGTTAGTAATATCGGATCATAAAATTCAATATTTTCAGAAGCCAGGTCCTATGACCATTGAAAGTTGAGGCTTAATATAGACTCATCGCGAATTATGCGAGTTTTGGTTGTTATGCGTATCTTCTGACGAGGAAAAAGCATTCAGTGAATAACTACTTAATTGGATACAGGATTCTTTTATTGGGTTAACAGGTCATAGGATATCAACATGAGAGTCGACCAGCATGAGCGTACTCATCACTGCAAACATCGTGAGAACATAAAACGGTGCTTGATCCACGACAAGAACTTCTATGTAAACATTATCATTCATAAAACGGTGCTTGTTCCAACAAACTGCTTGCATCTTGCTTCAATCGATGCACTTCTCTTCTCAAGGAAGCGCCATCATGGTGATCGGCGAAGTCTGCGTCACTTAAACTAGCCTCCAGCCTCTTCAAGTCTTGCTGCAACTTGGTGAAGTTCTGTCTAAACGAAGCAACTTGATGTCGACTGTGCGCCGTCTTTTGGACTCTGCCGAGATAGGATGCGGTGATCTTGACGGCGACTCTGGCAAGATGGAGTTTGAAGAAGGTAGCTTTCTGAGGTCCCTGCACGAACCGGGAGAGAGGATGACGAAGAAGTTCGACTGAAGGGTTGAGGTGAGAGGAGGTTGAAGGATTGTTCATTCCATTCGTCGCAGCATGATAGATGTCAACAACAGGAGCTCTGCTGGAGGCCGTATTGTCAACAGCTCCATAAGACGGGAAATCCAATGTCTCCAGGTAGTTCAAGAACTCTCCCGTTACGTCATCCGCTTGCTCTACGAAGTTGCAATAGGCGTGAATCAGCCAGACATCTGTAAACCCAAGACGACTCAATGCGCGACAAGGCCAAAGAATTTCTTGCATCTCTTGTTGTTCAGCTTCTAGAGGTCGTGATGATGCTGGCTCTTCATTGCCTGTTGTTCCCAAAAGATGATAATCCACTTCCCTTTCATGCTCTTGCAGCGTCAGTAATACGCAGCTGACACACTCAAAAAGAAGTGCGACATTGTAAGCCAGGCTTTCCGGTAATGGTGCCCCCGGTCCAACACCGAAACCCTCTTTCTTCATCAATGAGGATGCCCCTGAACCCGAACCTCCTGTTCCTTCAGAACTGCCTCTGCCGGGCAACGAGCCCGATACAAATTCCAAGATCCTTTGTATGACAACTCTAGCTGGCAATGGATGTCTCGCGATCGGTCCGCTCGCTTCTTCCCTCTGGAAAAAGGCGAAAGGCAGGCCGATCTCCGCATAAGGTCCAGAACTAGGGAAAAAAACGTTAGCCCAATATTTGAACAGACGGTCTTCCAAAGTCATTGATGTTGTATCTTGATGCTTCAGTGTTTCGTTACCAATCCCTCTAGTACCATTAGCATTACTTCCACTACCACTACGATTGTTGTCAGCCGCCAGCAACTGTTCGCACATACTGCTAGAAGATGACCCTTGCTCGTTGGCGACCAGCAACTGCGGAAACTTCAAGTCATGTACAACTTCTAGCAAAGCATGTGCATCGACTCCAGGTCTGCTTCTCAGAGCTTTGTCCCTCCGATAATGCTGTATCCTGGCTCTGCATTCAGCAGTCAAACGCGGGTCGGATTCGAGTCGCTCTACTTCGGCGAGAAGCGGAAGTTGTAGGACGGATGTGGACTCGATCCTGATTTGTGGTTGTAGATTAAATGGAGCGAAAAATAATTTGAGGTTGTAACTACGACGATATTGATCTGAACATACTTTTTACCATGTCAGAGATGGGGAATCTTCTGCAGAAATGGCATTTCTTCAGAAGCAAGACTCCCCAAAAGGAAACAGAGGAAGATGACCCTTGGAGCTAAGCTTTGAAGCAGAAAACTCAGTGCTTGAATCTGACTACTTTGTGCACCTATGACAATATCATTTTGAGCCTTAATTGATGGGGTAGGGGAGGGAAAATAAAAAGAATCTTACTTCGCTTCACTTTTGACGCCTGTATTTCTCAATTTGAAGAAACCCGTCTCAGTGTCAGAATACAAATAATATCATATGATTATCAGGACGCTTAATCTTCAAATACTTTTTACGAAAAAAAAAAAATGAAGATAATCTTCATAAGATCGAGAAATTTACAAAACATTTACATTTAAGCGTTGTAAATATCACAGCACTTGGATGGTCCTAGTACTGTTTCCTCATATCTTCCAGCCTGTCCCTAGGCTGGAAGTGCTCCGCACAGGCAACGGCAGCCACCAAATACGTCTGGCGATCGCTCAAGGTCAAATTCGGTAGGGCATCCGACTCCATCGCCAGTTCTAAGAGCAGACTGCCAGCTTCGCGATACTCCCGGAACTCATAGTAAAACTGCCACATGGTCTCCAGAAGGGACTGGGGATCTGTGGGGTTAGGATTTTAATTTGAGACATTCTAATTGAACAAGACCTTCTCTTTCTGCAGGGACATGTGTCAGAGCTTGAGCTTGTTTCATTCTAGATGGGGGACAAATCCTAAAAAACGAAGATGAACACTCAGAAAATCTTCATATTCTTCTAGAGAGCTCAAGTAAAAATACCTGCCGTCTCCAGCTTCCCCGCTCTGTACTCTCCATATCTTCCCTCCAAATAGCTTCGGATTTCAGTCGTCATGGCTGGTCCATACCTTCGCACTAGCATGTCTGTGCCATTTGCTTCCGACCTTGACAGCAAAAAGTCGTAGACTGTATGCCTGAGTAGGAGACTACAAGAAGAGCTGTCTCCTGCACCAGCTCCAGAAGTAGAGGAGGTAGATGTGATTTCATTCAACGTATGCAAAAGGAGGTCCATCACTTCTTCGTCCACTGGCACATCCTCAGCACCGGGAAACAATGCTGCAAGGAAACTCTGCATCAAAAACCGCACACGCCTTGTTCTGCCCGCACTATCGAGGGGTGTGTGGCCAGAGGGTTGTAGACCGTCTGCAACACCCCAAGGTGCAGCACCTAATTGCTCTGCATAGTTTCTCATTCCAGAAGTGGAGCTAGTGCTAGTGCCGCCAGCTCCGACAACAGCTGAGGCGTGTAATCGCTGTAACTGGGTGAGGAGACCAGGAAAAACGGTGCGGACAGAATGCTCAGCTGCGCCACTTTTCGCTACGATTCTCCGTACATTTTCAGCTAGTGACCTGATGCCGTCGTTACCACAGCTAACTACGTCGACATTGCCGATCCATCGGCGGAGACCCTCGATTTCAACAAAAGCGACACGCTCGGCAGACGTGGAGCCTGGATGGTTTTAGGATGAAATAGCAAGAACTTAAGCTAGAAGTCATCTATTCCTATTTTGTATGTTTCTGTAATTATCTCGTCAACCTTGGAACATCGATCACGACGGCGGAACATCTTCACCCTGAAAGAGCACGGGGCACTGCGCAGCTTTGCTTCGTTTCTTTGTTTGGCTGCGCCAGTTCGCAGGACGCCCCTGCCTGGCATTTCTTACGAGCTTTTTTGCCTCATGAAGAAACCCACCCACCCCACCACCCTGCGGCACCAAATGCTCCAGCTCAGCTCCTACCTTGCGCCACGCAGCAGGCTGCGCAAGCTATGCGGGACCACCAGCCCAAGTCCCGCCCCCTGGGGCGTGGGCGGGCCTCCACCCTGGGCGGGCGCCTGCTCTCTTGCTTGTCTCTTTCACGCTGTGCGCCATGGAATTCATGCGCGGGCAGCCGCGCACCAACCAGCAGCCCCTATCTAAAACGCTGGGCCCGGCTGAGTAGAACAAGCTGCCCGCGGAAGAGACTGCAAAGCCTGGCCTTACTTAATCACGACTTAATGCCATTTGTGTTCAAGATGAATAGCAAAACTCACAACAAAAGTTACCAGATCCCGCAGCATCAGCACCCACCATCTCCGAGTCAGCGGTGACGTCAAGAAGTATTTCTCCACCTGACACTAGAAAGGTCGCTCCATCTGCTCTCTTTGCTCGCGTCGCTGTCCAGGCTTCTACGATCCTAGGACTCTGCCAATCCACCTCTCCGAACAAGACTGGGCATTGCTTCGCAATATCCGCGCACTCTCTGGGAAAATAGGCGATGATGTACGAAAGCCAGATCAAGATTGGCTCCGGATGTGCGACTAGTTGTCGCAGTGTGAAGTCGCCACTCAAAGTGTAGCGGTCTGAGTCTCTGCCAAGTCCTAGCTTCCCGGAAACGTAGTTCAGAGCACGGCCAACCAAAGAAGTGGACGAATTGTTGTTGGCTGAAAATGTTGTGGGTAGTTGTCCTCGGATTACAGCTGAGGGAATGTGACTCGGTCGTCCGTTCCTGTTCTGTCCTCTCCTAAAAGACGTCGATCTGTCGTAGGGGTGACTTCGTCCTAGCCCTGAAAAGCCATCTTCAGTTACCATCTCACCACTAGAACTTGCCTGTTGTTGTGTTGCATTGTCCGCTATACCACTACTGAACGGTAGTAACACAAAGTCCAACAATTGCAGTAGCTGGGGATGCTCGCTGATGTACTGGAAAAACGCGAGTAATTCCATGGCTCTATCCGCGACTTGTACTACTGAACGAACGCGTTTCAAGTTTTGCGCAGTCTGAAATTCCGAAACTGTTAATCTTTCACTGTAAAAAGTGTTGCGGAAGTGAGCAGACTTCTTTTTCTGCTCAAAATTACTGTTCTTGTCGATCACCCGTAGACTATTATCGTATTCACAAGCAATCTGCTTCGAAGACAAACTCGCGTCGTAAGTGATGATCTTGCTCTGCTCTGCGTGTTTGTTGTTTTGGGAAGATGATAGAATCTTGGGTGGATTCATCGTATCCATCTCAGATCCTTGGTCAGTCAACATGTAAGTCTTTCCACCAAACTGATCTTCTCCTCCCCCACACTGCAACACACCCCGTTTCGCAAATGCCACTGCTTTTTTTAGTTTGGCCAAAATCTGCGCGACTCCACGACCACACAAACCTACCACATATTAGACCTTCCGGAAATCCATCTTGAAAGTCATCTTGGACCCGTTTCCCCCTTACACGGAGGAACAACAAGATGCTTGTGAGGATTTTGTATTTCTGGAAGTCATAAACATACGCCTGTTCCGAGAACGCTCTCGACCAAGCTGCTCCTCTTGTGCTCCGAGGATAGCTCGTTTCGTAGCTGGTAGTGGCAGTCGGTCCACCAACTGCGAGACCCACTAATTGTCGTCTCCACAAACCGTCCAAACAGGCAGAGAGGAAGAGACCAAAGCCATCCAGCCATTTGCCATTGGTGACGAAGAGGCCATCGTCAGACCAACCAAGATCGTCAACCCGCCACTGCCATCGGTCGGAAAGAAGAGCGACCGCACATTCGAAAACACTGGTCGGCGGCGCGCGGAGTAAGGACGCTTCGCGTTGGACGTAGAGAAGGGAAAGGACCTGGAGGTGGTAGGTGCGTTATTGGATGTTGTTGAAGATGTGATTGTTGCATGGGATAAGCGGCCTAAGATGTTGTTGAAGATATGATAAACAAACCCTGATAATTATAATGCAGGAGGAATCAATTTCTTAAAACTCCAGTAGCCGTAGTAGTAACAACAGAGACATCTCGATAAAACTTTCTGGACGGGTGATTCAGTCAGTACATGCACTCCCCTCGTCGTCAACAAGGCAAACGTCCTCTGTGGTTTCAACAATGACAGGTCTCCTTCTTTTTCACTGCCCTCTTCCACCAACGCGAGTGGCGCCTCCAAGTGCGCAGCTGCGTTCCAGCACTGCTGGTTTCCTATCAATTCACACCTCTGCTTTTCGTTCCCGTGATCTGGGTTTCTGAGCAATACAGAGAAACACACTTCTCCATCCGCATTGGCAATGGCCCACACGCCATTCTGGTAGCTCACCGGACTATGCACGCGCATCTGCGATTGCGGGTTTAAAGTGGAGTAGTTCAGGATGCTGATCGCTGGAGGCCCACTCTGGGGAACTACTGACGTATAGAGCTTGTTCAAGACACCATTACTAGCGTTTCTTGGATATAATCCTCCTACACCACCTCCGTTTCCTCCACCTAGCAGAGATGAAGTGAAGTCTCCTACATTCAAGACCAAATGGAGTCGTTCCCATGCTGAAGTAAGTAGAAAGATGTGGAGGTTATGGTCTGTGCCGAATCTGGCGAAGAGTCTTGTGAATTCTCTGCTTTGCAGAGTGCGAAAGTGCAATCGATCCATCAACTGATTCTCCAAATCCAGCAAGGTCAGCTGTGCAACCAGTTTGAAAGGCGCATGAATGGTACTGCCCCCTTGGTTTGCTGTACTAGTGCTTGAGGAAGAGGAGGAGAAGGATGATGTTCTTGTAGTTGTTGTAATTATAGGGGAACCGGTAACTACTGCAGTTCCATTGGCAGTAGCTGATGAAGTCCTAGACGATGAGGATGACATAGAAGCTGCACTTGAAGACATCGTTGTCGCACATGCAGCAAGTTGGAATTTCGTTTTCGTCGACCTAGAGGATGAAGTAGTATTTGTCGACAAAATTCCATTCTCCCCAAGTGCTCCTGGTGCTTCCACCACACAGCTCTGCGCTTTCTCTAGGATTTCGGCGTTTTGTTCTTCGTAGATGTTTAGGGTGTTACATTCGTCCACAGTGGCGAAATACCCCGTTTGCGCGACAGCGAACAACCTCAAGTAGGGGTCTCTTCGAAACAGCACAGCTCTGGCCAATGCACTAGAAGCGGTTAAGCAGTTGAGTCTGAGCAAAGGAGAGGAAAGACCAAGATAATCGAGAAGTTGGGGACCTGTTCCACCTCCTGTGCTGCTTGCGTCTGCGTATGCATTGGCGGAACTCCTGTCTCCGCCTACTCCAACCTCGGTAGCTCCTCCATTTGCTGTCGTAGTAGGTCTAGTGCCAGTACCGCGATACTCTAGTTCATGGACGTGTCGAGGACAACAGAGGAATATTCTACCACTTTCGCTGCTTTGAATCACGGCAACGGGGAGGCCGCCGGAAGCACTGTTGAGTTGGAGTTTTGGAGATATTGATACGATGTGAATGCTCACACGAAGCCAGTGCACCCTATGAGTGAGTAAGTGAGTGAGTGAGTGAGTGAGTGAGTGAGTGAGTGAGTGAGTGTGCCTAGCGCGAGGTGGTGCAAGTTGTCGCGTTAGAGTAAAGGCTTTAAGTCGTTAAGTGGTTCACTGCTTAGAAGCAGGAAATTTCATCGCAAAGAAACAATAATACGAATCACTGTTGTTCAACCTGAATAGGTAAGTACCAGCAATATCCCGGCAAGTTTTGCGTCACCAATCCTCTCTGCGCATCCACACTCGCACCCAACAAATGTATGCTCTGCTGTGTCGCTATCACGATAACAAGATCCCTATCAAATATCCCTTTCCTCGGTTCTACCATTGCTACGGACAGGATAATGCTATCGGCTGGAATGACTCTTGTGGCTTGGTTCGGCTGAGCATAGTTCCAGAGATAGAGAATATGATCCCTAGTCATCCAGGCAGTTCGAGTTTGGTGGAAAATTCCCTGTCGCTGGTTAGATGCGGCAGACATGGCGGAGGATGCACCTGTTTGGTGGATATGGAAAATGATGACCACCTAACATGGCATGAAGGAAGGAAATAAAGATGATTGCTCTAAATAAATTCAGGGACAATTTTAAACTGTAATGAATTTTGTGAGAAAGTTAAATCGTATCCATACCAGCCGCCTGCGCCAGATCTGGTGGGAACTTTCTAAAGTCGTGCGTCGCTTGCACCAAATTGCTATCCCAAGCGCATTTGACGGCATCCCTAGGAAATGCAGGATCACAGCTGATCTCTGCATCCCAGGCATTCACGAAATCGAAACCTTCCTCCATTTTTGTGATTTTGTGCCAGCTTATTTGTTTTACGCTGAAATTGGATGCTTGAATCGTACTTCAAATGGAGGTAGTTATTGAAGGCAGAAGTTGTGGTGGAAAGAGTTGTTTTGAAGAATCAAACTACTTACAACTCTCGTTTTAGGACGAGGATGATTCAAACTTGTATCATCATTAGCTATTAAAGTACACACTACCTCATCAAGAACATGTTGAACTTCATCTCGCTGGTGTCGCTATGAAAGAATGGTGAAGTCTTCATATCGTGTAGCGTTGTAACGAATGACGACGACCCTTCATTTTTTGACATTGCAGTTTCACATTGCACTTGCTACACCCGGTGAATCCAACCGAAGTGGATTACCGAATTTCATCCACGAGTAACTGAGGGATATGCTTACATGTTGGGAATTCACGAGGGAGCACCATCCATGTGAGATCGTTTACCGGCACACAAATAGAACATCTTATGATCACGACACTCATTTATGTGACTTAGTACTATCGGCTATTGATTTCAAGCAACACTGAACACAGGATCGAACAGCCAGATATCGTCTTGAGAAGCGTTTAACGTCAGCAAGCTTCTGCGGACTAGAAATTTCGTTTACAGATCATGTCTGAAATCAGGATGTTTCATTTCCCGACAATCTAGGACGTCGTGATTTCAGAACTTTTCGACCTCCTTTTCAATCCGTATATACATTTACATTCTATGAGTTGGACTAGATGCGAACCGGTGTTGAGTCGTTCGTCGTACTTGGCTCCCGATCCCGCCTACTAAAAAAACTCTTTTTTACCAATTAGGTGGATTACATATTAGGATGACAAGAATGAACTTGCTTGTTTGAAGACACATTTTGAGTATGAGCGAAGACATATGGATGTTTGAGAAACGATAAAAAAGACTTGAAATAGATAAGCTTGGTAACATGGATTATGGAAATAGTTACGACTGAGCATGGAATCAGTTAAACAAAAATCTAATATACAGTGGTTATGATGGGTCACTGCGATGTTATTCATTCTATTCCCTGACGACGACCATCGACAGCGCTAGAGATACTTTGCCTCCACGTTAGACAGCCATGCACTAGAGTTGGACTGACAAAAGCGGAAGATAGTCGTAGCATACAAAATTCACAATGTTAATTAGCATTGTCGTGTGCGAAAATGGTATCAACTCGTGGCTATCGATCTATGAATTTTTTGTCAATCTTGATTTGCCCGGTATGCTCCTCTCAGAGAGGAGGCTAAGTGCTTGCAAAAATAAAACAGGCATCAACGATACTTTTCTGCAATGCAGAAAAAGACACAAAAAATCTGGTTACCAGCCTTGTGTTCGTACATTTACTGGTTTTTACTAGAAGATACTACATCAGAAAACACTGCAAGTATCTCCTCCCTAGTGGTACTTCTACTTTAGGTTTAGTTTCATCCCCTTTTTTGGTAAGTAGATACCCCCTTAATCTAGAGCACTCATCGTGTAAGAAACTCTTCTTACATGCTCTTTTTGCTACCCGCAGCCTTATCCTCCGTCGTCAGCAACGTCTTCTCAGCCGGTGCTTGCTCGGTACGGATCAAAAGACCCTGATCCTGGAGGTAAGCGCAAACACCCTTTGGCAAGACTGCCGTCTGAATGCTGAGGACGGATCGTTGGACGCCCTTAGGAGCAGCGAACAAAGTCCAGATGCTTCCGTTTCGGTGGTACTTCTTGCTAAAGAAGGCCAAAAAGAGGAAGAAGTAGGAGAAGAGAGATTAGAGCTTTTGGTCGCTGGTGCTGGTGCGAATTCTATTTGGGGTCCCATTCAAAAAAGGCTAAAAGCGTTGAGGATGCATTTATTGGTCTGGACAAATGCCTAGCTCCAAGCTATACGTGTCTACTTATGAGGCCATCCAGCGACTGCGACGCAGTACCTCCTAAGGAGAGCCAAATTTTGACTTTCAACAACAATAAGATGAACCCAGGACTTTCTAAGATCAGTATTTCGAAGGAGTAAGAATGTATATAGGACTTTCATCATAACACAAAAACGCGTTGAATGCGCTCCAGCTCTTGACATCGGCGCTGAATCTCCAGGCTTCTTCTGGGTTGCGGAGCAGGCTAGATCGGACTCCCTGAGTGAGAGATGGCGGATTCATGTAGGTCAGTGCGTTCCAGACGGCACCACCGAAGAGATGGAAGATCTGCATCGACGTGATGTACTTGGCGATGACCTGGTGTCGTGAGTGGTGGATTCAGTCGTGGTGAGATAGATGGAAGTAGTAGGAGCTGTTCTTGGTTCTACGGTGAGTTCTTTCTGAATCTAAAATGAGTCTACAGGTGGAAGCTGCTCCTTGCTGTATCTAAAATGCACAACTAGCGATATTACTAGTCGCGACTGCATTCTTTTCATTTAGAGTACTGAATACAACCCTAAGCAGAGCTAACCCTAACCTACAAGACCAAGTTACACGTCGACTACTACCTTTATGATATAAGACGACTAACTTTATAAATATGTATGATATAAGTGTGCTGGTTTATAAGTTTGTATATGCTGGTACCTTCATCCCTGGCACTTTCGCGTAGTACAAATACATGACGACGTGAATGAAACTATTTAACATGCCAATCCAGAAGCCAGCGCCCGTGAAGAGACCAGTGCAGAACGCGGCATAGGTGGTCGCATGATGCCAGACATGGAGCATCAGAAGTGGCTTTCCGTTCAGGATGAGGATTACCTGTTTGGAGGGGTGTGTTATTAGGAGTGACTTCTTTTTGTCGTAGCGATAATTAGATTCTCGTCGCTGTACGTGGTACCTGGTCTAGACAGCAATACAGAGGACTAGTAGTACCTATCTACTATTACAACTACTTTCTAGCCTAAAGAATAAGATGAACCACCATCTATTATAGATACCGTATCCAATGTCTCGTACAACTTGCTTGCCAGGAAGCTAACAAGCGCCATTCGGAAGAATTTGCTCTGTGACCTCTTGCCTGACACCATAATCTCCATAAAATCCGACACCGGATCGAGACCCGCAATTTTTGCTGTGTCCATGTAGAGGAAGTATACGACGTACATCAGATAAGCCGATTGGAGAGCGAGGAAAACCTGTGCAGATTTGTTGGAAAGATGAAGATTAAAAAGATGGTCCCTCCTAGACACGACCGTCACATTCATTAGCTATAGCTTCCATGGGTCAGAAGAAGTAGTACGTTGTGCACAAACTGCACTCCCTGCGACACCAAGGCTGTTTTCGACCCTGATCCTACTGTCCCAACTCGGATCATCCTCGCAGCAGCCAAGATGCCGAAATAGATTGGAAAACTGTAGGTCGTGTAATCCGCCATATCCTTAGCATAAGGCTCCAGCGCGTCGATCAGCTGAGCATTCAGCTGATCGATGCTGGTTGGTAAGGATGCGAGGAGGGTGCTCATCTTGTCCTCTGCGTTCATCGTTTATACTTATTTGCACAGGGGAAGTATCAATTCCTGTGACACTACGTCTAGGGAGTACCCTATGATGTCTATGCAAGCCTTTGCGTCTTTTTGATGAGTGATATATTACATGAGTATGTGTGTAAAGATTGATGATGGGAAGGTGAAATTGATAAAGGAAGGCTTCCTGAATTCATTAGATAGTTTGGACTTAGAAACATCGAAGTTAGAAATCTGTCGTGGGTGCTGATTCAAATCGATCGTGGAACCGTTTATCTACGTTACGAATAAGGAAAGAGAAACACCTATGAAAAAAAAAACGGGATCATGACTATGACGACATTCAAGTCTCGATATCGAAGACAAAAAAGGTTGTACCGAGCATAGTTAGATAGACATGAAATGCTATCAAAAAACGTGTTCGTGTTTTTCCTTCTGTCCCTTGGAAAAAAAGACAAGATTTGCGTCCAACTCTTTCTCTCGTCTCTCTCGAATAAGAGATCCATTCAGTGAGACCTGGAAAAAGAGCATCCGGAAGAAAAGATCAAACAGGAGATAAGAGAAGAAAAATTTCATGTTTCTTGCGTACAACTATCCATATTATCACCATGAGCAACTAGTATGTCCACCAAATAACTTGTGTCTTCAATGGGCGCCTCTAATGTAGCTGGAATTTGCAATCCAACAGTCAGCACTTTGTGCACATCTGTCTGAGGCCCTGAGACGCGACATGAGCCAGCGGTAGGGGTGTAGATTGCTTGTGAACTCTTTTTGTTTCCAGGGCTGAGGTCGTTTAGCAAACCATGCAACCCTTTAAGCGACGCCAGATCGAAAACGGACAAGTGAGGCACCAAAACCTGCAATAGCATCAAGCAGCTTTTTCGAAAGCTTCTCTTTTGTCCTCCAGACTTCTGATTCGCTGATTTCGCAACATTGCTATTTGCACCCGCATCATTCATCAAGTGCATTTTCACGACCCCCAAGCCTAGAACCAACGCACAGGACCCCTGACCATCAGCTTTCATGGCTGGAAGGCTTTTGCTTTCTCCAGTGCCCGTAGTGACCTTACAGTGCTCCAAAGAGGAGCTCCACCATCCAACATAATGTCGCAGAAAGGAAAGCCACAGTATGGGACCTGGCGCTGGAGTCAGGCTCGCGAATGTGTTTAGAAGGTTTAATACCGGAGTGGTATCTTGTTTTGTGTCGCATCCCATCGATGTATTATCTGCGTTAAATCTAGTACTCTTAGCCTCCAATCCTTCCGCATATCTTGCGATTGAAATCAGCTGAGTGGCAGAAAGATTAGCCCGGAGCCGGACAGTGTCATTTGTGTCATTTCTTTGAAGTACTAGTAGTTCCGCAATTATTTTCCCTGCCAAGCTGGAATTCCGCAGCCGGACAGCATGCATGCCTTGCAATAGTGCCAGTAGCAGTTTTGTTGAGCAATGCGATTTTCTGATTGCCAGCTCTACCTTGTGGTCCTTGCTGTCGTCGGAAAACCCCAATCGTTCAATTACTGCTTCAACCACTGGCACAAACTTCTCTGCCACATCCAAGTCTTCTGCCTTGGGTAAAGATAGAAGCTGGATCAACTCAAGCTCTTCCAGCAGTCTCGACGCTGTAGAAGTCTTTCCTTCCACAGTACCCTTGGTCGCCTTTGCGCCCTCCGTTCTTTGCAAGTCCAGCACTGCCGCTGTCAAGACCGCGTCTAAGAGCCGACTAGACCGCAGTTGCCCATGGCCTTGTCCAGATCGCAGTATTAAAGCTCAGCATTCAATGGTCACTGACTCTGAAAGAAATGGGCCCCATGCCTCTCCCTTTGCTTTTCCTTCATTTTCCCCTGTTCTCTCAAGAAGGATCTCAGTGACCAACCCCAATGACCATTGAAAGCTGAGCCTTAACAGTAGGGCTAGAATTCGAACCGCATCACTTGCTTTCAGGCTTGTGGAGGATGAAGCTCCGCCTCCTCGTTGGCGAGATTCTCCTTCATCCACCTCAAGGTTATTGACCAAGCACTCACATAGTTCTGTTTCAAACCTATGAAACTTTCTTTTCGAAACCGAAGCTTTGTTGTCCTTGGTCTTCTTAGCCAAAGCAATGTCAGCTTCCCATTGGGTGAGAATTTCGTGGATTCGATCTGGACTTTGCCTCACAGGAGGAGTTGTCTGAAGCCGAACTCTCGACGTCGTCGTTTGATCCTTTTCCGCAGCATTATTGCCAAAGGCCCGATAAGAAACTCTGCTCTGGACGTGCAGTCCATCCTTGCCGAAGACCGCGCAATTCTTGTGCTGATTGCGTATGCAGTCCTCAAGGGGAGCGAGGACCACGCTCCTGGTGCCATAGAAGTAGTTTCTATTGACTCGTTTATATGATCCCCTCATCTCGCTCGCCTGTCTGACAGACCAATGAATATCAGATTACTTATAATACCTCAACTGTCGGCAGACACAAACTGCAGAAAAAGAATAGGTGGATCATTTTCTGAACAGAAGCAAAAGTCAACACAAGGCGAAGCACAAGCTCAACATTCCACGTTATCCTTGACCAGGGAAAGAACAGCGATCAGTCCTAAAAGATGAGGTATTTTGGAAGTTGCGCGGAAGCAAGTATGATTAAAGCAATGTATCATACTAGAACAAAAGATGACATCAACGTGTCTCAACAGAAGACACGTAAACCTAACGTCTTTATGAGAGTTTTTTGGGTTCCCAGGGAAGGTGTAGCGAGGTACAGCTTGCAAGGTACATCTCTACTAATATTGGTATATCATCTTTTGCTAGATATTCTTAAATTGTTCTTATTGGTATCATTACGTACATTAAATGCGTTTCTGGTTGCGTTTTTGGTTCTACCTAGCATTCTTAGGTCGTTTCATCTCAACATCTCCTACCTAAGGTCGCCTCAGTCTGAAATCACTTCTCCTCATCGGTTGGTGTCTGGGTGGCTCGTCATGAAGACCCATCGTTTGGAAGACCATCCGCATGGAGATTCAAGTAGCTGAATCCTGCCAGTCAATGGAGAAGCATTTCAACAAAGCTTCAGCACAGCATGCAATCTCGATCAATCAGAATCTTTTGCTTCCACCTCATCGTATGGGCCGCATATATGAATTCGATTCATGCATTGTACTAGCTCCTTTTATAGTAGGTCGAAGTTGATGTTGCGTCAGCCTCAACATGGAAAATTATTAAAGTTTTTCCCCAGCATGGCATGTCTGTTGATGTGCTAACATCACAGCAAGGATCGGCATTATCTGATTCAACATTAGATGCAATTTTCAAACCACTCCTCATAGCGCATGTGATGATGTGCATGTCTTGATGTGTGATATTGTTCATCAGTGTAGAACCACACGCAATCTAAGATTCTTGTCGTTGTATGCTGTTGCATTAGGATTTGACAACATGATCACTTCTCAGCATCTGCAAGCAGAGGACGCTATCGTCCTCCACACTAGACCTAGTCCTACCTATCACTATCTAAGATACTTAGCTAAATCGTTATCCTCACCTATTGTCTAAGATATCTTCACTCGTGAAAAGGTCTGGTTTCGGGATCATGACAACAGCTTCCATGCGGTATTTCAAGTAAGAGAAGTGTCAGGTGTGGAGGTCAATACACTATGACAGATCTCCTTCTTAGATTAAAAGGGGCAGAAAATTTTTTCGCATCTTTAGCTGTCGCGCTCCTTCTCGACGTCGAAGTGGTGGTCTTAGGCGGGTTGTATGTTGACGACGACGATGAAGATGGTATTGTTATTGATGAGTAAATTAATGACATTATACTTCTTTTTTTTGGTTTATAGATAAATTTTTTCAGAAGATGAATGATGTAGTTGTACAATTTGTCGGTTGGGCAAGGATACATCATCAAGGTGGAAGGATGTAGCCTTCAGGTCAATAATTTTAGCATGCTTGTTCCTCCCTTACAACATCTGCTAGAAACGAACCTCCTGTCTAGTAAATATGCGCGTTGTTTTCACATCCTCGCTGTAGCGCACTTTTTCTTTCAAATATAATTATGTTGATCTTCAAGGGTGGTCAGTCTTCTACCTACTGACAGCACAGTCAATTTTTTCAGAAGATTTGATCTGCAATAATTCGTGAATAGCAATGATTTAAGTAGTTGATTCAGATTTTACTTTGTTAAATTTGAGATGATTTTTTGGTTAATATTAAGCTAAGTATAAGCAACTTGCTTCATTGATGATTGAATTTTGCGTTCATTCATTTTACACACACGGTCGCCCTCGTATGTCTAAGGTGTAATAATTTCATTATGATAAAAGTTTAAGCTAGTTGTAGAAAACTCCCCGCCCGTGTTCCCCCGAACACGCCGCGCGCATATCGCTTCAACACAGCACTTGCAATACACCATTCACCTGCGAATACTGGCACTGCAACTGCCTGTTCCACCAAGTCGCGCTCACCTACAGGCAAATTCCTTCGACAGCAAAATATTTCAGCATTTTATGCACCTGGTCAAAGAGCGGTAAATGTTGATGGAAGGTCCGTCGACGAAGAGAAGCATCTTGATGTTTTTTTTTAAAAGGAGCAAGCAATCTGCCATTCAACATTTCAAATGCGTAAACAAATTCAAAAACGTAATTACGATGAATAATACCTTCGCTTCTTGCTTCCGAACTAAAGTAGAACCGCTGCAAAGAGAATCTGCATCCTTTCCTACCACAAAACCTCCACCAAGTTTTCCCAAGTTTTCTACAACCTCCGCTATTTCTCCTCTACTACTTCTATCTGCATAGTATTCCTCTGGTATCCTCTATCCCATCTCCTCCTTAGAAGTACTACCGCTATAGAGGTTTGTTCTTAGTATTGCGGTTCACTTCCTGTGACATAGGGTTGCATCCAGGCTTCATTGCCGAACTGCTGAAGGGCGATAGTATCAAAGAACTCCATCAAGGAACCTGCATCATGTCGCTGTGGATCACGAGTTCCGTTGGCTTTGGAGTCCGCAAACAAACCCCACTGCTCCTTCCACACTTCGGACATGGATTGACCTTTGGGGGTATTTTTAGCGTTAGATAGGCGTAGTGTTCAATATATAGGCGTTTGCTTTGTGGGGTTATTTTTAGTGTTCAATATATAGGCGTTTGCTTTGTGGGGAACACCTTTGGGGTTATTTTAGTGTTCAATAGGCTTCCATATGGTTCACCTTGGTCATCAAAATTTGTTTGAACTTCAATATATAGGCGTTTGCTTTGTGCGGAACAGTAGAAGCAAGATAGTCGGCGAAGGCTTTTCATGTTGTTTTTTGGTATGAGAAGAGGAACTGTAGATTTGTTTCTAAGAAAACAAATCTACATTTCCTCTTCTATTTATATTCTTCTTCTACTAAGAGAGTGGATGAGAGAGTTCTTGTTCTTGCAACGAGGAATCCAAGAAATCATCAAGACTTTAGTAATGATATAATGTCGTACTACCCTTCTTGATGGTAGCAACCATGTAGGGCTTGGCCAATTCTCCGAGAGACACCAGATATGGGCTGGCCCAAGGCGCAGATACGACTTCTGTTATGATTTTGCGTGGGGGAAGGGGATATGGACTTCTGTTAAACTGCAAATTTTCTTGAATACTCCACTTCTGTTAAACTTCATCAAATACACACGAAAAAGGAGATGAAGACGGTCAAGTTCATCCGCTGTAGAAAAAGAAAATGTTGAGGTCACAAAAACATATTTCAGCAAGAGCAGAATCGAGTAGCATGTACCGGCTAATCCGTATTTCAGGACGAAGGCTATGATAAAGCACGCCGAGTGCCTAGTCGGGTCGTGGATTCCGTTTCCGTTTTCCTGTTTTCAGGATGAGGATTTTTGGTTTCAAAATAGTTTTTACCACTCTTCTTGAAAAAAAGTCACGACAACCTAGTTGTATCAACAAGATCATGATTCATTTTCGTTCCCATTTCCTCAGTCACCATAAAACTCACGGTGGACAGCCAATCTAGATGAGCTTAGAGTGCATAATAATCCGAATCTCTAGAAGAAATTATAGGTCTCCTTAGGCTGATGTACCTGACACCAGTCGATCCAGAGGGTTTTCCAGTCTTGACTGTTTCTCTGTCCTTGCTTCACGAGCTCGATTACACGACCAAGAGAGCCATCAACCTGCACATTACTACGGAATTTTCCTTTTCCCTTGCCTCCTCCGTCTGCGTTGTAGCCGTTGGCCGGCGACTGGCCTTCTGAACCTGGTGTTGCGGTGGTTGGTGTCGGGAGGAGTATTTGATGCTATAAGGTGGTTGCTGTTGGGAGCGGGTATGAAAATGAAGTTGTTGAAAGTCTAAGCGTCAACTTTACTACTGATCGTTTGTTTACAACGAACAGGGTGACATTCACGAAAACAGCAAAAAATCGATCAACAGGTCCTCAAAGGACAGACTACCATCTTCTAAAAAAATCAAATAATCTCAAAATCTTATACCATAGCGTCCTCCGCTAGCACCTGTGATCGGCGTGATGGCTGGCGGTGCCTGTCCTTGCGCACTACTCGGCATGCCGTGAGAGTTCAGGAACGCCTTGCCCATATGATCCAAAAACTGTTGGATGAAGCTCTGATCATGCTTGTTCGGGTCGTACATGGCCTGGTTGTTCTGTTCGCAGAACTGATGCCAAGCATTCTTGAAGTTGGTGCTTGAGCGTTGTCCTGTCTTGATGACTTCTGCATAGCTGATCTGGTTTCCCATGCCGCCACTGCCGTGACCGCCGCCACCTCCTCCCATGTTGTTGTTGTAGCCGTAGCCGCCACCTTTTCCGCCACCGCCCATGTGGTTGTTGCCGTAGCCACCGCCGCTACCTCCCATGTTGCCTCCTTGATTCATGTTATTGTTCGGTGTGTGGCCACCCATGTTGTTGTGTCCGCCCATGTTGCCTTGGTTGTTCATTCCTTGGTTCATGTTCATTCCTTGGTTCATGCGAAAATTAGAAGTCGGAGAGAGTGGGTACTTTGCAGGAGAGGTGCAGGAGAGGAAGAATCTTCTGTGATCGGAGGTAAATTGTTTGTCACAAAGATAGATTGAGACCTAGTTGTACAGAATCAATTTCTCCATTCATCATCATTAGCATCACACACCTACTTACCACGAGATTTTTCAAGCATAATTATTACCATCATCCTCTTTGTAAATATTAAGACATAACTTGACAGACGCATCAACCCATCTAGTTCTAGTATCAAACTGAGTCAATTCTTATGATTTAACGTAGCTAGTACTGCACGTAGCTAGTACTGTACGTAGCTAGTACTGTACTAGTAGTACATCTTCTTCGTCATAACTTGATTCATCATTTGTCCGTTCATGTTGTTCTGCAATGTCAAATGTCCGTTTCCTCCAGACGCAGGTGGTCCTCCCTTCAGAGGTGCAGCGCCAGGACTCTGCGTGAGTTAGCGCTACTTTACTTTCACTATGAGGTTTTATTAAGAATCTCTTCACGACTGTCAAGAACAACACGACATCAAAATCAAAAAAAAACGGGACTTCTTAAGCGCGAAAGGAAAAAAGGAAAAATTAATGGCTAGCCTTAAGCGAGAGTTGGCGTCGGCAAATCTTTGATGCCTGCGTTGGCGGAATTGAAGGGATTGTTGAGGTTGTTGTCCTCCGCGGATAGTTTGTTCGGCGAAGCTGAAAAAGCTGAAGTTGTAACAACATTAGAGGGAAATTGCGCATTGAGCACCGGATCGGCAGAAATTAAGGGCCCTGTACACTTATCAGTGTCGTCATCATGGTGAGAGAGTGTCATCATCATGGTGAGAGAGAAGGAGTGTCATCTCATTATAAATTTAGTACTACTAGTAGTAGCCTATTGGCGGTACAAAACAATTCAGAAGAATCCTAGTCGTACTTCTTTTCTCTTGGAAAAGACAGACCACCACGCCGCAAGATGTTATACTTATGCATAGTTGGGGAAGAAGCTGGTTTTTTTATACAACTAGCCTTAACAACGGGACTGCCTTGATGGGTATCTGGTCTGAATCTTTTCATCTCCTCTCAGCACCGGTCCAGAAAGAAATCTTGTTGTACATTTTCTTCCCTACGCAATGATGTCAATGTTACAATCAACTTAGTAAAGTGCTGGTTTTAGTTGTTGTTATGTTGAATGTGTAGTTCAGTGTAGTTCAGTTGGTGAACGGGCTCCGTTCTAAGATGTTTTGATTGATATGAGGACTTGATTTTTTGATAGTTAGATTCCTCTGTGATGACGAGAAGTTGTATGTTGAAGATTTACTTTGAAATACTCAACTAACAGAATCAAAATCACATGATCATTGAAATCATTAAAGTAGAAACGATTTTGTTCAACTTAATTGTGTCAAATCAAGAGCACGCGTCTCTACTTAGCATCAGCAATACAACTCTAGAGGTAAGGATGCCACGAGAGAGGCACTTCCTTGAATGACAACGACTGCGCAAAAGTTTTTGGAGAAAGAAATCACGAATGGAAAGTGAAGCATGAACATGAAAGTTGCACTCCTTGTTGTACTTACAGTTAAGAGTGAGAGTGAGTAAATTTACTTACATCAGATGATTGACTGTCATTGCATTTTTATACTACTTTCATACGTACATTTTACAGAAGGGACAGATTGGAGGTAGGAACGTCGATTTTGGGAACCTTCATTTCGGGATTTTTGGAGGATTCATATTCTTCTCGGAACATTCATACATGAAGATTTTGAAATTTTTCAGATTTTTTCAACCGATTTTGTTGCTGCAATTGTGATTTTTCACATTTCGATTGCATCTTTTGTGAATCCGACTTCAATCGCGCATGCACCATCATTCATTTTACCAACATTCGTTTTTCGATCGATAGTTTTCACATTTTGACTCGTCCTAGGTAGTTGATCATTGACGGTCACAAAGATCCACTTAGAGCAGAGATTTCAATTCTTTCCTACAAGTGAACAGCTTACTTAGTGTAGATGTTCCATAACAGAGAACATTTTTTAGCGCACATCATCTCCTGCGTATGCAGGTACCAAAACATCCACTCCAGAAATTCTGATTCAGAAAACCCCAAGCGCCAAGTGACACTTCTATCTGAGTCTTTCGAGGACATCTCACGCACTATCGCGCGACCCAATGTCTACAGAAGAATGATACGACCACAGCACGAGATATCTTTTTCACACGGCTCAACAACTTTTACAAAATCTGACTGAAAAGAGAAGTACCGTAAATTCCTCAAACAAAAGAAGTATTCAGTTGTTCATGATTCGCATGGAGCAACTTCATTGAATTATAGATACTAAATTACGACGCCGCCGCCGCTCTCAACAGCTCTTGTGCTTTCTTACTCTCCTCAACCGCCTCCTTCGTCCTCGACAATTGGTTCAGAGCCCAAGCTCGACGTGTGCGACAAGCCGCTTCGAGACGCGGAAAGCCGGAAACACCTACTTTGCTCAAGATCCCACTACAAGTGTCCAGAACGTCTTTGACCCGCTTTAGTTTCTGCTGACAGAGACAGACGTTCAACCGCAATCGCAATTCCTCTTCTCGCGTATCCTGTTGAGCGTCCTGAAAATCTTCACCCTTCGACAACGCATAGAGGAAAATCTGCAAAGCGGATTCAGTTTCGCTCTTTTCGAGATACTTAGCTCCGGTAGCCACTAAAGCTTTGACACTAGCACCGTTCAAAAAGCCTTTTGACGAAGTCCCGTCTTCATCTTCAGAGTCAGAATCGTCTAGGACATCGGTTTTTTGGACGGGTTGCGCTCCTCCGTCTTTGGAAGTCGTAGACGTCGAAGAAGAACTACTTGATGTACTTTTTTCCGCACCACCACTGCCTAAAATCTTCTCCGCAACTAGTCGTTCCACATCAACGTCAGCACCACTAGAAGGATCGCCAGTATTTGTACTAGAAGATGATGCAGCTAGTCCTGCTTTCCCTGTCGAGCCGTCTTGACCACCAGCACCACTTGAAGGAGGAACGTTCTTTGCCTCCATTGCCGCTAACCTCTCCGCGTTTACTGCGTGCATCCTTAAGGCATCTGGGTTTCGTCTCTCCGCTTGCAAAACCGTGTCTAGACAAGCCGCGACATCTTCCCATCTGCTTTGGAGTTCGAAAGCCCGTGCCTGTCTCAGTTTCGTTTTGACGAAGATTCTACGTCTCGTCCTCTCCACTGGGTGGTCGCGTCGGAAACAACCGGGAAGTTGCGTAGCGCAAAGAGAGCGCTCGAAGAAGGAAGCGCTCTGTTTGGAGGTAGGAGAGTGATTCATATAGGAAGGACCACATGTAAGTTTTGGATGTTGGTGTTTTCAATTGAAAGAGTAAGAATTTGATAAAAGCAAAGTATCTGTATCGTCAGTCGTTTCGTTTTGATAGTGAACAGCACAAAGATCAATGTAGAATTTATTACCGTTTTCTCCTCTTCGATCCTCGTATCCCTCTCTGCATCGGCTTTTTGTTTTTGTTCATCCAAAAACGCTGCTAATTGATTCCTATAGACCGCCGCTTGATGCAAGGCTTCGTTTGAGGGTCCTTCTTTTTGGAAGTTCTCCTTCTTCGCTATTTCCATCGCAGCATCGATCTGGTCTAGCTTCCTAGAATACAAGGCCTCCTGTAGCCTGTTAATTTTCGCACGAATGGATTCTATTTGCTCTCTCTTGAGCTTCTTCCTCACGGCGATCCAAGCTTCATCGTTCTTTTCAGAGGCATCTCGAACCCACTCGAAATCGTCGGGAATGTCAGGAAGCTTGCCGCCTTCTGCAATACCACCAGAATGCTTCATTAACCAGTCACGCTCGTCCTCGCCTTTGGCTTTTTTGCCTGCAGTTTGTGGGGGTTGATTTTTGATGTGGTCGACGTTGAAGCAAGGAAGATTTTAAGATAGGGATTCAAAAATGTAGTTTGTTTTATTCAACACCTGTTTAGACTACTCGAATCTAAAGAGTTGTACAACCTCTGCATTATATATAAGAGCCATATTATTACCTACAGGATTCCGAAACGTGTGATCCTCCAACGTAGGCGGATCTAATCTCTGTGGTTTCTCTGGCAATTTCGGTGCGCCTCTTGGTACAGGCCACAGTGCTAAAAGTCTCGCTGTCTCATCCGCGTCTTGGAGGCAGTCGTCTACTTGACCCGCTTGCAACTTCGACAAACACCTATTGGCACAGAGGACCGCGTTTTCGTTGCCCTCAACCTCCATAGCTGAATCGTAAGCCTCGATGACTTTGTTGTCGATGATATCTTTGGGACTTGAACCAGGAATGCGGCGGACCAGAGCGTCGACCTCAGCTTTTTGCGAGTAAGCAGTGGCGGCGAGTTTTATCTGCGTGTGATGTTGTTGAGGGATTCATCGAATTTAAATGTTGAACAAGATAAATCCCCCCCCCTTGATTCAAAGAAGAAATGCAAAGTACAGATCCTCGTAGAAGGAGTACCCTCTCCAAATCTCCTTTCACAATCTCCCTCTCCTCCGACGTCAATGCCCCATCTTCACACTCCTCCAATGCTGCTTGAAAAGATTCATTCGCCTTTCCGTAGTCTCCTAGCCACAAGAATGCGACTCCTCTCCGGACGAAGACACGCGCTCGTAAACGTTCGTCCTCAGGGTCCTTTGGCGGTGGACAATGCCCCTCCGGCACCTTGTTTTTCATGTTGAGGATCTTGAGACTGTGGTTGCAATCCTCAATGCACTGGGTCAAGCGGCCAAGGTACATCGCGCACAGAGCACGATTGCCGAATGCGCGAGCGTTGCTGTACTCGGTTAAGGCCGAAGTGTAAGCTTGGAGAGCGCCGTTCCGATTAGATAAGCAGAAAGACACTTTTCAAATGTAGACGAGTGCTGTCGGAATGAGTATGTAAATGAATATGTCCAGGTTGTCTTTCATAGACTGATCTTTGCCCTTGAGGAGCATCGGAATGAAACAAACTAGATGTCCATGAAGGGAAGGCTAAGGGCTGATAATCCGGAGGAAAAACTGACCGGTCGTTTCACTAGACTCGGTAGGTAGATTGCTCTCGCGGTAACCAAGTACATAGTTTGGAGAACAAGAACTTCAACTTTCCTCATAATATAATCCCCTGCCGCCATGCATCGATCTGCTTTATCCTTCAGCCACACCGGATCCGTTTCATCCTCCTCCGTTTCCCCTTCCAATCTATGTTGTTGCTTCGCTACTGCAGCACCTGCAAGTTCCCTCGGGTGTGGCGGTGCACGTCCCGGCCGATCTCGCGCAGGCACTCCTGGCTTGGCATGCCGTGTCATTGGAAGAATCATCTTCTCGGTTTTACGGACGTTAGGAAGTTGTCGGACTGGTGGGAGCACTTCAAGTTGATACTCGTCTTCACTGTCGGGGTCGTCTTGGGGCTTCTTGGTTTTTGATGTTTTAGAAGTATCTGGTTGGTCGGGTGTGTCTGCTTCTTCTGACACGTCATCAACATCTTCATCCTCATCATCATCTCCACCTGGCAAGAGTCGCTCTTCCTTTGACGCCGTCTTGGCCTTCTTACTGGAAGAAGACGCAGAAGCGCTAGCTTTTTCCTCATCTTGTTCGCCAAAAATGCTACTTGTGCTTCCTCCCGCGTCATCCACCGTGGAGCGATCGTCATCCAGAAGTGAACGCTTGCGGCCAGTGCTGGAGGCATCTGGAGATTGAAAAGTGAAAAATGATCTTGAAGAGCCAAAGAATCCAGCACTTGAAAAGTCTCGTCTTCTACCTAAAAATACTCGACGAGGAATACATAGAAGTGCTGGCATTTCTTGGTTTGTCTACTACTCATTCTTGGTTTTCCGCTCTTCTAAAGGACGAAGCTGCCAGAATCCAAGCAGAAGCAAGCCACGACCTCAGCCAGGCTATGCCAGCTTTTCACGCAGCCGTGAAAGCTCTGGATGCCTTGGATAAGAAGGACATAGTACCGTCCAAAGAATCCAGCACTTGAAAAGTCTCGTCTTCTGCGATCTGTTTCTCCTCTTGTTGCCATTTTTCTATCTTTTCCCGTCCTTCTCGGTCGAGACGCCACTGCTCTTCTTCGGCTTTCTTGTTCAGTTTAAACCGTGCATCCTTGCGCTCCGCAGACAGTCGGTTTTCCCTCTCTTCCCAAGCGGCGAGAGAGTCTTTACGGCGCTGGATCAGGGCCTCCTGTGTGGATATGGGGTTTTCCAAGACGAGTAATTTGAAGGTAAAATAATCAAATCAATATCAAACTTTGCACTACCGAAGTAAGCTTTTGATCCTTAGATAGTCAAGAATCTTATTTGCACTACCGAAACAATTATTGAACACGAAACAAATTCAAATTCTAATTGAACTACCCGATCTCCCACTCTCGTTTTTCCTTGCCATCTAAAATCTCCCCATCTGTTCGCAACCTTCTTCTTCAACAGTAGCGTGACTTTGTCGGAACTGATGCGGGCATGACTGGCATCCATATCGATCTCTTCCACGAGATCCTGTTCGAAAAAATGCTTCTCATGGCTAACTTTAACATAGTTCGGCGAAAGCACTACGGTCGCCTTATTGGCTTTGACGGCAGGGACTCGGACGACGAAAGTGACCGTATCAAGGTCCTCCGTCCAAGTGAAGGTGGCGGAGAGAGGCATTTTCTTTTGTGTCTAACAAGTTGTTGACAGTACGTAGACTCTACTTTGCATCTGTTTTTCTTTTTGAAGTTGCAAGTGCTCCTGCTATGTCGATTTATAGTTGTCTTCGTCAGCTGAACTTGCTGAGTTTTCAACCTTTTTGCGTAGAGAGAAGCGCTTAGTAGGGTAGACATTTTTTTCAGTGCGAAATGTCTCGCTCTTGCGCCCCTACTCACTCTCGATTCTCGCGTATGAATTCATCTCTCACTTTGCACATACGCTACAGTTTTGTCCTCGCATGCATATCTCAGTGTGCCGCTTTCCGCTCTTACAGGCGACCATTTCTTCCGCGGGCATGCTAGTCAGTGCAGTAATACGTGAGGGTGCTTGGATTCTACTCGTCTAGTTCATCTTCCTCCAAATAAACTGTAATTTTACATGTCTCACCTACATCCTTGGAGGACAGCTGTTTTCGAGCCTCCTAATAGTTTCTCCACCCTGTTCCGTCCACAATCACTTGTGTGGACAGCTAGTCAGTGCTAGTGCAAATCGATAATAATAGTGTCTTTCAGCGAATCATCAAATGTGTCAATGTGTCAGCGTCAGCGAATAATAGCGAATCAATAGTCGTGTTAGTGTTTTCCGCGAGTCTTACAACGAGTATCTAATTTCAAAGCGAATCATGCGAATCAAATTGATTTCTAGACTAATAACTTCTAGAGCGAGACAAGGACAACCAGTTCAATCATCCAAGAGTTCATATCTCCTATGTTGCCTTCTTCCTGGTCATGTGATCGAATATGACCACCTGGATGTACTCAGCAGTCTTTATTTCGTGTCTCTTGCTATTGTCACCAGGGTCCTTGACTCTGGGATCGACGCATATGATCTTCCTGTCCCTCTTATTCTTGAATATCAAACCCTGTTCGTAGTCAGGGATGATATGGAAGTTCGGAGACTCGTTCGAACTAGTAAACTGCGTGTCCCAATTGAGGAAAGACAGGTCCGCTGGCTTGGGGAGTAGGCGCTTTTTTCCTGAGAAAGAGAGTGCCAGGGGTTGCTGGTCTGTCATGGGGTCTGGATAGAGAGAAAAACAAATATTCATGAAAAAATGGGAAGAGGAGAACTATGTTTTCTGAAGAGAGCAGCTGTTTTTAAACACAATCCATCGTATAATCCAAACTCAAAAAATGTAGTACTCTCAAAATAGCCCTCGAAATTTTCCTGTCTGAGTCGCTGGCCATAGTCGATATAGCCGCTAATTTCTTGTCCCTTCGCATTCCGGTCTCTTATAAAAATGATCACAGACAGCTTTCCCTGTCTGACGAGCTCCTCGCGAGCGGCCTGTAGTACAGACGATTAGGACAATGAATGGAAGTCAAGGTCCTCCATAACAACTGCTGAAGAGCTTTCTGAAGAGTTTCATCAAGTACCAAATGCCTCAGAAACGGATAGTCCGTCAAATCTTTATTCGCGGATGCTAGGACTTTTGGCGCATTCTGGAGCTTCGCTCTTTTGGCCTGCTCCTGCGCCTCTCGTCTTGCTGCAAATTCTTCTCTCGACAAGACATCACCTTTCCTTGCACCTATTTCGACCTGGATCGGGGTAGTGGATGGGAGGAAGAGGATAGGATACGAATAACGATAACCGTAGAATCTTCACGAGAAGAATTGCATCATGAGTTGGAGGACCTACATTTTAGACGCGCAGTCTAGTAGAATCTCCAAGAAGCGTCCACTTGCGGAAAACCAACCTCCAAACACCCTAAGAATAACAACGCACATTCCAATTATACCAGTTGTCTCGCCAACTCGTCATCTGCGAGATACTTTCTGTCGACGGCTGTAATTTGCGCATCGAGGTAGTCCTCGTAGGTCATATATGCACCGACCCCGAGTTCTCCGGAGTCGGCTACCATCTTAAAGACTCTACTTCAAGACGATCTTCGTCTCTAAAAAAGTAGTCCTATGGGAAAGTTCAAATTATTATATGTGATCCGTTGATAAATTTGAGCTATTCTGGAAAAGAAGCTGTAAAAAACCATGTACCACTTCGAAATTAAACAGAGAACTCACCGGAGATAGTACTCTAATCAATTGCCAAAACGCAAAAATCAACTTCGCGTGGGAGTACTAGAGGACGGAATTCTATTCGCGTGGGAGTGTGGTTTTCTCAGGGGCTCACAAGACATCCAGACAGGAAACGAGAATCAGTAACCGATAGTCGTGTCGTTCGGTTCTTAAGCTTGATGACTCTCTACTTCTTGGCGTCACATATTTCCTGCTCTCAAAGCGCAATTATCGTTTAACAGAATAACGAATATGTTCCCGTACAAGGACCGATCAAAATGCATGATGAGAGCCTCGGACTACACCGGACGCATATGCCTAGCGGATGCGTGTGTAGTGTGTAACTTGGTGCCGAGTTCTTCTATCCAACTTTCTTCCATACATGTTCTTCTTCTTCAATCAGAATCGATCTAAAATTCAATTTTAGCTACAAAGAATGAAGTGCCTGTGGGGGAGGGATATCCCATTTTCTTTTTTCCGCACTCTTGTTGATTCACGATATCTACTGTTCCATTCTATACATGACTGAGGTACATCAAAGGAGTCATACTAGTAACACAAAAAGAGGACCGCAACCTACTCCCACAAAATTAGACGACAACAATAGTAAGAATACAGTCAGAAATCAGTCGTTCATAATTTTCCTACGATAGGCCACTACTAGTCTTGATTTAGGCTTACTGAAACTGTAGGACTGCATACTGTGCCTGTGTAACGACGACAATGATGTACACTCTAAAAAACTCTGTAAACGCGGAGGTAATTATCAGCAAAACCGAACCTGCTATCTGGCTGTTACAGTAGTACGGGAAAAACGTCAGTACATCGCAAGAATTACCATGTATTTTGTCTTGGATACAGCAATACTCAAGCCTTAATCCTTAAATCGCACTTACACCTACTCGTGCGACCAGGTATAGTTTGTTTCTTGGAATTTTTCAAAACCATTGATTGTCTATGCATCTTCAGAAGGAAAATTCAAATAGAGGAAGCTTCCGCTTCTATGTTCGAAATTAATCAGCGACCAAGCATATCCTCATAAAAATTTCGCATGCGATGCATGATGTCCGACACATGCTGTTCCAAGTTATACACGCCTCCGATCTGCATTAAGCTGCCAACGGTATCAAACTCAGCCTGAGCCGCGGCGGATACACGCTCGACATCAACCTGAGCGCGAGATGGATGCTGGGGTAGAAATAGTAGGAGCCGCACACTACAGACGTTTTACGTTGTCCCTGATTTTGGTACGATCTTACTGCACGCAGAGCAACTGCAGCAAGAAGAAGGAAAAGTAAGTAGGGACGTGCATGCTCGCCCTCCCGCTCACGCTCATGGGAACTGGTCAACGACACAAGGGAAAAGCTGAAAAGAAGCACTAAATATATTCAAATATTTACTAACCCAGCGCGCGGATGCTTCCGCCCATGGCGTCCCACCCCCCAGGCTTCCAGGTGGAGAAACCCTAGGGAGGTGGGCAGTCGCATCAGCAACAGCCCACCACAGCGCGCCATAATCATGGGCACCGGCTCACCATGACACGCCCCGCTGCTGATCGCATACAAACCCAACCTCAAAAAGCTGGCCCGACAAGGGCCAACAGAGAGGAGCCAAGCCCAAAGCCCTAGCTAGGCAGAAAGCTAAAGAAGCCAGAAAGAAACGAGAAACCAGCCCCATCCACTCACGATAGCGAACTCATTCACGCACGCACAAAAATGGCGCAAAAGGGGCCTAGTTTACAGCGATGAAGCCCGAACAACGCGGAGGCGAGACAGCTAGCCGGCGCGCATAATGGCCAGCCGCAACCTGGCTGTGTCACGTTGAGCGCCAAACGATCCCACCCAACCAGAAGCCGCCCCGCGTCCACCCCCCTGCTTCAGCCACCCCCCTGGCTCCTGAGTGCGTGTCGCCAGTTTGTGGGGTGAGTTCTTGCCCATCGGGTCCCTTGCTCTTCTACAGCGTTGCACGCTCTGCTACTGTGGCCCCCTGCGGTTCCCGCGCTCCTGTATAGCGCGCGGGAAAATCTATATTCTTCAGGCAAATGCCAAGGCCCTCGACCACGAAAGGCCAGGCCGCGAGAGACTACCACCAGGCCACTAGTAAGCACGTGGGCAGCCAATCCGATAAGCCACAAGAAACCCCAACCGCCTCAAAGTCCGGCGAACCAGCGGCCTCCGTGCCTTAGCTCTGGGACTCGTGCATGCTCGGCCTCCGCTGCTGTCGCCGCGCCGTCGGTGCTTCCTTTCTTTCACAAGCGGCAGAAGCCTCCCAGCGGCGCCGCCGAGTCGCCAGCTTTTTTGGGCGTGTGAATTCCTTTCCTTTGCTACGCACCCAACGAACCCACAACCGAGAGAATTTGGGCCCGGGGCGCTACTGAGTGCCAGTCTTCGAACCAATCAGGCACGCCCCTAGCCGATGACGCTCCCAGAACGGTGGGCCCTGCGGGGGTCCTGTTGACCTTTGCCCGCGCCTCTACGCACGCTACGCAGTCGCTACTCTAGAACGCCGCCCGAGCCCGTCCCCCCTCAGGCCTTTGCTTCTATTCTCTCTACATATAAAGCCTTGCCCACCCTGCCGGACGAAGGCCATCCACTATGCACCTATACACAAATAGTACCGCATCCAGCTGTATTCCCCTCACAGCCACAATGGTTTTCGTACTGCGAAGCTCGATCCCCAAGGCTTGCCTCGAAGGTTTTAGCAAAATATCTAGTCCGCTTTCCGGAATTCCCGAAGTTGGTTCCTGACTGCCAAGCGGCCATACTACTTCTTCCAGCGTCTTATTGCTATCCGGAACACCTAGAGTTCGTGGATGCGCATAGGATTGAGCAGATTGTAACACCCATTTTTGATGATTCTCTGTAAACAACTAACCGGTCGTTTAATCTCTCCTCTTGCATTCTTGAAGCAGTTACAACTAGACAAAAATAAAAACTCCTACTCCCTCCAACTACTTTATCAACAGCCTCTACCAAGATACAAGAAAAAGAACAAAACAAGTAGTGCCAATACGGAGAGGACAAGAAGAACAATACCACTAAGAATCCGTAATTCCGTATGCCCTCTATCGAGGCCGTCAAGTCCAGTGCCATCGGCAACGTCAAAAATACGGATACGCCGGAGAAGGTGATTAGCGTCGGCTTGAAAAGGTAGTCGCCAAAATTGGGGCTCTGCATCTGTAGGTCATTTGGATCACAAAGACGGGATCAACGTTTTGTGTCGATGAACTACAAAGTGATCAAACGCTACCCAATCTCTATCACGAGGTATGAGGCCTTGGGGTAGGAACCTCAGGTAAATACAACTTACAATGATCTCGTTGTACCTGTTCCGTTTTCCGTCGTCGCAAAGTACGTCGCTACAGCATCTGTCTCGTTTTCGGTAGTGTTGATTCCAGGCACGCGAGCATGACGCACGATGACTCTGCTATTTGATGTAGGCTGCCCATTGCTGACATTGGATAGCAGAACGGCATTAAGAACGCGCTCCGCCGCATCTGCGCTCCCAGATGATATCACCGTGTCACTCACCGTATCATACTGCACGCGATATCCAAGCATAGAAAAAAACGCCTGGTCTTCTGGAAAGGTCGTACTATTGCTCCAATAGTTCGACCCTTTGTTAGACGTTTGACCAAAGACCAGAGACGTTTGACCAGCTCCGTCCCCACGACCGCCACCATTACGTCGACCATCAACGTGGACTAAAGTGCAGTTGGTATACAGAGTGCAGCACATGTCGCTAAGACTCACCGCAGTCCCATCTGCGTTGTAGGCGTTGAGATCGAGAGAAAAAGCGTCACAGCCGCCTTCGTTCAAGCAGTCGTCTTCGCATTGATATTTGGAAGTGAATTCCTGTGCTTTGCCTGAACCATTTCCACTAGAAGATGCTGAGCCTCCATTATGCTGCCTACAGGGTCCACGTCGGCTAAGATACTCCAAGTCCTCAATCGCACAGTAGTAGCCAGGTGACATGCGGAGAGAAATGTTGGGATTAGAAGATGTTGGCGTCGTTACAATATTGAAGTATCATCAGACGCGTCGACTATTCAGGAGGCGTGCTATTACAAGAATAGAAGTAAGTATCCATGTTGTTACATGAGGCATATAATCCTCGGAATACATGCTAGATCAAAAAAAAACTGAACAGAATACAACGCGGACGGATTTTTCTACAAGTGAAGCAGCAAGGCCTTAACTCCATCCCCAGCGTGCAAAGGCGGAACCGTCTTTACTGCACCTATTTCCATATCGCCTACTGTCTCCACTCTAGCCATTAAATCTGCCGGCAGCGCCTCTGACAACTCACTTTGTAGATCAGCTTGGAAGTTTATCTCGTGGTCTTCTATCACGTCCTCGTCAGTATCTTCCTCTGAGGCTTCTGGCAGGTACATTCCTATCGTCTTCTCGTGCTGACGCTGCCCGCTCTTCCTAGAAGATGACCCCGACAAAAGAAAATGCTGAAATCTTCCACCTCCAGTTGTACTTCTGATGTAGTGCCTTTGATGGTTTGTTCTGTCTCTTTCAATTGTACTGGTACTAGACTTCCCACCTTGTTCGTGATCTTTAGGTATTAGTACTGTCGCAGAGACAGAAAAATGTCTACTTTTCCCAGCAGATGACGCACCTTCTCCCACACCCACTGCTAATTTGCTGTTGACATCCAAAGCTGCCTCTCTGTCGCCAGGAACGGCCTTCGCACTCACGATCTCCGCTTCAGCTCCATAGGTTTTTCTAAGCGCTCTAGAGACAGAAGCCTTGAAAGCCTCTGAAGCGACGACATCAGCGGCCGTTCGCGAATAGATGTTAGAGTTCTGGCTGCATTGCTCTTGTTTCGTCTATTCATTGACGTCGAAATATAAATGAAAAGAAACACAACTAGAGCCACAACTGTATAGGACCGAAGGGACTTGAAGGAACGACAGTAGGTAGAAGAAAATTGATTCATTCAAGTACGTGGGACCATTACCAACCACATGTTCCATACCACTCGAATCCACCGACAGGGAGATGGCAAAGGATATCGGAACTGCATTTCCCGACTCAGGTACATTTTCTGATACTAGCAATGATGGCGACGCAGGTGCAGTCGTTGTCGTGACTGCTTCTGCTGTCGTTGTAGTGGTTGTCGATGTCGTGCTGCTCGTTGACGTTGTCGATGTAGTCGTAGTGGTCGTTGACGCTGTACTCGATCCATCGTTCGAAGCATAGCCCTGGGACGATGGCTCAGAGTTAGACGCTTCTCCGTGACCACTGGCCTCATTCTTCCCACTATGATGGGCTGTCACCTTCCTATGCGTCTTCCCACGATCATGCGTTTCCACCTTCGTCTCCAATTTATCACTTTCAACTCCCACTTTTGCCTCTAGATTTTGCCTTTTCAGTCGTGATGCTGACGCCTCCTCTTCTTTGCGCTCCTCCGATTGAATCTTGACGGAGGTTTCTAACTTACGACTTCCCTGCTCTACTTTCATCTCCTGCTGATGCGACGCAGCTGTCTCCTTCTTTGACATCTTCTGATCGTGATCTTGCGTAGTTATCTGAGTCACCACTTTACGACTTTCACCTTGAATCTTCCCACCATTCAGTTGCTTGGCCTCTACCTGTGACGCATCCCTTGTTTTATCTTCGCCACCTCGTTCTCTATCCCCATCTTTACCTCGTCCACGTTCACCCTGTCGCTGCCTCTTTGCTAGTGCGTTCGCATCCATCATTCCCCCCTTGTTCTCCCGAGGCAGCAATCCTTCTTCTCTGATTCGAGCTCACCCTAATCCATCTTGAGAAGCATCCGGCCGGCTTCTCTTTTCTCCTTGAAAGCCACCTCTTTCAGGATGCTTGACCAGAAGATGGACTGGGGTAAGCCTTAATCTGAGCAACTGTTTGACCCGATCAGTCAGAGGTATCCGCTTCTCCTGCTCCGCTAGGTCACCAGTGCCCTGTAATTTCCTCACCCTCGCTCGCAGCCGCTCTATCTCTGACTTGGCTTTTTCCTTAAGATGAGAGGAACGGCTCTCCTGTTTGTGCGAGCCTTCTGCTCGTTCTTTTTTGCCATGCCGTTCTTCTTGATGCGCGGCAGCAAAGGCATTCTCTAGCTCTTTCACGGTGCCTTGTTGGTGATGTTCTTGAGAAGTTGCATCAGAATTATCCTTTGATTTGGAAGCTGTTTCTTTCACCTGTCCTGCATCCTTTGATCGCCCTTTAGCCTCTTCCGTCTCCTTCATCCTCGCCTTTCTGTTGATTTCTCTGACCTCCTGCAGTTGCTTCTCGAGTTGCCCTTCTTTCACCCTCAGCCTCACCTCTGTCTGATGCTCAGCATCTGCCTTTTTTTCTAGTTCTTGTACCTTTGCCGCTTTCTCCGCTTTCTCCACCGACCGTGTTTCTCCCTTCCTCTCATTTGTCAGAACAGTGCCCTTCTCGGGGATTCGCGGTCGTTGTCCAGCTTGATGATGATCCGTTTGGTTAGCAACATTATGATGTTCGTGCGAAACATTCTGATGAATTCCAGTCGTTGAGTGAGTCCACTGCTTCTGTTCCTCTGAAACATGAGGGTGAGAATGTTGCGTTGACTGATGTTGTTCAGAACCGTGTTGATGATGCTGATATCCCTGATGGTGTTGTTGTGCATGCTGTTCGTGCTCTGTGATATTAGGATATTTCCGGATCTGAAAGTACATCAATGGCGGCGCATCGTTGTTCGAAACATGACCAGAAGCGCGACCTGTCGAGTTAGCGTTCTCCACTAGCGAAGCACCTTCCGCCTCAACTGCGTCATCGTCACCACGACCGCTTCTAGAGGTCAGAACTAGTTTTCCTGCATCTTCACTGCCACTACTTTCTTTGAGGCCCAAATAGGACGCAGAAGACTGCGTCAAATCCCGCATTTTCACCACGTGAAAGCCCATTTGCAACCAAAACTTCGACGACGCCTTGTCCACATTCTGCTTGGACCAAGAGGTAAAATTGTAGCGCTGCTCCTCCAGATTGAGTAACATCTCAGGTCGAACCTCGATCGTATCAAAGTCACCGCCAACTGCATGGGCCACGGGCACGAAGAACAGAGGGACGTCGTCCACGACACCAGTACTCCTAAGAGTTTGGCGACAAAGGGCATAGCGAGCGGCGTCGTCAATTGTAGCTGCTGTGCCGTTCTTCTCGAGAAATGAAGGGGGTGCAAGCAAGGTTAGGGAATAACTGGAAGAAGTCGCGAATAGCATCGATCTAGCAGTAATAGGAAAAATCAAAATCATTTGTTTCAGATCATGGCTAGATCTAGATCAGATGGCTAGACAAGAATTTACTGAGTATATTTTTTAAGGAATCGCACCATAAAAGATAATGCAGTTCAAATCTGCTCGGTCCTTTCCTTCTCGCATTAAACGACCTCAATGCGCGATCTCCACGTTTGGTGTCTAGACCCGATTGGCACCCTAGCTCCAGCACGGCTACACCGTCTACTGTCTTGGGACGACCAACTAAGAACCCATCTAATGGCGTGGAGGCATAGTCTTCGTTATACCCGTCCTCCAGCGGCGGAACGTAAGAACAGCGCATGTCGTACAGTGTGTCGTGGTCTTGGGAAGGTATGAATGGAGAAAGGGAGATTTAACAGTTGAAAAAGCTGAGGTTGAGGTGTTGTAAGTAAATGTTATCCTATCTTCCCCCCATAAAAAAAGTGGATTCCAAAGTCGCCACCTTCGTCAACCGCACATTCCGCTCTGCTTGTGGATTATTGCCACCTCTCGCGCTGAAGAACCAGTGACCTGGATTCTTTGTGCACAAATCATTGGGGTCCGAAAAGGCGTCACTGCAGTCGATATCGTAATGACTCGGCAAGATATCGGCAGCCAATTTGTTGCCGTGTGGTATGGCGTACACGTGATCCTTGTCTAGAACCTTCTGTGAAATCTTCTCGGAATTCAACAGCCACCGCTTGAAGCCTGCACGTTCGATGAGAGATAGGGCTACACCTCCTGAAGCTGATGATGTTGTAGCTCCAGAAGAAGCTGGTCGTGTTGTAATGGATGACGATTCTCCCTCTATTAAAGCTCAGCATTCAATGGTCACTGATGCTGAAAGAAAAGGGCCCTTTACCCCTCTACTTGTTCTCCCTGTGTTTTCCCCTGTTTTCTAAGGAGAGCCTCTCTGCGATCCCAGTGACCAACCCCAATGACCATTGAAAGCTGAGCCTTAACTCTAGTAACCCCATCGTCGCAGAAGTCGTTCCATTCCTATTAGGTTGCGGATGATAGAAGTGTGCTTGTCTGATCTCCCCATCATGTGCTTCCGGCTGCCATCCGCTATCCACGATCGTTTTGCACACAAACAAGTTGAGCATTGCGTAATTTTCCCAATACCTGTCTTGTCCCCCCAGAGTCCATTCTTTGTTCACAAAGAACGCTTTCCTGGCTGCCACAGTCTGGTGCGCCACCGTTGGTCCGGCTTTGTACTGGTACAAGAGCGAATATCCTGTCGGCCACGACCCTCCATTACTTTCATCCTGTAAAGCAAATCTTTGAACTCGCACGATGAATTCGTTGACCGGAAATCGTTCAAATGTCATCGGCCGTGGACTCCCGTCTGGCAAAACAAGGCTTTCGCAATACAGCACTAATATCCTCTGAGGATCTCCAGGTCTTCGATGACCCCACAACTGCTCTCCGAGTGTCGGGCATTCAAATCGGACAATATCGCGGTCTTGCCACGTCGTAATAGGTATGCCAGGATGGCCAAGAGCTGCTAAACGAAGGTCTTCCAGATGCCCAGTGCCCAAGATAGGCGCCAGAGCAGCGTCGCGAGCGGCCATTTCTGCGAGGTCTTCATCGTGAAGACCTTTTGTGGCTTTGGATTGGGGTCGAGAAAGGATTAGAGAGTAGCTTTGGATTGAGGTCGGAAGGTGATTAGTGTTAGAAGATTATAGGTTGTGAATCCTGCACATCGAGCCCCCCGGCACCTGGCTCAACACCGAGGATGATTGGGCTGAGCATTTCCGATGTCATACACTTTCTTCAGCCTCCAACAACGACGTCGAAGCACTACTTGCTTCTTTCCTGATTCTGTTGTTCCCCCCACCAGCATCGTCAGTAATATCGACATCGCTCTCCAGTTCAAGGAGAAAAAACCGCCCTCGTCCAGTAGCGGGAACGTCATCTGCAAGCATCAAAATTTCAGGGTTCGGCATGCTCGGATCAAATGATCCATGTTGAGTTCTGCGCTTTTTTCTTCTTTTCACGACAGCGCTTAGATCTTCAGAAGAGGAAGAGAATGCTGTTGAACCAGAGACAGAGCTTCCTTCTGCGACAAAATTCGTGGTATCCGCAAGATCTTGTGGTGACGGCAGATTCTCTCTCGCGTCCTCTCTACCGTCAGCGTCATCCTCCGACTGCTCATCATCACTTTCGCTTGATGTTCTACTATCGGCCAAAGTCTTTTTCTCCCCAACGTCCTGCTCCAGGTCGACAGTGTTCCACTTTGGAGGTCTTCGTGCATTGGGCGGAGGTCCTCCGAGTGCAGACGAAATTGATATCTTCTTATTTCTCGGACCATCTGTAGAACTTGATTCCGTTTCTAAGAACGAAGCTCCTGGTGTCCCTACAACTTCTTCTGCACGACCACTCTTCCTTGCCAAACTGACGAGTGAAGGTGATGAGGTCGTTGTAGTATCTTCTTCTTGTCCACTTTGCAGCTCTTCTCTAGAAGTATCTTGAGCCCTCTGATCCTCCATCTTCCACACTTTGGATAACATCGTCAGCCATGATATTCTGCGACTACGATGCTGCTTTGGATCATGATCACCTTCTTCTCCACCACCACGACTCCCCAGAAACACTGAAGCGTCGAAGACTTCTGCCATTGTGAAATTCGATGGATCCGCGGATGCCGCAACGGTGGGCTGATCGAAGGTTACTCGGGTCACACGACTAGTGTTTGCTGGCGGCTGCATACTGGAGACGTCAACGAAGAAAAATATCTTCGCGCCTGAATCCAAGGTATAGGAAGCCGACTCGAAAAGAGAGAAAGTACCATCGTCGTAGACGTGTTGGTAGGTTGAGGTTAGAGAATGGGTTAATATTGCTATGTTTTGCTCCACATACATAGTAAGAGTAACCGAAAAACAATAGAAGGAACCGGAACAAAGCGAACTGGCCTTAACAAAACATAGCGCGTCTGCTTGCGACCCTGTGCGTCGACGTACTCATCATCCGTTCCCCACTGTGGTCTAGCGCGGAAGTGATAGCTTCGTGGAAAGAAGTTGTCACCGTCTTCTACATGAGGGGCAGACAGACCAGAAATCTTTCCCGGCAACGCGCTCGCGTGGTCCTGCGACAACGCTGGATCACTCGTTACAGGCACGCAGCGCAAGATCAGTCCGCGCACACCTTGCGTCTCTTCCAGATACACCAAATTGGCAAACAAGGTCGTGTTTCCTCCTCCAAATTCGACTTGATCTGAAGTGTTTCCTGCTTGCAGCAAGTTCGGACAAGCTAACTGGTACATCTTTTTCTCGTCAAATCTTACGACGGGAACGTTGACCCCGAGATCCATACTCCCGAGAGAAAGACTGGAAACATCTAGACCTTGGTCAGAAGCAGTCGAAGTAGAACTTATTGCTTGTTCATCCTGCCCTTTCTTTCCCATATCAACTACTGCCGCAGCTTCCACCTCCTCCGCTACACTACTAGAAGCAACTTCTTCCTCTTTCACAGCACCCCTAACTGTATTAGCTCCTCTGCTCCCCACTACAGTAGATATCAAACTCAATTCCTCTCCTGGACCTGGACCTGGACCTGGAACTGCGTCCTCGTGTTCGTGATTGTGTGCAGCTGTCGGATTGTGTGCAGCCGTCGTAACGTCCTCAATCAGATGATGGGCTAGCGTGTTCGCAAAAGCAGTGCTTCTAGCCGTGCCATGGCTAAGACTGGTAGCAATATGACGAGCAAGGGAAACCGGTAAGACTAACTCTACTCCAATTTCGACTACCTGGAAAACAGCTCCTTCATGATCTGGAGAAGAGGAGTCTGCTTCATCTGTGCTTGTTTCGGTTTCTTGAGTAGTTTCTGTGGAAGTCATCTTCTCGAGAAGTAGCTGTGTTGGTGCCGACATCTCGGTGCGACTGTGAACCGAAGAACCCATCGCTTGTTCTTGTTCTAATTCGATCGTTTCCACAGCCTTTCTACTCAATCGAATCGCTTGCATCACTGCTTCATCGTTTATCTCAGCGCCTACTTGAGTTTGTCCTCCGTCCGCTGATAAGCTAGTTTGAAACATGTTGAAGTCACCCTCTCGTGGTTCGGCCAACAGAGTTGTAGCATCTCCAGTACTAAGACCCGTGGCTTCCAACAAGTGCAAACTACTAGTGCGAGTCGTCCCATTATGCGTTCCTCTCGTCTTATTCCCACTACTATTTTTCATCTCACCAACAGCTTCCCCATGATCCCAGTAATTCCCACTGCGCTCCTCTTCCTCTGCTGAAGACATTATGTCATCGTCGATGTCGTCGATGATTTTGATGGCGATGTAGCCGAAGTTGTCCTCCATATGGAGGGAAACCGATGCTACGCTATTGCAAGTCTCCTTGATCGCCCTCTTAACCGCGACTTCAAACTGCGCACTCTCCACAAACGCGGAAGCTAAGTCGTCTGACGCTTGCTCTTGCTGGAGTCGTAGTCGTTCTAGTTCTTGGGCAGTAGTCGTTGAGAGAGAATTTCTACCGGAAGATTCAAGCAAAGAGGTTGTTGTGGTTTCTACTACTGTGCTGTCTACTTCTCCATTTGTCCTCTTTTTCCTACCGTCTCCCTGACTATGTTGGTCATCATGACTGCCCATTTCAGCGGGTTTCTCTGCATATTCTAGAGTCAATTCGAAAGAGAGTGTCACAATCGTTGAAGGATCGCCTAGGATATTGAAGATGTTCCTATTCTGTTGTAGTTCCTGTAAACCGTAATTACTCGAAGTTGCATCCCTATCCTCTTCGACAAGAGCAACATTGTCACTGTTCTTACTTCTTCTGTCATGCTTTCTCCTATCCCTCGTCTGCGATATCCTCACAGACGACGTCTGCACTAGCCACGTCACTGCAGCACCCGGTGCGCTACCCTTTGTCCGTCCCCGTCGACGTCGTGTGCTCGAGGGTGCTAGGCCTCTTCGATTCGAAAGTAAGATCCGACGACCTGGTGACGAGACCCCTACGGACATTAGTTTGCACCATGACAACTGCAGCTGCAGAAGCAACCAGCAGAAGCAAGGGCCTCGTCTCCAGGACAGCATCTTTGAGGGCAGGTCCGAAGAACTATACTTCTTTTCAAAAATTCAATCGACTATGCCATAGTTTGGTTGTACAACTAAGAGTTTGTTTGTTGTAGTTTCCGCTTCGCTTCTTACGGTACAATTTTTTACCAGGTATGTCCGGTGTCCTTGCAGTGGAGACACAGCCAATCCGTGGCTTTAGACTTTCTTTCTTGTTGCTTTCAATAGTCTTCGGAATAGTTGTTCAACTGGAACACGCGCTATTTCTTTCTTACTCTGCTATCACAACATAGCTCAATATATTTCTCTGAATCCGGAAAACAAAATTTGGAAAAAAGTCATCTCAACAAAATTTGGAAAAAAGTAATTTCTAGAATGTTGTAACAACATCACCTTCCAATCGAGCATATTTCCCCACCTAACCCAAGCAGCGTCGCAGCTGTGGCATCAAACGGCACTTTCCCCACCAAATTGCCACCCTGCCGATAGCGACACGAAACTGCAAACGTCTTCTCCGCGTGTTTCCCGCTCCCACAGTGGGCTTTTCCGCATCCCAACTCTGTAGTATCCTCCCACATAAGTTGTGTGAAGTGACCGACCGCACAAGAGAAGACTGCATTGTTGCTGCTCTTTGTCGTGCTCGTGACAGCAGCCGAAGAAATCTTTGTGCTGGATGCGGTTGTGGAGATCATATTTCTTGCTGCGGATGCCTGCTTCAACAGCATAGTCGTGATATTTTTCAACGGAACTATCTTATCCCCGTGATCTTGCAAAAACATCGAAGAAGAACTCCTCGAACCACCCAGCAGTTCCTCATGATCTTGCAAAAACATCGAAGATCTACTTGTCGAAGCACCCAGCAGCTCCTCATGATCTTGCAAAGACATCGAAGATCTACTTGTCGAAGCACTCGACCCACCCATACCACTAGCACATCCCGAAGTCACACACGCCGCTCCCACCGGACCGTAGTGATAGGGCGTATCGAGTTCCGCGTACCAGGCGTCCACCACATCAGTTCCAGTCGGGTCCATACCGGAAACTTGGTAAATGTTCTCGCCTATGTAGTCTTCGGGTGTATCGGGGATGCGGCCATTGTGGCGAGCGGGAGTATGAAAGAGGATGATAGATTATACTTATGATTTGTAGAAGTGAGTCGTTTGAAAGTCGATTCATTTTCGATGAGGAGGTGATCTTTTAAATCTAGTACAGAGCAAGAGAATGTTGAAATCAAAAGTGGAGTAACATTTATACTAGGATGCAAGGAGAACGGGAACTAACATTCAACTCACTACTATCGATCTCACTTTCCCATAAACAGTACTCGAGTGTTCAAACACGCCTGTCGCACAAAGTTCTTTAGCATGCTCCTCCGCTGCACGTGTCAAATCCCAAGAGGCCTCTAAAGCTGGCAATCCTGCACGTGCTCTGACGGTATTCGTAGCTAATATCAGATCCTGCTCAAACGTGAGTCTTGGATCATGCGTTGGCCTGGAAGCGAAATGCGGATGTAATGCCCTACCACGAGACGAAACCAGTTTGTTGCGTCGCCAGGGCTCAGACTTCTGAGCGCTGCCTCCACCTATTAGTTCCAGCGCTATCTTCGTAGTCGTGGATGCCTTGGTGGACGTTCGGGATAGGAGACTGCGACCTGACCCATGGGCGTCGTGCGCCACGAGGAGCAGAGAAAAAAACGCAGTTCGTCTGCTCACATGTTCTTTTCTGCGTTTCATCTTCTTGAATTCATCTACATTTTCTTAGTTGTCAAACCTTTCCACCTTTTTGAACTTTTGGCCGCGATGATTTTCAGGATCCCTTTTCGGAGAGGTACAGCTTTTGAGGAAGGACAGATCGCGTAGCCGATAGATACTGGCAGCTAGAAGAACTAAGAATATCTTTAGGAGTAAGTACTTACTAAGAATACTTCTATAAGGAGATGAACTGATCGGCCACACTTTCGTCAACCGATGTAGTTGTTGTTTCTCCAATGAAGGAGCAGAAACAAAGTGTAAAAGTGCTTCGTAGATTCTTGTGGCCAACGACAATCAAAATCTTCTTCTTCAGGGTTCATTTTCATTATTTTTCAAGAGAATCCACCATCCCCATTATGGCGTCCCAAGTAGCCATCCTAAGCTACCTACGTAATCCTCCTACTGCATCCAATGCGAATGCCCTGGATCTGGAAAGTATCTATAACTCTCTGTCAATCCCTTTGCGTGGTAACTCCCCGGTTGATGCTCACTACCATCGTAATGCTTTGCCGCATCTGGCCTACCGTGTTTGTCTCTGGGAATGAGCTCCTTTTCCTCTCCAGTCAACCTTCTATTTGCCCACATGTTAGAGCGACTGCGTTCGCGTCCCTGATGCCATCATTGGCTTCTTTTCCAGGTAGAAAAAGGGCCAAGAATGGCGTTGAGGATGCGTCAGCGGTAGCCTTAAAGATGTCAATCAACCTGTCTGGCTTAGGGACTTGTTCGGCGTTGTAGTGCACAGTCTCCGGATCGATCTCGATTTCGTCGACTCTTAGCATCGTTACGTACTGTCGTCTGCGCCAAAAAGTACGAAATCTATGCGAGTGATTCGGGCCACACCTGAACACTAGCTTCTCCCCACACAGAGTCTGTTGCTCAATCGTACATTTTACCCTTGCGAAAGGCACTGTTGGCTTCCCCAGAATAGTCCAAGATCTGCTACCAGCTAGCAAAACCGTGCCAAAAGCGACTTTTTCCCCAGCGTGCCGATCTTTCATCCTCTCCGCCATGACCAAGTCGCCTACTGTGACTTTATGCTGCATGTAGATGTTGGACTTGAAGATGCAGAAGACATCTTGTGATTTGACTTGGTTGCGGAAGGCGTCGAACGCAGGTGAGCCGATTTCAGGGTACTCTGGGCAACCACCATTTTTTTCAAAGAACTGCAGATTCGGCATCTCATTGTGCCAAACGAAAGCACACGTCGGAGCAGGATAGGGAAGGTCGTTACGGATGTTAGAGGAGGAAAGCATCTCTCTGACTCTGGTGTTGAAATGTTTCGTCAAATGAAATATTCAGCTATTGAGGGTTAGGGTCAATCCTTCACATGGCCTACGCACACCTCATGTTGTAGATCCTCACAAAAGAAAACTCCGTCAATGATCCTACACAAAGAGAGTTTCTTCATGGAGTGACCGTCAATCAAACAAAAAAAAATTGCATGGAGCAGTGAGTCTCATAAGAATAGGTTGCCATTTTTTCGCAATTTTCCACCTCTCGTTGTTCCACCGCAAACCGTAGCTCCACCGCATCTTCATGTCCGCATACTGTGTCAGCATGTTCATGTTCCTATCGTTTTCAGCTGGATGGTTCGGGTACTTCGGCTTCCAACTGATACCACCGGTTTTTTGCCTTCCTTTGATGATCTCCATTTTATGCCCCATGACAACGCGAGCAGGGTGGCGAATGTGATAGCGCTTTTGAGTGGTGTTCCACTTCATCTGGTGGCTCTGCTGGTGCTGTTGTACCGGGAGCAAGGAGCAGGAGGTGCTTGAAGTTGCGCCACCAATCTGTAGGGCAGACGCTGCGAATGGCAGACGCTGCAGAGAATCAGTGCCGTGAGACACACGAAGGGAGACACGGGGCAGCGTCATTTTTCTTTATGGTCACTCTCTGTAATGAATTATTTGCAAAATGAAAGTCGATCGTTCTTGTTCTCTCTACACAAGGACACCTTAGAAAACCAATCCTCGCATCATTGATGTTGTTCGCTTGATCTTCTCACACCATGCACAGTAGCGTGCTAACACCCCACCAAGCCAGAAGAGCACACGGATACGCCACACAAGGCTACTCCTCCTTGCTCCAACCAAAGCCCGACAGTACACTTTTATTTCATTAAATGTGTTGAAAATCAAATGTACAGGATTCCTTTAGGCGGGTAAAGATTTGTGAAGTCAAAAAAGGTTCATTGGTGGGTGTCGGTATGCCCTTTTCCACAGGGGTACAGCGACAACAAAAAATCATATGTGAGGTCCTTTCCTTGGGAGAAATTTTGGTCTTGGTGACGAACAAGGTGAGTCATGTACATTGATCATAGTTAATAGTTGGATCTTTTTTACTGATAATGATTTGAGATATTTGATATTGTTTTTGGAATTGTCAAAAAGAAAAAGGTTTTAGCGATCCAGATCTACTTTCCTGAAAGCCCCCTTAGGCTTTTGCGCTTTAGAACATTAAAAATCGAATCACTTGTACATGAGTAGAAAGTTTTGTAAATTCATCTCCTAGCATCCGAGGATGACCTAGAGACTGAAGATGATTGAAAGACGTTAATAATACTAGTGACTTCTAGTCCAACCCTTTCACCAAACAAATTATCCTCTAGCCGAACAGCGACCGACCACCCCTTGCTCCTCCGCCTCCTTGTGGCAGACCCTCATCAAACAACGAGCGACCTCCAGCACGAGCTGGCTGTTGCGGCTGAGGGATGGCACCTCCTCCAGGTGGTCCTGGTCGCGCATGTGGGTTGAAATTCGGTCCGCTTGGTGGCCCTCCTGGCATACCACCCATACCGCTACCCGGCATTCCTCCTCCTGGCATCATATTACCTCCTGGGCCACCACCTCTGCCGGCCCCTCCTCCAGGTAGTTGTTGGCCGCCTACCCCTCCTCCACTAGATGAAGTAGTAGGTCCACCTCCACTTCCACTAGCCAAGCCGCCTTCCAATGCCAAAGATGCAATCTGTGGGTCTTTTTGCAGGATGTCAGCTGCTTTCTTCAGGGTTTTCTCCTGTGCAGCAAGAGATCTCCGCTCATCTGTGATGTGTGGAGGCTCGCCTAGCATTTCTGTGAGGTTTTTCTGGTTCTGCTGCGTCAACCCTACGAATAATTCGAATTGCATCTTGTCTTCCAACGCCCGTACTAGAAAATAGCCAATTGCCTTCGGAATGCTATCACGCCAATTTCGGATGCTCAAGGAAAAGAAGCAGTCTAATTGTCTTCGCAAGTGGTCAATGTGCGTCTTGTTGTACAGCATCCCATTGTTATTGCCCACATTTCGGAACATCCTCTTCTCGTTGGGGTCTTGGAAAAATTTAGAGACCCCATCACGCAAGTCGCTAGCCTTCTGAGCAGCAAAAGCGCCTGCACGTGCTAAGCGCTCCTCCATTTCGTCCTGGTTAGCCTGTGCGTCAGCTGCAGAAAGAGTGGCATTCTGCGTGTCTACGGTTTGACCCCCTTTCTGGTACATCGTGCCCATTTGCGCAAACTCGACAAGGTATTCGTCATGGGGATTAGAAGGAGAAGAGAATCAGATTTGTAATACCACACACCGCGTATAATACGCTTCATTCCTTCCTCCAAAATCAAGAATCTTAGTCGGTTACAAATTGTAAATGAGCCAGCACTTGACTTTTTCTAGGAAATACCTTTACTAGAACCATGTCGATACTCTTACCCACGTAGAAATGAGCCGTTTCCATAACATTAGTAAACCGATAGACGATTTCCGCACTCACAAGATGCTCCACGACGTCCATGGCCTTTTGCTTCTCGTTATAGCAAATATCTTGACTCTTCTGCAAGACCAAATCAGCAAGCTTCGGGAACCGCCGGAAAACGCTTTTTGCGATTTTCTGACAGATATTGTCTAGTGCGGCAGAGACGTCGCTAACACATTCGGAAGCGGGGAGCTTGACCTGCCGTTGAAATGTAGGCAAAGTGGTAGGAAAGAGAGGCGCTGGGAAAGAGAGGCGGTAGGAAAAAGAGGCGGTAGGAAAGAGAGGCGGTAGGAAAGAGAGGCGGTAGGAAAGAGGTGCAGAGGTGATAGGAAGACTTGATCTTGAATGTACGAACTAGTATGTGAGAGCGCCCACATCCCTACTGTTACGGAAAGTGAAAAAGAGATGTCCTATTCAATCTAAGCTTCAATACCTTCTGCAAATGCGGTCTTAGCAGGTATTCGAAGGATTCCATGTTGCCGAATCCAGGTAGAGAGTCCCCTTCATGCATCCTAATAGCCCTGTCAATCTCGTGATCGTCTAGCGCATCCGTGATCGACTCCATGTGAAAGTCGATCAAAAATTCGTTGAAGATCGTTCTAATCTGAGCTCCTCCATTGATTTCGAGTAAAGCAGAGATGTAACGATGCAACTTGCGGTCGTACCTGTCGGATTGACGAAGGAGTGATGAATGTGAAGGGACGCATCAGGACAGTGTTGAAAGAAGGACTTCTTCCTCGACAAGAATCTTCTTAATATCATCGGTGGAGCACTCCTAACTAGCAAACAAAAAATCAAAAAAGTCAGGCATTCCAAATATCTATAACTGAACACGAAAAATAAAAATAGCCTAAAAACAAGTCTAGTGATCAAAGAGCACTACCTTCCCCTAATGGTGCTCTTGAAACATTCCGTGTAGTCATTGATGAGACCCCAGACTAATTGCACTTGCTCTTTTTCGTCTAGAGGAACGCCTTCTCCTAGCTCTTCCAACCGCGCAGACACTGTTCTCATACGCGACTGGATCTCGCTTTTGATGTCTGGATTGGGAAGGTTTGATAAGAAATGGGTAGGGTAGTGATATATTCTTTGAAGGGCTAAGCCTATAGAGGTAAAAACTACGTTAGTTCGACATCATCAGAAGGGAAAGTAGATTCCTTATAATGGATATAAGCGAGTAATACTTTCACTGTTGCAGAACATGTAATTCTCTGTTGCAGCACATGAATCAACGCGATGGTAGTCTTGGTATGCGATGCAACACTTCCAAATATGAACCAGTACCTGGCAAAACGTGACGGATATGCTTGAAGAGAATTTTCGTCAATTTTTCGATCAACGTTGGGATCCCTGTCATGCCTGGTGGCAGCCTGCTGTATCTCGGATGCTCCGCGAACCACTGCTTCTCTGTCAAAAGTGCTGCCTGTGCGTGTAACGGAAGGAGTGAAGTTTGAAGAATTTCCAGTGAAATTCGTAACCTCAACTAACATGTTTTGAGACAGGAGAACCACAAGCAGATGCAACCAACAAGAGAGCAAAGAACGAGAAATTACAATTTTTAGTACCTTAATCTTCTTTTTATCCCTGATGTCTTGCTGACTCCTCAGCTTGACGCCTACATAACCCAGCATCAACGGCACATCAGCACCCTGAAGCATCTTCACTGCGTCTGTTCCGCGATCCATGATGTCTATCTTGGTGATGACACCAATAGTCCTCAGACCTTGCGGATCTGCTGCTTTGGCCATTTGTAAACTATCCGCATTCACAACATCCTGATTCGCAGGAAGGACTGCAAGAATGATCGTCTTCTGGTTTTGAATGTACCTGTTGAGAGATTGATATAAATTAAATAAATGTGGTGAAGGACATACTCATCATGCTGTATGGGATGAACAAAATGTCTAGAACATGCTTGAGTTCTTGGAGGCTGCAAAATCTGTTTTCTAAGAGGATGAACGCAAGTGTATGGCGATGTATAGTGATGTCTAAGAGACCCTACTCTCGGAAGTAAGGGTCTGAGGGACTTCAGTACCTGTTCGTCATATCCTTCGTAATTTTCTCGATGTCCTCGTTCTGATCACTGCCCTTCATCGGCACTAGCGTGATTCCAGGCAAATCGATAAGTGTCAAATCCGGCGCGTTTGTAGCATGGATCTCCAACTTAATCGGGTCATCTACGATGGCTTTGTTTTTACCTATGGATTGTAGGAACGTGTGGTGATGTCACGTGTAGCAATCTACCAAGAAGAGATAGGATAGCCAGCTTATAAAAGAAATTACGAGCCACCAAGAGATAGGATAACCAGCTTATTATTCCTTTAATTCCTGCTTATCATACATACATCGCGTCTCAAATGACTATAGTACACAGCCATCGGCAAGACGAAACAATTTCTGCTACGAAAAACCAGCCACATCATCATTATCCACTTACTTCAACGTATCTCTTATTGCTTATCCAAATTCAAATTCAAATTCAAGGGCCTCAATCAAGCCTGGACGCTACGTGCGTCGGAGTCATGAGATGTGAAGTGTAGGTCTACTAAACAATCATTCATAAACATAATCTTCATACCAGCTATCATATCCGTTTCCCTTTCAATTTCTTCCCGGACTTGGTCAAAGTTCGTAAATTTCTTCTTCGTCCTCTCGAAAATAGCGTAGGCGACCTCTCCAGGATAGTCTGCGGGGTTCAAATGCTTCATCCGCAACTCCAGAGGTCGCCGAGTACACAGACCATCACCGCGAGGTAAGAAATCGTAACCAGCAATGCTTTCTGTTTTTTTTTGGTGCGGAAGCAAAATTTCGTCCTAGTAAAGGTGAGCGGAAGCCTAAAGGTGATGATGAAGCCTAAAGCTTCCTCCTAAAGGTGCGGAAGCCTCAAGTTTCTTCCTGAAGGTGATGACGATGATGATGATGATGATGATGATGATGATGATGATGATGATGATGTTGATGTTGATGTTGATGTTGATGTTGATGTTGATGATGATGATGCTGATGACGATGTTGATGATGATGATGACGATGATGATGATAATGGTGACTTGTCAGTGGAGTTGATGTTGTGTTTCTAATGGAGGAAGATGGTTGTTTTTATTGGGGATGTAAGAATCTTGTTTCTTGGAACACAAACAGAGTTAAGATAAGTCTTCTATCTCGGAAGTTAACTCTTTCTAGTATCAGAATTTAACACTTAATACGGGACATAAGTACCTATAACACTGCTTTTTCCGGAACTTTGACTTCCGATAGCGACGATCCGCGGCAAGTCGATGTATTGCTGCAAGCCCACATCCCTCAAATCGTCCACTACTTTAATCAGCTGCTTCAAGTTGTCGTACAGCTTTGGCGCACTGTCGTCCACAGCCGCACACGATGATGAGGCTCCCGTTGATGTACTTGGCTCTAACAGGTTCGTGCGAATATTAGAGCTTAAAGCTATAATAGACCTTACGACCTATAGTACTCATCATCTTGAGGCGCTGCATCTTTAAGGCGTTTTTCTTTTAAAGGGGGGAACCCTACGTACAATGCACACCATCGTAAGATGTTTTTTTTTTGCGTTAGGACTATATGCCACCGCCCTTTCAATCAATACATTAACATGCTCAACTAATTAATTAACTATGATGACAGAATTATTGTCGTGAGCCTTAATAATACTGGCTGCAGAAGTGTTGGGACCCCCTCCGTTGGACAATAATGGGTTGCTCGCCTCCTTGCTCGTAACCGCCGGCGCCGCTGGCGAAGGCCCAAATAAATCTAAATCAGGCATCCTGCTGCTCATCCGGGTTAAAACCAAGAACTACTGGATGATACTCCCTCTGGCTGTGTAGGATAATATTCAAACTTCAAAGTCGATATTTTTTCTGTGCTGAAGAGTGAGAAGCTCCTCTGCTCGACTGGTTGTGTATTCAATTCTAGGTTGAAGGTGAAGCTCTTGCTCTTCACCGTTTATGGCTTCACCCAAAGCACCGCTTATGGCATCAACTATGTCGAGGCAGCCTCTCAACAGCGGAACATGTAGAAGCTGAAGCGACACATGATTCTAAATCTGAATTTTCTATTCTTTAGACTATGGGTTTCTAAACATGAGACCGCTGAGCCTACGGATCAAAGAAAACATGAAAGTATACGTCAGCGTCACAAGTCAACGTACAATTACGAAAAGACTTCGTAGAGTTACATTAAACTCCAGATTTTGTAAATACAAAAAGGCAAAAACTTCATATCTCCTGGCTCATCTTGCTGGGAAATTCAAGTGAACAGAGGCAAAGTGAGAAGTAAACCATGCATAACAAGTAAGCTATCGATTAGAGATCATCCAGCACCGGTATCAAAACTATATTCTTAAAAATGCAACAAGTTGCTGCTCCTTACTCCTTACTATTGCAAAGTAATTTGTATTCCATTTTGCGACGCTTATTTGATTCTGTCGCTGACTCAGGTGTTTGATCCGCGTTTCTCTCTCAAGTGGCAAACTCTTTGTTCTTCTACAATGAGAAAAACAGTTAGAAGTTTGCGCGCACACATTTTACGCTCGCATCCATTTTGTGTTGAAATTAAGGCTTGCGTTCTTTGCTTCCTCCTTGAGAATCGATAGGGAACAAGTATATCACAGAAAAATGAGTTCGGACAAGTAAAGTTCAGTGGAGTATTGCCATTCACAAAAAACCCAAGCTTGCTGCTGATCCTTTTATTGAGTGCTACGCACATATCTCTATCTTGCATCACAATCTGTGCATGAAAATCTGAATTGACTGTTCAAATGGAATGACTGTGAAATGAGAAAAGTGGACTGCTCACAGGAGCGCATAATCAGATCAACTTAAGGAGTATCAAGTAGGAAGCACGAGTCATCAAGTGAATCACGTAATTATACACGATGGAAATCTAAACATACAGAACATTTGCATCGAATAGTTTCGAATATCCATTCTATCATATCACTAGTCGCTGTCGTGTGCCATGATATCATAGAAATTAAAGTTCGTTGTACGGAGCCTATCATCCATATCAAATCATGTAGACTGTAAGGATTCACCCATTCGGTCCGTACTTTTCACTTTTTATGGTGCCATATTCTTTGAGAGCTTTCGCAGCCCACTCTGATTCCATTCTTTGCATATCCCCTAGAATGTTGGCCTCATAGCTGGTCATTTGCTGACTCGACTGTAGGAAATCGCCCGGATTCTCGTCGATGTCGATTTCTATGCCCTCTACGTAATTCGCCTCAAAAGCAATCAGGTGCGGTATCTTGGTGCTCAGCTTCTGCCAATACTTTCGCAACGTGTAGAGCCAATACAGCTGTTGAAAAGGAGAGAGATTGCGATCAGTGGGGTAAGAAGTTGACTAGTTTATTGTGTGAAAAACTGGCCCAAGCGAGTAACCCATTGGAAGATGAAAGGGGGACAGCAGTGAGCTAAGCCGCCTATTTCATTTTGCTTGCCTGGTTACTCCCTTGAAACAACGTAAGTTTGCCGCCCTTCAGTGTCAGCCGACTCGAACAGACGCCAACAGACACAAGGCAAGCACGAGGAACCAATAAAACCAGAAAGGGGGCGGAAACGCGCGACACAAACAAGCAAAGAAACAAGAGAAAGCAACAACGCAAAGAAACTAAACCAAAAACGAGAGCGAGACTCCCGCAGCTGAAAGCAAGCGGCAACACTGCGGAGGCACCGCACAGCGGCACCACGCCGCCACCCCCTCCACTTTTTCCCTTCCACTGACAGACTTCCCCGCTTCGCGCCACCTCCGAAAACGCTGGCCCGACGCCTTTCGCTGGCTGCTCCACCGCCTACGACACGCGCAGCGCTATGGTATGGCTGCCAACCAGAAAGCCATAAACTCAAAAGCCCCGAACATCCGCGACAGCTTGCAAATCCGCCGCCGGCCGCTCTCCCAGGGCTAGACTCGTGCTCGGAATTGCCCGTAAAGTTGTCGCTTTGATCACAACGCGTGAATTTGAAATATCCGGCATGCGAGTTAAGGCCCATACACCCGCCTCCCATCTTCTAGATTTTCTTCCGTGCGTGCTCGTCATCTCTCCGCTTCCATTATGCAGCCAGGACGCTCGCCCGGAAGTTGACCCGCTCCGCATCACGCTCCGCCTTTTTTTCTTTATGCGGGGGGTCGGCCTTCTTCACCCTAATATGTCGAGTGTAAATCAGCACGCCACTCGGTTAGGATGTGCCTGGAGAAGTAATGGACTCACGGCCCGGGACTCCGTCGCAGTCTATGCGGCGCTTCACTCGGCCACTCGCTACTTCTGCAAATTTGCAAAGGCCACCGCCCTCGCTGCTTTCGCTTTGCCTCCCATGCATCTGGCTCCACACCTTCAAAGCACTCCAATGCCACGGCTGGCAACTGTTTAGACCCTGGGAAAAGCTTCCCCCAAACCCCGGCAGCTTGGCAGGCGTTCTGCTTCCGGGCCCAGCTCGTCCGGCGAGCGACTCGAGGGGAGGCCTGCTTTACTTTGGGCCCAAGCCTTCGCGCAATCGGTGTAGAATAACACGGCGAAAGCTTCCCGCGGGAAGGCCTTGCATGCCGCCGCAGCTGCGGCCCTCCGAACGGCACCCCCGCGCGGTGCTTCATGCTGGCCCCAAGGCAAAGAGCCCCGGCCAGGCATCACAAACCCGGAGCGGGCACGCGTGCGCAAGCTGTGCCACACCTCTGCAGAAAGATGCCACAGGGCCCCCAAGGCCGTAGATGCGACCCACGGCCACCCAGGTCACGCCCCTCATTCCAAATCCGCTGTCGCGGTCCACCGCTCTCCACGTGACGGCAACAGAGAACCACAAAAAACCTCCTTGAAAAATCTAAAATACATCTTACCCGAATGCTCAGCGAGACGAGAGAGCCAACTCCGAAAGCGGTCAAGGCGTCGTCGCATGTTCCCCGAGTCCGCAAGATATCCAGCGAAAGGTTCCGCGCAGCTGTTGTCTTCCCGGCATGCGCTGTTTTGCAATCGGCGCCCAAGGTCCAGACGTCCATCAAAAACACTAGGCAGTAAGCCGCAAGATGCAACTGCATGTAGTAGAGAAACACTTGCACAAAGGATGCTCGCTCATCCAAAACTCCGACAAATCCCAGCAATGCAGCGCCGATAAACCCGGTTCCGACGAGCGGGAAAATTAGATCGATCAAGGATAGAGTTATAAATGATCTACAAACTCAATGTAGGCTTAGGGAGAGTTGTCCTAGATGTACGCTACTTGTACTCGGAAAAAAATCTTTGACAACTACTTACAACACGCGTCTAAAGTCACTACAGCCGCACTAGCATGATGTCAGACACCACTTCAGAGCACCTCCACTACCACAATAAGATACTCAAGAACTCATCACTCAGCATCTTCTTGATGTTGGTTCAGTGCAAGCTTGTAGCAGACTTCAATGTTGGCTCAAGCTTGATGTGGCAGAGTACTTACAATACAATGCTCATAATTCCAGTTTACAGTTACAGACTACATTGCTCATAGCAGACTACGCCGCTCATCATAACTCCAGTTTTGACAGAGGTTTGTAGTAGGCTCCGTTCCATTGCAGCCTTGGATCGTCCAGGAAGAGTGAAAGGAAATTGTAGACGCCAAGGAGGAAGAAAAAGACTGCGAGTAGTCCCATGCCGTAGGACAATCGGAAACAGATGCAGCAGTGTCCCAGCTTGCGCTGGATTACGGACGAAGAACCCAGACGCGCCATTTTCTTACTACTTGGATGAAGCTCTACTTATAATAGTCAGTACTTTGTTTTAATAGAAGCAAGCAAAAGCAGCTTTATACTTCCAAGACTCTTTGTCACTAGAGGTAACGACCCAGTGGGTCGACCTCTCATGTTCTTGGAGAACTAGCATCTATTGGTTAAGGTTAGAGCAGACCATATAGCACGCCTATTCTTCATCTGATGAGCGTAGGTGTGCACGGGTGGTGGTATCTTCTTTCTTCCTGAAGAGAGTGTAAAAATCAGTGAGCATCTGCGTCGCAATTTTACAGCCTTACATTCTAATCGAAAACCTGAACCTTGCTGCACCATACAATTTTTCACCACCATTTTCCGTTTAATCCGAATAGTTTTCCTTCACGACCCGATGCTCTTCGCATGAAAAGCAAACACCAGCCACCACGAACAATATCCAACATCCTGAACAGCGAACACGCTTCTTTCCGAGAGGAGTGACGCAAGATATGTCAGTGAATGACACTAGTAAGCAAGAAAGGAAATCGATCAGGACTACCGAGAGCGCCCCACCCTGTCACTGTCTGCTGTTCATCAACATTCGTCTGTCGTGTGTAGTATCTGTACAAGTTTCAGTTTGCTGAACATGTTGTCCACTAACTATGTTACATTGACATCCGCGTCTCGGTTCAGAAGAATAAAAGGACCATCATACTACAGGATCGATTGATTATAGGGAAATACTTCTATGACATCAAGTACAAGTTTATTCATTTCATCTGCATTGGAAGAGGATCGTTTTTATTTCGTTGCATCTCGAGTACTTGTCAGTCCCTGCTGTCTAGTATCTGCAATCACAAAAACTTCTTTGAGTACTAGTTATGTGTATAGATAAAATCAACATTCATTCGCGTCTCAAGTAATCCTCCTTGATTACCGACAAGCCGCTCTTTGAATCTTTGTGTCGTTGAATCGAAAAATATTGAGCTATATTCTCTGGCACTATGCTGGTGGCATGCACATATTAAAATCATCATGAATCAATAACAAAATACTTCTCCGGCGTTCTCACATAGGAAAAAAATTGTGAAAGCGCGACCCTGTGCCTGCTGCTGAATGTCAGACCTGGAACAAAAACGTGCTAGATGCGTCATGCACAACAAAATGGGAATGAAAATTCAAAATTTTGTAGCTGAGTAGAGAACCTCCTTCACAGTGCTGCAAATGATGTGATCACCACAACCTCAACTCCGTATCCCGATCCGAGTTGACGTCAAGACAATCCGCATACATCCATGATGGGATCTCGCATGTTCTGCCCTTAGTATCCTCTTCTGGAGCTTGCTCAGATGGAAACATTCTGGGATCACGCTGCACACCTCCTCGCGTCGATGATGTACTACTGGACAACGGAGTAGAACCCGCTGCTGTACTTTTGCTAGCTTCGTCCAAAATGTTGATTCCTTCCAAACTAGTGACGCCAATCTTACGAAGATGGGTTCTCTTAGGCCTCGGATAAGGTTGGTCTACAAAAGCGGATGATGTATTAGCGCTTCATGCCTCAATTCATCTTGGTGGAAAGCATTTCTAACGTGTTTACCCCTTGAAACCGTGCCAAAGATGCTTCTCCAGATGCTTCTCCAGATGAATTACGGCAAGCCTTAAATGTAAGAGTGGGAGTTGAAGTGTTGGATGCCGATGCAGAACCTCCTTGTCCCCCTGCTAAGCCTCTGTAGTTCTGATGCAGCTCCTGAGTGTAAAACGACGTTGAACTACTCATTGGAGGAGGAATCAACGGAATGCTGCTTGTTCCTACGCCTGCACTTGCACTATGATGAACTTGTAACTGGACTCTCTGCGCTTCGAAGTAAGGAGAACTCGAATAAGCTGGCAGAGCTGAGGGTGGTGCGAATTCATCCGCTGAAGACAAGTCCCAAACGGTCGCGGGGGTGACAATACCACCTCCAACTTGGGGCGTTGTGTAGAGAAGTTAGCGGAGGTTTTGTGGAATCGTACATCCTTTATTTTAGTTACTCCGGTTTTCCTAGTTGTAAACACGTGGTAAGCAGCGGGTCGTGAAAGAAAAGATTTTTCATGATGACACATCCACATCTACATCTACCATTTGCGGATAGTTAAATAGATGATAAAGTTCTAGTCCAATCAAAATCGGCGGACCATAGCTATAACCTGTTCCCGCATCTTGTTCTCCACCTCCAGTACTTGGCGGCATTATTACTGGCGCTGTCCCCCCGACCGAGCCGCTGACGGCTGCGCCACTTGAAGGTTGTGCACGCGGTGGCAAAACTCGGATTGCTCCTCCTCCTCCAGTAGTCGTAGATGTAGATGTACTCAATAGCTGTTGTGGCCTCGTACGATCTACATAGCCTCCATTGTTGAAACTCTCGTGTGAGTCTGCCGGTGACGGTTCGACCTGTTGTCCGCGTGACGACCGTCTTGGATTGCGACGTGGCGAAGATAAACCCGCTCCAACGATAAACTCCGCACTGTGCCTCGGCTGTAACGGCGAAGTCATACAGTCTCCAAAGAGGCTATAGCTACTCTTGTTCCTACTCGCATCCACAACGCCGTGATTGGCTGTCGACACCGGTGTCCGTGGGTTCGAATAGCTCGCTTTACTGAGGTCTGTGTCGGTACGCTGCCTTCGTTTGGAGGACTGGGACCTGGTGAAAAAGGGGGAAGCAGGGTCATGATGGTCACTGAACTTCGGTACTTACCACTGGACTGCAAGGAAGAAAAAAAATGTAGACGAACCAGGAATATTAGGTAGGAGTGTAATGGAACAGACTAACCAAGAGAATAACCCGTCCTGAAAAACCAGGAGAAGTGTTAGTACCTATCCTTTCGCAGTTGACTGTCCGTCGCTGGTGGCTGTTCATACAAATCCATCAACATGGAGGGTGCTGAAATAAAGTTTATTTTTCATAGGACGGATAAAATCGATTACAGAACAAGTATTAGTACCACGCCCATAAGCATCTCTAGTTCTGTTCCAAAATCGTTTGAACAAGTAGTACCACGCCCATAAGCATCTCTAGTTCTGTTGTGCGTGCGATTCTGCTCCTCTATTCGCCGGTTCTCTTGCGACAGATAGTCACGGAGACTGAAGATCGACATCTTCTTTGTTTCTCTTCCTCGATGTCGAGGCCAATAAAGCTAGTTGCAAGTATTTCTTATGTTTTCGTATTTGATTGTGATGCTATTCCATCTTTATCCTAGGAAGAACTTCAAGGAAGATACTATTGCTGTCATCCAAAGCGATGCAGTCTCTCTATTTTCTAAGTAGCTAACGCAGCATCGCCGCTTACTCTGGGCTTGTTTCATTTTGGGTCTCTCTAGCACTCACGATAGCCTCTTAACTTTTCTTTCTCTCGACTATTTGCTCACGAAGCCTATTTTCATCATTATCTCAACAGCATCTTTTCCCAAGCTGCTTCATGCCTTTTCTTTGTACTTGCACCAACGCGAAAGGTCGTCGGACGAAGTTACCATACAGCACCAGCACGTAGGCTTCGATGTTTCATTTGCACACTAAGATGGAGCGGTCGCCAGTAAGAACTTACGTTTTTACGTCATCTTTTCTTCGTCATGTGTAGAAATAAGTCAAGTCTGTGGTAGCCGGAGTGGTGAAATTTTAGTTTTACTTTCATCATGACAGTATTTGGGTGACAATTCTCAAACATCTGGTGGTCTTTAGAATGTGGTCTTTACGAACATTGACATGATTTTCCAATGGTGCTCCACCTCGTCAAAAACCACTCCTCTACGGTATCGGAGCAATGAGTCCCCACGCCTCCCCCGCTGTCTGCATTACCCAGCAGCAGCCTGCGAAGCCGAAGAGAACTTGCAGCTTGAATAACCTGTGAGATAACTTGATAAGGTTTTTAGCTGCAGATGATTTTTTCAGACAAGCATGACCACTTTCATCATGATCGTTCGACTATGTGCAAAAAGATCTTCTAAAAAGATCGAAGTAAAAGCGTACAATTCATGTGTCGATTTGTGCACCATTTGGCTTTCCTTCTTTCCGTTCCCCGTTGTGGCGGGATCCGGACTTGTGCTGCTCTCCTTCTTGATATTCCACATCTTTTTGATCTATGAAAATCAAAAAAAAGTACGTAGTAGTAGATGCAATTAGTTGGTGGACAAAGACTGAGACAGAGAGACAGACTCTAGAGATAGAACCGACTGCTGTAGACGATGATATTTCCAAATGAAATTACCACAGGTCTTAGGTATAGTACTTCTTAAATTGTTGATGCTTTACTAGATTGAGAGAGACTAGATATAATATCAACGGACATGAGATCAAATTAGACTAGATACACCAACACGAATTTATGCCAAAATGTCAATTGGCCTGCAAAAAAAATACGGTGGAACCAGTAAAAACATTCACCACAGGATCCTTGACTTCGGGAATTCCCCCAACATGGATCCTCTTTCGTTCCACGCTTCATAGGTGATCAAGAATTATACCTTCTTTCACTTCATCGGGCTGCGCAGCACAGAGTTGAACACCTTCAGAGCTGAACACTTCCTTCCGAGCTTACAGACTAACGAACACCCCGCATCGATCAGCACTTCAGCGACAACGTGCGGAGGTATTACCTTCGCCAAGTGAATACATCGCGAGCAAGAACTTCACGACAACACAGTGGGTACAGCTACAACGGCGCGTCCGATTTCCTTGTTCGTCCAAACATTTCGACACTTAACTCAATAAATTTCGGTCTTGTTTTCTAGGCGTATTGTTCTGAATTTCCTGACGGATAAATTTGCTAATTTCCAGCGAAGTAGTTCTTGGTTGTATCGTTCGGCGTATCAATCAGAGTGAGTATCAAGTTTGTTCAAGGTTTTCTTATTGCAGAATATTCAAACTTTTTGCCATCTCTGAGGCTGATGGTCGTGCAGTTCTGAGGTTACTAATTAAGAAAGTACTCGCAATTATTGTCGCAAGCCTTGTACATGTGCATTTCCGATTCAATGCCATCGTAGCGACCTCAACGCGACAGAAGCAGAACAAAAATGTACTGAAGTCTAATTACAAGAACAACTGAGGACTGACTACATTTTTACAAGGATTACCATCTCCTTACAACTCCTTCTAGTTTTCCGGTCTCCCGCACACTAAAGTCCACACATTCTCGATACCTTGTCGTCGCAGAGGATAGTCGCCGGTAATCATACCCTTGCGTTCAGAGGTCAGGTTCTGCGTCTTGTTCGTCGACACATAGTTTTTGCAGTGCACTTCATACTCACCGCCAAAAATGTTCTGGTAAACGATCTTATCGGAAGCGAGGAAGGAACCTGAGGAAAGGAGGAAAGGTGCTGTTCCTGTGAGGAAGGATCTTGATGTCAGGAGGAGAGAAAGAAACATGAATGTCTCAGCATAGTAAAATGTGAGTGAAAAAGGGTCTACCAGGATTGATAAATTCTCACAAGCAAAGAACGAATCTATCTTTCTTATGTCGCAAAAGAATCAGCAATACCTGTATGCACGTGTCTAAGGCAGAACGGCATGTCCACTTTCACCATCTCGCCTTCAGCCTCGAATCGTTGCTGTATAGAGTAGGTTTTCTAAATGTTGAGGTTGTATAATCCTTACCAAATTCCTTTTCCCTACAACGAAGTCTATGCACAAAATGTAAAAACAAATTTAAGATTTACGTGACCAGTGTTACCCCAGTTAACATCTTTGGCGAGACATACGAAACCAGAAGTTGCAGTACCTTGACATCTGGCCACTGGAATTGAAATAGGCACTTTCCATTTCTAGACGGAAAGCAAACCACCTCCTGATTCCTTGAAAATTTCGATGCCGCAAGTGGTGTCACATGCTCTGAGTGCATGTAGCTGTAAACAAGAGAGGAGTATGGAAGATGTGGTGTAAAATATTGTGAATGCATGTAGCTGTGGGGATGTGAGGTGATGGATTAATTTCCAAGTTCAGAGGGACTCAGCTAGACATCTAGTTGAAAAAAACACTAGTACTGTGTCTCCCCCAATCCTGAGAACGGGTCTAGCCTCAAGAGAAAGTCCTGTCCATAGTGCACTGAATTGCTGTCTCCAAAGCCGTCATTTGTTCTTGCTCTTTCGATAACGAAGGTGTTTCTGCTGCACGCTGCACTATTGTGTGACGTTGTCATCGGCCTGCAGGTCTCCTCTTTTGGCACAGACTCGAACGGGTTGATGGAGAGGAAAGCTGTTTTGGTGGTGCGTGGAGGAGGGGGTTGTATACAAACGCATAGAAAAACGCCGAAAATGATGTTTGTAGGAGAAGCAAGAAAAGTGTAGTTCTGTGATACATGTAGTCTCCATGGCAGTCACGAAACAATGAAGACTTCAAGTTGTAGGGCTAATCCTAAAAGGTAGCTGAATGTGCAATTTAAAACCACTTCAAGTACCTTCTGACTTGTGGTTCACAAGCATAACAACTGAACCGAACTCCAGTGTCTTGTCCGCTGATGCTGGCGTCAATTTCACTGGTGCAAGGGCTGCTTCTAACCTGTGCGATAGATTTAGAAAACATGCAATGTGAGGACTCATGAAAATCGATCAGGCTTGTGCGATGAAGGTGTCGTAATCGATTAAAAGGGCTGCAAGGTTTCGATTCATTTGATTTCATCGAAAGAAAACTGTTTCGAACATCACTCAAAATCTCTTTCTAGACTGAAATACAAACTAGCTCTAAAAAGTGTCACTACTTCTTCTGCTTCGCATTGACCAGCAAATCAAAAGTCACTACTTCTTCTGCTTCGCATTGACCAGCAAATCTCCTTCCTCTTTTTTCACGAGGTAGTCCTTGAGTTTCAAATGCTCGAGATCTAAGTCCTCTTGCCAGTTACCCAATTTGACTGCAGCATTATATCGGCTCCCGCCGACAAGCTGCTGTGGCGTAAACTGCATTTTCTTTTATTGACGTTACTTATTTCTTATGTAAGAGGAAGCAAGGAGAAATAGTGGTCTATAAATAGGTGAGAAAATAAGAAAATCGTCCTTCTATTATTGCCATTCGGAGGGACAATGAGTGGCTTCCGTCAGGTCTTCATTTCAGAATTTGATGGAGACAATCGACATTCTGTCTGACACGATAATTGTCGAATTCTTAAGCGGGTTTAAGCATTCGAGGTTTTGTCGAGGGGATTTCGGGAGGGGCTGAAGGCTCATGGATTTTCTCTCGCACGAAAAACAACGACCGATCCTCGTCTAATTTTCCAGCAAACCTCTCATGATGACTGGCACGGCAGCTCTTTTTCAGCGGGACGAAATAGAAGCAATCCTTCACGACTCCTGCAATCTTTCAGCAGGTTGGTGAAGTGCTTTTCATGATACAGGTTCTGGCTTTTTCAGGGGCGATAATGAGGTTTTCTATACATGCGCATTAGTTATATCTGGGTACAATTTTTGACTTTCATGATACTTCCGGTTCATGTGATTCAGTAAACTCCAGATAGAAAGAAAGTATTGAAAGTGACTTAACACTATTTCGTTAGATTTCATAAATACTATTATCATCATCTGCCTAGCAATGATATGCCTGTATCAATTTCTAATCTGCGTTAGTTATTTGATCGTCCTAGAAGGAATATCATCATTCATTGTGTAAGTCTTCAACTTTAACATAACATCTGCTTGAGTAATTCGTCTTTCACTTTCCTTCCTGGAGTGGTACCTTGCTAAAACAATCAAAACAATCGAATAAGTACTTTTCGGGTAACAATCAGATTCACAAATCATCTAAATTACATAGTGAAACCAAGTAAATTGGTTTACTGACTAATTAGTAAATTGGTTTACTGACTAATAGATGAAAAGAATTGTATTTCGCATCATCAAAAGTGATAGTTGCGATAAGACGCATTCTTGACAGGCAACTCTAAAAAACTCGGAGGGGTTCGAGGGCCGACGGATCACCATCATCATGCAGCAGATCAATAAGTAGAGAACACCAACAGAAGCTTGGACTGAGGTGATGAATACCAAGAGCAACTTGGACTTATCCGTATCTAGTGGGTAAAAGGGCAACCAGCACTAGTTCTCCGGCAACGTCGGCAAACCACCTCCAGGGTTCTCTCTCCCACCTTGCAAAGCAGCCAAAGACTTCGTTGCCGAAATGTTGGTTTTGATGAAGTTCTTTCTCTGATGTCCACCCCCTAACTGTGCTGCCAGATCCCGACTCAGCCTTGTCGAGATCCTCGGCTTGTCGATCACTGGCGCAACGTACTTCGGATGCAATCCCTTCACCAGGTAACTCCACATCACATCTTCTGTCTGGATCACCAATCGGCCTTGCACTTGCTTGCCGTATTCTGTTGGTCGGTAGGAGACGACAAAAGTCGTTCCCATCGGATTACCTGCTGGTTCTAGCACTCCTTGTGTCGGTGACACAGAGAATTCAGCCGCACTATCACTGTCAAAAAACGCGTCGAATTCGGCGTAACTAGCACTATGATTCCACAGCTTGAACGCTACACTAGCAGGCTTGTTCAATGGAGATTCGATTTCGATTATGTCATCCACTGGCGGCTCTTGTGCTTCTAAGGCTAGGTTGAAGCGCCACCGACCGCCACCCTTCAGCTTTGAAAAGACCAAGAAAGCGTTGGTAGAGAAGGGCCGCAAAGGGGCAAATTGCACGCGCATGGGGATTAGAGAGGGAGAAGAACGGGACGCTCCTACAAATTATTGGGGGATCATTGAATATTGAGCGACGATCGTCAAATCCATGAATAATTAGCACTCTGAACAAGTACATCTTCTATCTAATGAATCAAATAAATATTCATCCATTCTCCATAATATCACTGGCGTTCCATTCGCTCCCGACTTATCTCCTCCAATGTTCGCTACAGCACTGCTACTCGCATTTGCTCCAGTGTTGGCGTTTGATCGATCTGTTTGCGAACTCCTGGGCTTGTTGCTCTCCACGTCTTGGTTATCGGAAATTTCAATGCTGAAACACCGGTTCACGAGTTGCTCGAAGACGCCACTACCCTGAAACTCGATCTCACACCTCAAGAGGTCTAGGGGGCTTTCGTTTGCGCCTAGGTCCAAGCCGATAAGCGGGAAAGCGTACTGCTGGTCCATCGCTTCTCTGCTCTGCACCTTGAACGTGTGCACTTGACTAGAGACGGGAGCTTCGGCGACACCTGGTGGAAGGGAAGAGAGATAGATTTACGATGAGTCTGGCTTAAGAGTAAGAGAACTACCATGTTGTATTGCCCTTTTCTTCACCATCATATTTCATTTCATACATTCATCGACTTTGATCATTGCACTTTGATTTATAAGACTCAGAAGAAACACAACATCTTCAGAAACTTTTCAACTAGTAGAGCAGTACCTTTTATCAGATATGTCCAGCTCATCATGTTTCCTGCGTCCAATGATGCTGCTGTCGCGCTACTCGCTGTCAAGGAGCTCTTCCCCGATGATGGTAAAACGCTGACTATGACTCGCGCTGTCTGCTCGTCCATGTTTGAGGGGTTAAACTGCACAGGTATCTGCACTGTGCCCAAGGGTGCCACTGGTAATCTGGCCTTCTTGTTCAGCAAACTAAACACGTTCTTCGGTGCCTTTGTTTCGAGTACAACGAGTGCTTGAATCGCCTCCAAAAAGGGATTTTTGAAGTTGATCGTAGTGCTAGTTGCGCGTTGAACTTGGGAAACTACGACGATTTCTTTCGCGTCTCTTGGCGCTAAGCCTTTGCCCTGCACTTGGTAGACCCAACTGCCGACTGTCGGGTTCTCGAGAGTAATCGTCGCTTCTTCGACACTGTCGATACTAGATGGGAAGTAGCGGATCTCCACTGCTGTCTGTCCGAACGGTTGCAAAAACACTGCACTCTGCATGACCTTGAAGTTGATCTTGTTCGTGCTCTTTGCTTTGAGAGTGAGTTCCTTTCCAGTAGGGTTCTCGATAATGACCTCCGTCGACGCGTGTTGGCCCAACTCGCATTCGAAACTGGGGAGTTGAGTTGGCGGAGCCGGTTCCGCGATCAGCTCCAGGTCGTACCAGAACTCACCTACTCTATCCGAAACGAAAATAGCTTGGCCCTTCTTCTTGGCTGGCATGAATGGCGAAAAGACCAACTCGTAGGTGGCGGTCTCCTTTGGTGCTAGGACGAATTCTGACTCTCCGAGAAGACCATCGCCGACAAGCGTCACGTCGAAAACGATCACATCATCCAATGGGTTGACAAGCTGAATATCGACTGCAATGGCTTGTCGCACGACGCAAGTGAGGCAGAGAGCCTGGAAGTGGAAGTAAAGGTGGTACTTAGAATGTTGTTTTGGTCAAAAAACATGGAAAACGACCGATTGCTTGGAGTGGACGGCAGGAAACATTATAGAGAATCAGTTACCTGTACATCGTCAAAGCAATTTTAATGTCTGCAATACCTGTTGCGGCTTTGAAGGGCTCGTCCTCACCTCCACTGTGTACCAGCTGAAGTGTCCCGTGTTGCTATCCCTAAACATGACACATCCTGTCACGTTACCAGCCTGCAAAGGCAAGAAGGAGAGGTTGTAACCCACCGTCTCCCCAGGAGCAGCACGCACACTAGAGGGACCGGAGATGTGGAGAATGTCAGACTCAACTTCAAAGGTCGTCTCTCTCTGTCCGTAGTTGCGTACCGAGAACTCGTGGTCGGTCCTCTCTCTAGCCTGACACATTATTATGACGTGGTCCTCAGCTAGAGGCTCTTCGCCCTTTCCGGTCAGCTCGTATTCGTATCTGGTCGTGGGGAGAAACAAGTGGATAAACCACAGCAATTATTATTAGAACGATCAGGTAAGGGTAGTTTAGTGAAGAGAGAGCCAATTTCAATGATATGAATCCTGCCTGTGTGGTCTAGGATGAAAACAAGACAACAACAAGCAACTCACTCTACGAAACTGCATCGCTGACACTAGACCTTCCAAAGAACCAACATCATCAACATCAAACCAAAACTAAATACGTTTCATTCGCTCCCTCGTTGACCAACGCCAAGTGGCACACCTGCTCGCACACCCAATGCGGCTTGAACTTCAACTCGTAGTAGGTGGTGCTAGCTTGGCCGCCCACTGCCTTGGTTGCGGTAATACTATTGTTACCAGCAAAGAACTTCTCTCCCGTCTCGGCTGCTAGAGTTTGGTGTTGTGGAATTACACGAGGTCTATCTCAGCACAAGAAAAATGTCAGTCTTCAATATGATGTTTACCAACCTAACCAAGAACTGAAGACTGCTAAACAAACTGCCTAGCGAATGCTAATGAAAGTCAAACCAAATGTTTATTGAGTACTGGGCGGATAAGTGAAGACGGCCTTGATGTTCCAGTCGTTGGGCGTTGGGTTGACGATCGGAATCTCCTGAATGACCTCTTGCCTAGCGTGCGTCATGAAGCTCAAGGCGCAACGCGTGTTTGGTGCGGTGCCGGTACCTGTGATCGGATCATGGAAAAGATAGTATGCAGGTTGGCGTATTCCGGACCAATCGGATCCGATTGCTCTACAAGGAAGTGGAAGAATTAACAAACACACAGTTTATAAAACTGTTGAAGAATTCGATAGAATGACAAAACAACAACAAAGAAATGCGACAAGTTCCTGAAGTACCTTCAACCTGGTATATCCTGATATCCAGGCTCGATACTAGCGTGATGGAGCATGGGTACACACCCGGCTCCTTCGGCCTGAACTCTAGATTGAGTTTTCCACTGCTATCCGTCGAGCCCTCTGGTCTGTGGACTATTATTTCCTTGGGCGACTTGTAGTACGGACTTGAAAGTTGGATGTCATACGTCACCTTTTCTGGCAACACCCTCAGAACCTGCGCTACTGCACCCTGGCTCTTGCCCTCTCGAATCATCTTGGCCTCAATCCATTGTCTGGCCTTGTCCAACTGGCTGTTTCGGTAGGGGATCGCCAGCTCTTTGAGGCCTGTGACAGGGGTAGAGAGAGAGAGAGCGTGTGTGTGAGCTTTGGATTGATAGACTTGTTAGAAACAAAATTCTCTATTACGACCTAGCCTGACACCTTCAAAACGACTCAGTCGCGTTTTCAACAAGTAAAATCACCACAATTCAACCTTTCATCTTAACTACTAGACTAGTAATCTTAGTACCAACTTCCTCGACCTTCATCGCCACCTTGAAGAGTTCCAATGGTCCTGGTGGCGTGCTGCTACCCTGGACCTCGATGTAGAACTCTCCCACCTTGCCATCGTAGAACTGCAATTGCGTAACAAAGTGTCCTACCTCGAACGGCAAGAAGGAGACTGAAATCTTCGCCGAACTGTTGCCCGAGTATTAGAGAAGGATTGTTTGTGGGAGTTGTAAATACTAGGCAGAAGAGTAGTAGATCCGCCTATTAACTAAGTACTTCGAAAGAATGAAATAAAACTCACATGCGCATCATGATCCTCCCATAATTAATCTTGACATGCCCCTGCGACAGATGAAACGGGTCAATGGGGTGCTGCAACGTGCTAGTTCCCTTGTTTATCAGCTCGTTGCCCTCACCAAACGCCGTGACCGGTGGACTAGTAGACGGGAATTCCGTGACGTGCTGGAACGGAATAGCAGTGATCTTGAAATCCGCATCTTCCGGAAACGGATTCTCGATTTCGATGTCTTCTGCGCCAACCTCGTAGACGACTGCTGTTTGGTGCAAAATTTTCCTAGGCTTCCGCCCATTGCACTTGGATTGGAGCTTAAAGGTAATCGCTGCTGCGTGAAGGTTGCCTTCTCGTCTGCTTGTAAAGGTGAGTAGAGCGTCGCTAGACCGTGTAAATTTTGACAGAAACTGGACTGGGAACGAACAGCTCTGCTTCGGCTCAATGCGGAGAGGCTCTTTCTGCGGACAAACAAATTCTCCACTGCCTCGAAGTGTTGCGGAGTAGGTGACCACATGCCGTGATGGGTTCGTCAACTCGATGCTCTTGGTCAAATTCGTACCCAACATGGTTTGGTACTGAATCACCGTTTTCGGCACGTAATGCGGAAGGTTTTGGAACAAGAACAAGGCTAAAAACAGAAAGTCTCGTCCATTCGGGTCCGCTAAGATGTCGTCCTTGGTCAAGGGATACTGGAGTTGCAAATCCTGCAATGCCTGAAGAACGCAGTTGCCGTTGGTAGCAAGCTGAATCGCGTTGGCTGGCGGATACTTCATCGGCCTAAGACGTTCTGCGATAAATGGCGCGTGACTCCATAAAACCATACCAAAAACGGTCATGTCCTGCAAATCTGAGTCGAAATTCCGAATCACCCTAGGCGGAAAGCGCTTCTCCTCCTTGTTGCACTTCCAATAGTGGTAATTGAGCCATCGCAAGAGAATCGATTCCGATACGGAGTAGATGTTAGAATCCGCCATTCCTCGTACGTCTAGACAAGTCTGCAACTCTATGGGAATCTTCATTTTGCTAGCGCCCTCCTCTGGCTGCTCGTCCTCGTCATCTGGCATCATGCCTGGCAAGTCCTTTCGGAACGACTTCGGAGTGACACGGTTCAACAAAAACACCTTCACTACTTGCATCACGAAATTTGTCCACGCTTCTAGAGAAATCGAGACAAAATTCTTCTCCAATTGTCGCTTGCTGACCGTTCCTCCGCTTTTTGCTGTTGTCAACTGCACATAGCGAACGTACAAGTCTTGACTCAGCAAGTACTCTGGTCGGACCATCGACAACAAGCAGCCATGTTGTTTGCAGAAGTTCAATGCTTTTTCGTAGATTTGCACAATGCCGTTGATCTTGATCAAGTCCTTCGGTTGATTCTTGCCTCCCGTCTTCTCCCCGTCGCCTCCCGGTCCACTGGCTCCTGGTCGCTCTTTCAAGGGTGCTGACAGAGCGTTTTTCCCGCTAAAAAATTCGATCACCTCGAACAACGGTTTGCCTTGTTGCAAGATCAAATCTAGGGGAAAGTTCTCGATGGGAACGCGGAAAGCAATACCATTCAACCACCTCAGCAAAGAATCTAGGCCCTCTTGATACACCCTCGAGTCCGGCATCGGCAGACAGGGTGCAGTCGTCTTCAGTGTCACCACTTGATCACCCTCCAAGGTGTAGTCTGCCGCATTCTCCACTAGGTACTGCGAGGTCGACAGGATGCAGTTGTCCGCTGTGCCACTAATCGGGATCACGTACCCGTTGCCATCCGGATCCACGAATTCCAGCTTTGCCGTAAAAGACAGAGCTTTCGTGCTAATGAATTCGATCTCCACAGGGAGCTTACTACGCGCGAGAGTCAGTTGCTGGCCTTCTGGGAATCGGACCTGGATCGGAATCTTGGCGTATTCGGCTGGAAGACGGTATTCTGCATCGATGTTCTCGTAGCCGTCATTGATGATGTTAAACTGCGCTTTCGCGGTCACTCCGAGGGGAACGGTTGGGAGAACAATCATTCTTTGGTCAAAGGTCAGTTTCGGGACGGAACCTTGTCCGCGGAGCCTGGACGAGGGTGAGGGATAGAAGCGGTTGACATGTCAGAATGACTGATAGAAGAAAAAGCACGACGTCATCGCGTTTCTTCTTGTTGTCAACATCAAGAAAAGGGTGCAATAAAAAATCTCAGTCAATCCAACGCTGTAAAGCCAAACCAATTTTTAGTACCTCAACTCCAAATAAGGCAAAGCGTCTTCTTGAATCGGCAGTGGCTGCGTTACGTCTGCCCGCATGCCTTCAGTTCTCGGTGGCGAGATAAACACCGGTAGCTGACTCTGATATGGAATCGCCTGTTGTGGCAAAAACGAGCATTTGATTACTTGGTCTTCTTCCGGAGCCAAATTTCCGGCGATAGGATCCACTAGGAAGACGTCACTGATCGACGAAGCGTCAATCTTCCACAAAAGCGGGTAATCATCGGCATTGTGAACATGGAGTTCCAAAACAGAAGCTTGGCCGTGCATCCCTGTGGGCACGACCTTGGTCTTGAAGTCGAATGTGGTAGTGCTAAAAAGCATGCGTGGTCGAAGGGCCTCGCCGTGGACGACGCGAGAGCAGCCGGGCACTTTGGTGTTGCCTGCACCGACGAACGGAAGTTCGAACATGTGCTGGCAAAGATTAGAGGATTTTTCATTTCGAAAGAGAAACTAATCATCTTGTTGAGACTACTTTTACTTGTAAAAAAATGTATGCAGTACAAAGTCGATCACAGTGTTGAGAGTACTTCTTGTATAAGTAGAAAGACACTAGACATGAGATCGAAGAAAAACAAGAAACGAGAATCTTCACAGTCATAACTAAATCCGCCGGTTGATAGGTCAACTGCAAGTTTATGCTGCTATTCGCCGGCACCGTCACTTTGAAGATTTGTGAGTCTTCTTCTTCCTCCTCGTCTTCTTCACCCGCTAATTGTGCCTTCAACGCGTTGTTTCCGCTCATCCCGAATGCGTCTGCACCTCCCGTTTTTCGACCTCCTGGCTTTCTACCCATGTCACCAAGGCCGACTAATTGCGCGTATTGGTCAAATGTCAGTCGTTCAAAATAGACAGCCATAGACGGATCTGATTCGTCCACAGCAGCTAGGGTGAACTCTGGCACGTCCTGCAAGTTGATGTACAGCGTGCCCTCAACTGCACTGCTGTTGCGCATTGTCAAGGGCAGAGTTTGGACAGCACCGAGGGTGAGCTGACCAAATTCGAACTCTGTCTCTTCAACTTCGATATTTGGCACAACAGCTTGTGCGGAAATTGGCAGTCGAATGGTCTTGCCGCCACGAATGGCGACGGAAATGACGGTGTCGAGGACCTGTGTGAGATTGACAAAAGAGAAAGGCTGCCTCAGTCCTAGCGCTCTAATCCTAGCGCAAGCAAAGAAGGGGCACTTGATGATCATGCTGCTGAACAAGAACATCTTCGTCTCTTTTCAAATACAAAAACGGTGCGAACAGCATTGATGATAAGCTGCACGTCCAAGTACCTGCGGCTGCTCCAAGGTGATCGCGATCGATATCTCCGCAGTGGACGCGACTGGAATGCTTCCTCGCATTGGTTGGATCGTTACTCCCTCAATTTCGGAGTCTACGAAAAATACTGCATTAGTTCCACCTTCGTTTTTGAGCACTGCCGTTTTTTCTGCTGTGTTACCCACCGACAACACTCCAAAATCCAGTTTCCTCTGGCCAAACACCGCAAAACCCTCTTGACAGCTTCCACTACACTGTATACCTTGGTCGACACCATCCTCGACTTTGAGGACGAGGTAGGCTTCGGCGTTGGTCGTGTTGGGGAAGGGGGTGTAGGAAACGGTGACTGCTTGTTTGGCGTACGCTTTGACGCTGCCCTTTTCTGGCGTGACGGAAAAGGGGCTGCCTGGTGGCACTTGCCAAGCAAAACGTGCAATCGAGTTGCCAGGGTTTTCGAGGAAGACCTGTTGTTGGTAGTGTACGCGGTGGGTGGATGAAGCCAAGATTGATGCCATTTGGTAGAATGACGAATACTTCTCTTCTAATCCTTGTTGTGACTCAAAACAATCCTGGGCCTCATTGAATACGTACATAGTTCAATCTGATGTCACTCTAAAGTATAACAAAGTCTTACGAAACTAATCTCTAGTACCGTCTCCGCCAGCGTCCTATCCAGTGAGTCCCCGAAATTGAAGCTTAAATCTTGCACTGGCAATATGATCGTTACTGGTGTCACTTCTCCCATGACTTGCAGTTTCTGCGCATGCTTTCCGTTGATCGTGTACGTAATGATCTTGTCCAAAATCCTCGGAACTGGACTCGTCAATACTAGATCAAAGCCAGCTGCGTGGGCGCTTGGTACTACTTGAGAACTAGGATTCGTCTCGCTCAGTGCGTCCACGCCTTCTAGCTGCAAAGCTACGACGACTGATTGAGGTAAGTCGTTGAAGACCGAGAAGCATTTACTACCAGTAGACTTGACGAAGATTTTGCCGAAGTCAATCTTCTTCGGTCCACAGGAAATCAAGGACAACTGCGCTGGAAGTAATTCGTGAGTGCAGTCGCGGACTTCTGCTTGTGTGGTTGGCGCAGTCTTCCATTTTTTCCGGACGATTTTGTTCTCGTCATGCGTATACCTCAAACCAGTGACACCACGAATGACATTCGGGTCGTCGTGATCCAAAGGCCTAGCTAGCCACAATTTCGCTTGTTCGACTTCGTTCACACTGTATTTCGGACTCTTCAACCCGCTTCCTGGTTTTATGCCCACATCCGCATCGTCCTCGTAGAAGATGTCGAAGTCTTTAGTAGGTTTCCCACCTCGCTTCTCCCAGTACTCCGCCTGTTTCCTAGTTTTTCGTGACTCCTTGAGGTAGTTGTTGTAGCACTGCTTGTTCTTCACGTATTCCTGCATCGCTGAGGGCGCTAGAGTGTACATGGTTGGCTCTGGCTGGTCCGCCATCACGCTTTCTAAAGCGTGAGTGGCTTCTAGACTGCCAACGTCGGCTTTCATGATCGCCGTGAGCGAAGCCATCTGCCTTTTATGTGGTGGCGCGGTGGTGTAGAGCTCCTCCACGTTGACGTAGTGGTAAGGCGGCTCAAAGTCGGCACCAACCTTCTCGAGACCCTTAACCGGCTTCCTCTTGTAGCCCATCTTCGCGCTTTCGCCGTGGAGGTAGACGGACATGGAATACCTGGTGGTGGGTTTTCTGGTAGAAGGCACTGTAAAGTTATTGAAATCCTGAATCATGCATCGCGAAACAGCTTTGAACATAATAGGATCACAAGGAATAGTTGTAGTAAATCATTCACATCACAAGCTTTGAACATAATATGATCACAAGGAATAGTTGTAGTCGGAGTACTGTTCATTGTTGTAGAGAATCTCCAGCCGCTGGTTGAAGACGCCCAACTGCTTCGGCAAAAACGAAACCATAATCTGCGCTACCTGTCTAGGCAACAAAACACCGGTTTCTGGGGAGACTCGATAGTTCGGAATCACAGGGATCGAGAAATTGACTGGCAACACGTCGTGTGTGTTTTCCAACTTCATGACCACGTCTCGTAGGGTATGAAAGGGGTGTCGGTGTGTAGTCGGTGAGGCAGAGGTCTGTAGTAAACCACAATTGATTATTAGCTTGTAGTAGTGAGAATTGTGTGAATCGATTAAGGAAATTTATCAAGGACGAGAACGGAAGCAAGAAGCAAGTGCAGACTCAAGATATTCTAAAAGTAAACAAGAGAATGTCTATAGTAAAAGAGTAAGTATGTCTCTAGGAAAAGAGAGTCGGATCTACTTCAATTGTTCTTTGTCAAAATAATGGACGGGACGTGTTACTCAGACCCAAGGGCATAACTATCATTCGTCTCACACAGACCGAATTGCAGTGCTGCTGGATCCGCTTTCAACGATGGCACAATAGCCTTCGAATGCAGCATTACGTGGATGACCTGGTCATCCCTCAGCTCCTCGGATTCCAGGACAAACTTCACTCCGAAGTCAAAGATCTTATCCTGCGGTCTTCGTGTGCAGACAAAACCTTTAGTCTCCTCGAAGACCGGAGGGCAGAAGGTGATTGTTACCTGTTAGAGGAAATTTGATATTAGCTAAGGACGAGAGAGACATCACGCTATGTACTAGGCTTTACTAGTCCCTGGAAATGAACATCAATTTCTCCATCAACGTCTTCTATTTCAACCAAATATAATACCGGCAAGCTCCCGAATTCCGGCACTGTCCCCGATGACGGCGACATCGTCCATGCATTCTTCAGCGTCGTCTCATCCTGCTTCGCATCCCCCGAGCTTCGCTGACCGTCTGTCCTGACCATGCAAGCAAAACTCAAAGGCGTTGGTCCGTCGTTCAAGAGCTGGATCGTCCTCGAAACGGTATTGCCGAAATAGGCATGTCCGAAGTGCAAGTCGGAAATTTCTTGCGCATCGAAGATGACGTGCAAGTTCTGTCTCAGGATGGTTCCGTGCACGTCGAGAGACTTCTTGTCCGCGACTAGGGAGCTTTGGCCTTGGGATTAGAGGAGAGAAAGGAAAAGATGATGAGTGCACCATTCGATATAATTGAATCAATTCCCAATTCTTATAACAGCAGGAGGTAGGTATAGTTTTTGTATTAGAGTTCTAAGAACCCTAGCCATAATTCAAGTTCACATCCAGCAATTCGTGCAGCGTATGCGGTGTGTCGAAGCAGTTGAGTTCCAATTGCACTGTCCGCTGGCTGTGCGCCTCCACAAAGTCCTTCTGCGGTAGATACTCCAAACTGAAGTGTTCATGCTGGATTTTGTCCGGAAACTCGAATTGACCTCGGGCAGAACCGGTATTGAAGATTGTGACTTCTTCTACGAATCGCTTCTGCACGATGACGTTGCCGAAATTCAGAAAGCGGGTAAAATCGAGGATCGCGCAAGGCATGGTGGCTGAGACTTAGAGTGAGATGTTGAAGAAGTGCTCTCGATATTAAACATGTTGCAGCAATTTGAGCTACTACTGCGTCTAACATTCAAGTGCCGCAAAAAATTCATGATTTTCAGGAGCAATCACGACCATACTAGGTTGGTAGCTAACACATCAAAGTAGGAGAGGACAAGAATACTATTGGAAAGTAAGGTTCAGGAGACTAGATATAAGCACAAGCGAATTAGGAGGAAGAAAAAATGTAGAGACAAGAATGAAGACAACGTCAATCTTCACCGAAAATCGTCACATAATGCAGAGGCACTTCGAACCGAAAATCGTCACTCGTTACCAACAACCTGTCCACGAAATCCCCTGGTTCTGATATGCTGCAGAACTCGATTTCCACCGTGACCGCCATTCCCGGCGCGATCGCCAGCTTGTTGTCGTAGATGAGCCGAAATTTGCTGTCGTTTCTGGCACACCCAGCCCTGACGCCAGGAGGCACGAAGCGGATTCTACGTGCATGCTGTGTGGTATTGCGGACGACGATCGTCTGGCGGTAGGAGACGCCAACCTCAATATCGCGGAAGTCGACGCGTTCCGGCTCGACGGTCAACGCCGTCTTATACGCATTACGACTGCTTTTCTCCATCTTGGTTCACGGGTGCTTGTTGTCGTGATGTTTATACTCTAGTGCCAAGATAACTTCTTCGTTGGAGATTGAGGCTCGTTTTTGACCGCTAAGAAGTACGTCCTCGCAGTTCTTGCACTAGCGCTTTTCTACGAGTACTTGTGCGAGAGTACTTTTTTCACCCCAATGCGCGCAGCTCCTTCTACGTAGTCGAACCAGATTTATCTTCTAGGATATTCGACTCGTGGGCGTTTCCTGTATGGGCGACGCCCTGCGCCCAGCAAGCTTCCATCCTAAAAAAGAATAATGACTCCGTCTCTTAGCCTTACTCATACATACATCATGCAATTTTCACTTATGCCTGTGTTTGGTTGAAATGGCGTTTTCGTAGGGCAACATAATTTCTCATACAAAAATCAAGTGTCAGAAACAAACGATTTCCATTTTCGGTTAATTGTCCAAATCGAGCTGCGACAAAAATACAATAATCAAGTACTGAAATTTCACCGAGGACCGACAGATTATCTCTTTTCGCTCTCTAGTCAAAGTGCTCTCTCTCCGACCTTTCGAAATTTTTTACCGACAGTCCACCGAACTATCCAAAAAACGACGGAAAAAGTTCTACGCAGGCGAGCAGAGGATACACATGAACGAAATTCTCTGTCCTTGATTAGCAACCACCGATTCCACTACTTGTTCGACTGCGTCCCTCTTCCGATTGGTTCCTACAAAATAATACCAGCTGACGCACTGAACACTTGCACTGAACACTAGCACAGGCTAAGTAGAGTTCTTTCTACGTAAGAAAAATTGAATATGGGAATATGAAATATGACCTCTCTTAGTCTCTTAGTGTCAGATGTAGGAATCCTTCAATAAACGAGACGTGGTTCAATTGCAGTTTTTGGAAGGATAGGAGAGACGTTCTTCAACATTTTGGAGTTGTAAGATTGAACATGAACAACATCAGTAGCTAGGGTAGGGTTGGAGTTGTTCGTGCTTCTCAGAACAACTCCACAAGACAAGCATCTATAATTAAGCCGCTTGTCTTGCTAGAATGGCAGAATCCGCAATTTGACAATACTTCTGGATCATCAAAACTATCAACATCTGAATGTAGAAGAGTAGAAGAGTCTGCCGTTGCCGATGCTATTTCTTTGCTCCTCCCATATAAGCCGAAGCAGACACCGTTGTTTTCTGAGTTGTCCCACTCGCCTGTGCAGCAGCAGCTTCCGCTTTTTTCCTCTCTTCAGCAGCCTTTTGTTTCTCCCTCATCTTCTCCGCCTGAGCGGCTTTGTCGTCCAGTGTCGTCTTCTTCCCGGTCCCACCCGCCTTCTCCTGGCGCGCTTGCGCTCGTGCGCGATCCTTCTCTCGCTGGTTACCACGGGTCATTTTCTTTGGTTTCCTAAAGGATAAGGATCAAGGAAAGTGTAATAGAAACGACGCTTACAACCAGTGGTGCTAAGAAAAACGCTGATAGACGTCAAATAGTAGAAAGAATGGGTGTTGTCCTACTTTGTTTTTCAAATCTAAAAAAAAACCTATGTATCTGGCGCTGTAGGAGGTAAAATGAATTGTCAGTTGTTTTAGTGTTAAATGATTAGATGTTTATCAGTATATAGGAAGATACGATCTCGAAAACAGACCGAAATCAAAATTCGCGTGCTTGAATTCGAACGATCCTGTTGACGTTAGTCACGGCGAAGATGAAGAGGCAACTAAACTATTTTTTGACTCTGTGGAGCAGCAGATGAGAATCAATCGATTTATTCATTTGCAATATAAAGATCTCAATGAACGTCCTCGTCTAGGCAGTTAATTTATTAAAATTGTGATCTGACATCATGGATCTCGGCTGTTTATTTTCAAACTAACGAGCCTTCGCCAACGAACACAACTCCATCATACTCTCGTCTACAGGCGTGCTTCCTGGATGTTGTTGAGCCTCCGGCTTTAGGTCGAAGCTGTTGCCAACTCAATGTATCTTGGGACCTCTACGTAGCACAACCAACATGATGGTGATACATTTTCATTGTGATAAGGAGTCAGATGTTGAAGGATTCATCATATCATTTAAATCATAGCACACCACACGTTCATGTGGCTTGGTGTTTCCATTTGTAATAGGATGTGTGAAAGATAGTTCAAAACAAGGATTTTTCGCGTTAGTTATTATACGTCCGTGTGAATGTATTAGTGCAGGCAACCTTACCGTCCGTATAAATTTCTTATCGTTGTTTCTGGTATTCTCAAAGCCAGAAACCGTGGGCGCTGGTATATGCACAACAACATTAGGTGGATGCACATTCTTTTTGTGAAACAATTAGCATGACACGTAGAATATACTTAGTTCTTCGATAATTTTTCGGTGCAGAGTAATAAGCAAAAACAAATGTGAGGATTGACTACTGCGAAGATTTTGAATACATAGCAGAACAACATTATCTTCTTCGAAAGCATCGCTTATATCTCCCATAACCCACCTCTGCTTGCGATCTCGAAGAAGCTGATCTCTACAGCAAGTCAACAAAAAACCTACTTCTCAAGACAACCGCTTACGACAGTTGCGCCGCAATTTCTCCTGCCAATTTCGTGACCTTCTTCGATCCTGTCTTGTTCGCAATACCATCGGCGTTGACTTGGAGGAGATACAATCGGAATGCCACGTTGTTAGTCTTCTCAACAACTTGTGTGTAGACGTCAGATTCTTCCTTCGGAAAGAAGACGGAAGAGTTGCCCTGTGGTGGAATTTTTGGACGGGAAGATAATGTTGTACTTCTCTTCCTTCGTGCTTCGCGTAGACGTGAGAGTGGGTAATGCTGAACAAGAAGATGGAGTGGAATTAGGAGGATGAGTCAGCGATTAACCAAATATTGTTCCGTTTAGAAAAAAACAACAATACCTTTCCATCCGAGTCAATGCACGCATTGGACAAGGATCCCTGCTGGATCAAGGACACGATCCATGCCTCTGCTCTTGGTGGGTCTAGGCCCATTTTCTCTGCGATAACACCAATATCCACCGACTCGTGGATCCGGCAGTAGATCGAGAAAATGCTTAGTCTGGCGTTAGACAAAATGCTCTCCAAATTATTTTTCAAGAAGTAGTCGCTGGCGCAGAGTTTCTGCGTCGCTTCGAGAGCCTCTTTTGCTCGGTCGAAGTCCATGTCCTGATGGAGAGCGAGCAAGAAATCCGTCAAAGGGTCGCTGTAGGACTCCCGGTCCTGTGCGAGGACGTGGACGAGATCCTTGAGCATACCTTTCAGCTTCTTGTTCATCAAGAACAAACCACCGGCATATCGGAGCAAGTAGGGGCACATCAAGCTGTTAGTTTAATTTTGAGTGGAAAGGGTTCTTGGTGTCCGTGAGGGACAACTAGTTATGAGAAATGCTTTGAAAGGGACGATGTTGAGAAAAGACAGTTATTCGTGGGCATCTTTTCAGTGATAATTTCAGCTCCATCTTCCACCCTCCTATGCGAATACAACAATGATAAACTACAACTCAACTACTAGTACCTCATCAACGCCAAGTATTTTTCGCTCAAGAAGAGTTCGACCACTCTTGTGATAGCGCTGTTAATGCTTGTACTTTCCAAGTCGCCGCTTTTGAAGAGGACAAACAGCATCCAGTGCTGAAGCCATGTTCGCTGGACCAAGACTTCTTTCTTGGTCATCGTAGTTGCTTCTTCTAGGAACTCGTCAATCGAGAGGATCTGTTTGGTCGTTGGGTTGGGGAGGTCGTCCTTTTTTGGTTGGGGGTGGAAATGAACACAAGAGTCTCTTCTACTTACAGCAAGACCCGTCTTCTAGTTGACGTAACCGTCAATAGCACTATTAACACGTCCAAGCACAACTCCTCTTGTAGTATCTTTCAAAACTCTCTCCTTTGCTATGATCGTTAAATTAAAAATCTAACCTGTTGTGCGGCTTCTGGGTAGTTCTCCTGTTTGACAAGGTATCCTGCAAGCAGACCCCACTTCACGCTGAGAATTCGCTGGTTCAATTTCTTCTTTTCTTCTGCCAATTCAGCTCCCATCTGCTCCGACATTTCCAAGTCTTTTACCATTATCTGTGACATTAACGTGAGAAGATTGATAAGGTGACGAACTTCAGGCAAAAGCAATGACAAATAAATCTACTTAACAACAAGAAAGATATACGCGAATGGAAATTGTCTTTCATTTCTCCGGGGTTGATCACGAGAGGCATCATCTCCTAAGCAATAGTTGAGTACCTTCGTCATCAACGTCTGGTAGTGGTTCAAGTTTTCCAGACTCTTGTCGTAGATTCCTGCTTTCCAGAGAGACACGCACCATTTGTAGTACAGTTCCAAATGATTTCGGTTTACACCCATATTCTCCAACTCTTTAAAGCTTTGGCAGTTCAAGATTCCGCTAGAGGAGTCGGTGCCTGAAAGTTTTTGAGATGCGTCCGTAGCTGACATTGTGGAGGAGCAACAAATGAAAATGACGATCTTAATAGGAATCAGAGTAAATAAAAGGTAGGTCAACAAAACTAAGGTTTCTTGTCTCAAGCAGCGAATGCAATAAAGATTTTGAATATCATCCTTACTTTCTCCCGACGTCGGCTCCGCTCCAGCTTCCTTTACTGTTTCCAAGTGCTCCAAATGTCTCAACAATGGGTGAATCTCCTTTTTCTCTTCGACCACCCGATCTGCAGATGCTCTCAGCCTGTCCGTGTGGTCATTCTGTGGATCCAAGTCCTGCAGAAAGCTGATCAGCTCTGTACGGTCACGAACGACGCGGACCATCTCCGCGGTGATGGTTTCCTCTGGGTAGATTTGTTCGGACTTCAAAGACTGCATGATCATGAGGAGCAGATGGGCGTCGAGGAAGGGTGCCAACTTCGGCGTCAAGTCGTACGCACTTGACGTAGCGACAGACGGAGCAGTTGATGTCGTCGCAACAGGTGCCATTTTGTTTCCTTTTGTGTGTTATGAATGAAATATGTAAATATGACGAAAGCACTTGTTGTAGCTAGTGATTCTTCAATACAGAAGATCTTTTTTAATATGCATGTGGTACGAAAATAGAACTAGCTTTTGATGTCTAGCACTAGTACCTGAAGATAATTGTTTAACAAGTCGTAGTGAGGTTGAGATGCAAATGCAATTCATTGTGATGAGGACTTCTTCGAATTGGTCGTTCCAGTCAGGGAAGATCCTGCTGAAAATTTTGAAGATCGTTACTGGATGGAGGAGCACGGAAATAGGTCATTCAGTCGTTGTGGAGATCAGAGGTCATTCATAGTTGAAAATTCATGTCCTTCATGCAGTTTTTGGAACAAATAGTATTCGAAAATTTATGTTTTTCAAGAAATTCTTGGAACAGGGTAAAGATCACTGCGTAGCTAGTACAGGGACAGATTTACTCCGATTCGCGCTGGAGGACACCAGGAACGATCTTGTGAATATAGCAAGAGTACATTTTCTGCATTGAGAATTCAAAGACTACCTTCTTTGTCCTTTTATAGCGTATCTACTGTATAAGGCAGTGCACAGAGGAGATTTGGGGGTCGCTGGAGCTTCCAACGACACTAAGCATTACACTAACATCAACGACAAGCGTTGTGATTGTGCGTCCTCGAAGGAATAATTGTAATGCTCAGTTGAGTTGGTGTGCTGTAATTGATTCTCAATAAACTTTTCAGACACAAACTGATGAGTGCTAACTCAAACAAAAGAATTCCCCACGTAATAAATTGTAACTGCGCACGAGTTCAACCTCACTACAGTAGTATTTGGCCTCTTTTTAACGTCCACGGGGGCTTGATCTCAATGAAGATTTTGAAACAAGCGATCCATGTCGTGTCGCTTATGATATCTCTTGTGTCCCCCCCTCTGTTCAACGAACAGAATTGCATCGTTTCAGAGCGTCACTCAGGCATCAGCATCTACTCTGTTCTTGTGTAGTGTGGGGTAGGTGTCCTCTCATCTGCTCTGTTATATTTATACGACAGTGTTTGAAGGATTTTTAGCATCAAGATACTATGATGTGGAGATGGTTTACCACGAGCCCCAACGGGACATCACAACTGATATCTTTAGAAGGCACGACCATTGAATCGATGAACAATCTAAACTATTCACAACGACAGTGGATCAGTTTTTATCTTAAAAATAAATGCTGGAACTCCATTCATCAATGTTCTCTACGACAACCACAAAAGCGATTCGCTGACGTCGGTGAAAACTCGACGGCATTGTGTGTCTAAGTGGATGTTGGCAGTCTTGTTGAAAAGGGTGGATAAACCTTTTCCATGGATCATGGATGGTGGTTCAGGTTCTAATTTGTTACACAAAGCAATTGCAGTTATACCAGCTCTTCACGTTACACAAAGTGCGAGTGTGATCGCACTAAGTGCAGGTGTAACTAGCTTACACGACTACTTCAATCCTAGTACTGTGTATCTAGAAGCTTAGTCGTGAGTCTTTTTCGTGTGTCATTTGTAAAATTAGGTTGGACTGCGGAATTCGTCACTGCTTTTCCCGTTTCCTTTGGGGGTCGGACGATCTGACCAATAATTTCTTCACTTGACGACTTTTGCAATAAATGAATGTCCAAAAATGGAATGAAATCCAAAAAAGAAAGGTATCTTTCTATCTTCCTAGACTATCCGTCTCAGAGGGTCACTTTCAATTACAAATTTTTCGATTTTGTTCGACGCACCAGCTTGGGTATGCGTAAAATAGATGAGTGCGTATGCGTCACATGTGTGCACTGCTCTTCAAACAGATCATAATCAAGGCCTTATGTCGTAGTCGTTGAAGCCGTGCCAGCTTAAAGCTACCCCGAGTCGTGGGTCCTCCATCCCTGTAAAATTTGCGCGTGGTTCCCCCTACTTGGTAGGAATAGTTTTACCCTTGCATATACTACTTGAGGGACAATCTACATACAACTTGAGGGACAATCTACGTAGAACAAGAGATGGATTAGCGCAGCCGGCCTCATGACTAGTGTTCGAGTGCCAAAATGCTCGCTAGTTTCTCAACCCTTGCTGCACTTGGTGGTCCGACAAGATGGAGCGGATCGAGAGGGTAGGAATGTATCTCTCGATCCACTCCATCTTGTCAGACCTTCTCGAACCACTCCTTCTTGTTGACCTAAAAACTGATGGCAGTCCTACTAGCAGCTGCTGCTATTTTTTCTAGAATTATGGTAGCTGTAGTCAGTTGGTAGGATACGGTAGGAATTAACTCACCTTGCACAGGGTAAGCCTCTGCCGTCCGGTGAATGCACGTAGCCTCAGAGGGGCTACCAAGGACTGATCTAGTTTCTGTTGGATCATGATACTAGAGACCTGTAGTTCTAGTTCTTGTTCTTGCATCATGATAATGAAACCGGAGGAGCCGCCTCCTACTTTTTCGTATCGTTCCCAAGCCCAACCACGATGATGATAGGACAACTGCTCCACCTACTCCCTCAACTGTTTTTGCAAAACCCAGCGTTTCTATTTCTTTCATTCCTGGTTAGCTTAGTTTGGCTTTTGGGGATCCTTTCATCGATCTAACAACATTTATCCACAGATAATATTATTGCCCATGATAGTCGAAGTGATAGATCATTAGAGTGTGCTAGAGTCCATCATCCCCTGGTGTGTGCTAGAGTCTTGCTCCCGTCCCCTTGGTACCTTCTCCCTTGTATTCTATGAGAGTTCAAGTCCCCTAGCATTCTATTCGAGCAAGAGAGAGGGCGCCCCGAATGAAGATGCTGAAAGAGATGATCAACATGGACAAAAGCGTGTCATAATATCACTATCAGAATACTACTCTTCAAGGAATCTTTGTCCGTGCATTGACATATAAACATGCAAAAACGAGGGATAGACATAGACAATAACAATTACAATATTGCGGAGGGATAGATGACATTACTTGCGAATCATGCGTGATAACTTCTAGTACAATGTGAATTTCAACGTTCTACTTGCTAAATCCTTATTCTTGTTTCTTAATACGTAGTACCTACTAGTATGACCGTGTTCTTGTTCGACTTCGATGACATTTGTGATGGGAAGTGAATTACGACGGAGATGGCCCCTAATGCTACTACTACTGCTACTACTACTGCTGCTACTACTACTACTACTACTACTACTACTACTACCTTCTTGTTCCAACGATGTGATTCGGATGCTTGTGCTATGGAGTTCCTAATGACATGATTGGATGATCCGCAATCTCTTTTTAGATAGTCCTGTTCGTGATTATTCTGCATACATATGTATCCACGCATGGAAATCATGTTGATAACCTAGTACATCATCCTCTAAATTTATGTCGCTGTTGCTCGCCAGGTTGAGAAGGAACTAAGCCTCTTATAAGCATTATAATGGAATCTAGGGAGTAGGAGTGGGGAGAAACAATGGACTTCTCGTCGTAATGAACGAGGATAGACCAGGAGGTAGAAGTAAAAGTAGAAGTGGTTAACCTGGTGAGAGTCATTCTATGTTGCGGCTTAGTGTCAGTCGCTACCTATACTCATTAAGTTGTTCACATCCCCGGATCCCTAAGTGGTTCACATCCATCGTTCCTCCTTTTAGTCTAGCTATGGCCCTCTTAAGCAACATATGAGCAGTAGCTAGTTGTAGTCAGCAGTAGTAGCTGGAAGTCGCTACTACCACTTCTATTCACTCGCTCAACCTCAACCCCCCTTGTGGTCCCTGTTACATCCTACTGCTCCCAAGGAAATCATGTTCCATGCTAGCTGCATTAAGATGATAGGATAGGAGTATATTCGTCGCCCACAGAAGGAACCTGTGCCCCCTGCTAGACCCTGTCAGTATGAAGGTCGTCCTGGTTGGTAGAGTTCGTTGTAGCAAGCATCCTACTGGAAAAAGGGCCCTGGCCACGTGTACGAATGCATCCCTATTTTGAAGAGGTGTGCGAAGAGCTTAGGGTTAGGCTGGGGTCCGTCTACAGCCTATTCATCGACTCCATAACTTGATCCGCCGGCGTCCTCATGGGCTGGCTATAGTTAGCTACAAGCACCTTATGAAGGATACCACCAGATAAAACCCATAGCATAAACTTCATATAGGACCAACTTAGGGGGTTTCGTAGTCTGTTGCAGCTAGTCCATGTCTCTTTTTCCACCTTCACGAAAGCAACTATGTCGATATACCTTCGACGATGAAGGCGCGAAAACCTGACGAGACCCGGCGGAGGCACCTAGAAAATGCCTCGCGTTAGGGCTAAACGGGGACGACCCGAATATACACGAATACAAAGAAATATAGAGGATCTCAGGCCACAACACGTCTCGCATGCTTTCAATCCAGAGAGTGGAAGATACTAGCTGTAGTTAGTGTCTTCTACCAATCTCAGTCTGAACATAGATTTACCTTTACGTTTTCGAAATTGAGAGTAAATTTTTGAACATAAGTCTTCAGATGGTGGAGCTTAAGCGATGACTCTGATGGTGAATGGTGGAGTTTGTTAAACGAAATGATGAGATTGCTTTTTACTTTTCTTTGAAATTGCGTAGCCTTGTAAGTCATTAAATAGTTGAAATAATTTCTGCGTGCTGAGCGTGTGTTCCTTTTCTACGACTACAATACTTTGTTCTATAATCATGCTCATCTTGCGAGATCTGTAAGTAGATGCGATCTAAATGATAAATTCTTACTCATGCTTCATTCTTGGAAAATAGATCAGTTTTTGCTTTTATGGACAATAACGCTTCTTGATAAATACTACAACAAATCAACAACGGTTGATAATCGATACACCAACTACGGTTGACGACTAGTACAACAACTCTTTCTTTTGACAACTTACTACTACAACAACGCTTCACAATTTCGTGGGCCCGTTTTATCATTATTATTATTATTTCGCGCGCGACCCGACCGCCTCGCCGTTTTCATTCCAATAAAAAAATCTCGCTGGTAGGTAGGACTACCACCCTTATACTTATAACTGCTTCTAGCCCAGGGTGGAGCCTACCCATGTACGCCTGCGCGTACGCATCTTGATAACTAGTATTGCAAATTTCAACGACATTGTCTGGCACAACGCTTCCATTCATCTTTGCCCCCTCTCGGCACCTTGTCGTTTTGCCTCCCTTTTATTTGAGAGAGTAGGCACCTATGCTGTCTGCTTCCCTTTTATTTGACAGAGTAGGCACCTGTGTCTGCTTCCCTATATATAAGAAGAAGCCGACCCCACCCGATGGTCCCAGAGACAGTCAGAGATAAAAAAGAGCGATCGTGCCCATACGATTGAATACTCCATACCTCGCTATCCTACTCTACTAGCGTAATAACCTTCTAGCGTACGTTCCCCCCTTCGTACCCAGTATAAATATTGCAGCTTTTTAAGGAACAATATAACGCAGACAGAGACACTATTTTAGTTCATGGTATTCTTGGTAGCTGACTTGTCATTTTCAATTGCAGCACTAGCTCGTCCGTCTACTTCCTATTAAGTACAACATTCTGAAGTTGAACATCCTCAACTTCATCTTCTAGGTAAAACAACAGCAACAACAACAACTTTCAACGTTTAGTGCTTCTAGGGAGGCCGAGGAGCACTTCTCCAAAAGCGGACAGGCGCCTGCAATAGCGAAGATGTCAACCCTGGGCGGTAAGAAAGCCAAGGGACACGACGGAAGCCGCTCGAAGATAAGCGAAACATTGGAACACGAAGGGGAGGTCGCCTACACCGCCAAGGGCAAGGCGGAACTGCACCGAGCTTTCTTCGAAGCTGTCTTCACCGGAGAAGAGCCGCCACAGCTACCAGAGCGAGAAGCCCGAGAGCTGCCACAGGAGTACAACCGCACACGGGGGCACAGGGGCACAGCAGGAAAAAGCGAAGAAGAGCGCGACTTAGAGGACAAGGAAGTCGACGAAGCCATAAGAAGACTCAAGACCGGCAGGGCAGCAGGCAGGGACCAACTAAAGAAGGAACACTACGAGCTGCTAAGTGCGCACAACAAGAGTCTAGTGAGGGAAAAGGTGCGCAAGTACTGGCGAGAGGGGGCCCTAGACGGAGGCGAAGTAGACTCACTAATAGTGGCGCTACCAAAACCAGGGAAGGACCACAGCAGCACTGCAGGTTGGAGGCCTATAGCCCTTCTAAATTTCTTCGCAAAGATCTTCGCATCCGCACTATACCTCAGACTTGTTGGCCCAATAGACCAGGCACTCTCAGAAGCACAGGCAGGATACCGACCCTACCGAAGGGCTATAGACAACACCCTGGCGCTAAAGTTAGCGATCCAGGCACGGGCAGCAGTAGGGCGCGCCACATCTGTCTGCTTTGTGGACCTGACACAGGCGCTCGACACGGTGCCACGAAAGCTGGTGGCCAGGGCCTTCGAGGCATACCAAATACCACAGCAACTACAGAGGAACTTCTGGGCTTTGTACGAGGGGCACGCCTTTGCAGTTCGCAGGGAAGCAGCTGTCAGCGACTCAAGGAGAACGACCACCGGCACAAAGCAGGGCTGCCTTCTATCGCCCCTCATCTTCAACATGTGTATAAGTTACGTCCTCGAGCGGACTGACCTAGGAGAAGGGGCCAAGATGCACAGAGCGAAACTATTGGAAAAGGACGAGGGAGCCGCAGCAGGAGAGGTTCGACTAGACCATCTGTTATACGCTGACGACATCGCGCTACTAGCAGAGGACGAGGAGAGTCTAAGGAGAGCCACGCAGAGGCTGGTAGACACGATGTCGGAGTACGGCCTGACAGTCAACCTCGCTAAGACAAAATATGTTGAATTCGACCCCAGCGGGCAGGCGGAGAGGGCCGCGGAGGCAGGTGGGCTCACCTTGGAGCAGGGCAAGGTCGAGCGGGTGTGTGCCTTCACCTACCTAGGCAGCACACTAACCCAAGACGGGGACGACGAAGCGGATATCCTCAGCAGGATAGAACGAGCCCAGAGGAAGAGCGGGGAGCTCTCCAAGGTCTTCGCGCACAGGAGCATCAGCAGGGAGCTAAAGCTGCGCATCTTGAGGGTGTTCGTGTTGCCGGTAGCGCTATGGGGGTCCGAGGCCTGGACACTAACGAACAGGACGAGGGCTGCGCTCGACACATGGTGGCACAAGAAGCTACGCTCATGCATTGGAGCCACGAAGGCCGACCACATCCGCACGGTGGACCTGCTCGAGAGGACGGGGCAGGAGCAGCTCAGCAGCATTGTCGAGCAGAGGCGACTCAGATACATCGGGCACCTAGTGCGATACCCGGCGACAAGGTGGGCGCGAATCTCTTTAGCAGCAGAAGGGGAACAAGCACAGGGCTACAGGAGAGGCAGGGGAGCACCGCGCGCAACCTACAAGAGGCAGCTGGCGGCTGACCTCAGGGCGAGAGGGGTGCAGCTAAGCAACGCAGAAAACAGAGACCTCTGGGCACAAGTAGCAAGGCAGAAGCCTGAGTCTCGTCGTTCATCATCAGGAACAACAGGAACAATCGACAGACCAATAACAATCCAACAACAAGCTAGACTAGCGGGTAGAACTCGTCTGGGAAATCTTAGGCACCTCGCCGAATAGATTCAATTCATCAGTGCTTCTAGCCCAATGGCGGGACAAAACAGCTTCAGTAGGAGTTGTATATCAAAATAGTTCATCTCCTTTACTAACCGAGTAACTCATATCCTTTACTACTCAGTGAACTACTCCTGAACAGCTCAGGCACTGCTCCTGAACTCCTGACCTCACTCCTGAAGCTCTAGTAGCTCTACTCCTGAACTAGTTCTACTGGATCACTCGGCTCTAGTAACTACAACTGGATACTCGAGTAGTTACGAGTCACTGAACTACTGATGAACAGTTCAGGTGGATTACTAGTACTAACTGAGTAGCTCATCTCCTTTACTCACTGACAACTTTCAACATCCCTACCTGAGTAGTTCATCTCCTTTACTACTCACCGACACCAACTTTGAACATCCCTAACTGAGTAGTTCATCCCCGTTACTCACCAACAACAACTTTCAACATCTTGCATCTTCATCCTAAGTGAATATGAAATCCACATCATCCTGCTTGTTCACCCCTTCTTTGTCAATCATCTAATAACGAAAACAACCCAAACAAGAAGGACTACTATGATCTACCCGACTCATAGTAGTTACGAGCAATACTACCGTCAGTAGTTACTAGCAATTGTACCATGGTTGACCAAAAGAAGACCCTCATAGAGACCATGCATCAGCAAGGCCCTCTAGAAGTTGCATATTCTTCATGGTCCTCTTTTCTCCTGTTTCTTAAGTTGGATAGAGTAAAAAAAGGGAAAAATAACTCGATCCCTTTTAGATACCGTCCTCATCCGCGTACTGGTCCTCTATTGATGACCACCTCTAGTTCTAGTACTTAAAAACTCCAAGAATTACTAGCACTACAGACGTACAACAAGCATGCTAACTGCGGATTTCTATCCAGCATCGACGTCGATATAGGTAACAACTCAGTCACACAGGAACTATATCTGTCTGTCTGAGTAGATGATGGTAGATGATGTCTAAACAACTTAGACTCAGCATCACAAACGAACGACAAAAGTGTATAACTTCTATCTGCGGCTAACTTTTCTCTGTGCAGATAGACGCGACTAATAGTGGTCTTGGTCATCCTCACAGCCTACTTCTACTTCTAGCCTAGTCACAGTCTAGCGCAGGGATGTCTTCTAGCCTAGTTGTAGTGCCTTATCTCTTCTACTACGAACCCTGCTTCGACATAGCTAGAAGCACAACTTTTGTGTCTTTATGCATAACAAACGTCTTATCCAGGAAACTCGTCAAAGAACCTGCTTCAAGATCCGTCGTGGTCACTTTCTCAAGCAGCATAGAAAAGTCGTTTGCTCCTCGAATATTCATTCCAAAAAACTCCTCCATCAATATTCGACAATGCGGAGAAACAGACATCGAAGACCTGTAGTTGAAATTCTTAATTGACATGAAAGAAAGGGAAGACCTGATGTGAGTCCTTGCTCGAATGCTTGTAATGACGACTATCTATCTTCTATGCTTCTACTTAGCAAGCTGCTTGAAGCAATCGAACTATGGAACAATGAACAATCTTGTAGTTGTACTTTTCTAAGATATAAGTCGACATCAAATAACTTTGTTGTAAACATACCAGCATAGAAGTACCTCTAAAACCCTTGCCAAAGCTCCAGCTTCCTTTCGCGTTCTTGTTCTTTCATGTATAGACTTTTTAGTGGTGACATTCGTCAGAGTTGCCATATGATCATCTTCATCATACTCGTTGATAGACCAATGAATCGCCAAACCCGCGTGAAAATGGAACTCACGAAAGAGTCTGGAAAGACTCTTCAGCGGTCCTGTTCTAGTAGATGAGATAGTGAGGCCATCGTCATTCAGATGAAGTCACAGACACAGTCATTCTCGGTCATTTGATAAACAAAGACGTGCCTATCGAGGATTTGTATCTCGTGGTTAATAAGATCGACGTCGTTCCTAAAAAAGAACTAGACGGTTAGTACAGTAGACTCAAATCATTGACTCAGGCAGATTAGTACTTTGAGGAGCATCGGTAGGACCAACGGCAGCGGCAGCACACTCAGGACCGCCCGGCTGTATGTGTGGTTCCATAGCAGCACACTGGTACATTGTGCGACGTAGTAGAGTAACATCGAGCTTGTCCTGTGGTGCAACTGTACAGTACTGTAGTGATTTAACACCATCTCGTCAGTGCCATGTGGATGGCGCAACATCCTTGCTGGCTAAGTCATTCTACACAACCTCCAGAGTAGTCCCAGCGTGATGGTTGTGATAGGCCAAGAACGTCTGATTCTTGATGGATGCCTAGCGACGCTGATCTTTTTGGTCTCCACGAAACCAAGAATGCAAATAATATGGTGGTCCGCCACCTTGAAAGTGAAACATCTTGACGCCCCTTGAAGAACACCTGAAGAATAAATCGTACGGCATACATTACAATCAATTAGAAGGAGCGGGTTATTGTTCAGTCTATGATACGAAAACAACACGGGGGAAGATAGTAAGAAGTAGAAAGTATGATGAATAAAGATGTAGTATGTGTAATCTATCAAAAAGATGAAGGTATCTTCTTCACGTCAATCATTCACAAGCAAATCAAAACTGATTACTAGTCCTCTAAATGAAGTACCACCGGTCCTGGTGCTGTGGCAATCGGTGAAGAAAACCACGCTCAACCTCATCTTGATACCTTCCACCTGCCGCAGACTCCTGCTATAGTCTTTGCTGGCTAAAACCCCTCACAGGCACAGGCATGAAATCTAGCATCATCTGTTGGCTCCTGCTGCTGAAACTCCATGTATCATCCGATAAAAGCTACAGCATATATCGCTTATTCAGTCGGCCATGCGAGAGACAAAACAGCAACCCAACTGAACTCGCGAACTTCTGAGACTTCTGCTCACCTTCACCTAGTGTTTGTGGTAGAAAGAAATACAATGAAAATTGATGTAATTGTGGTCTCTAGCAAAAAAGTGAACACGTGGATGTGGTAAGTGTGCAACTGTATGCTACAACGAATTGAGTATCACACAAAAAAGTGTGTGTTGAGGATGACGATACTGATTTGGCACATGCGTAACTAAATTTGGCCCCTTTTGCCAAGTAATGAGAGAACGCGAGTTTTGTAGTGTTGCCTGGCGGCCAGCGTTTCAGATTAGCCCGCTAGCCACAAGCACCCGTGCAAATTGTACTGACTGCGAAGCACGAGAAGGGCCTGGGAAAAGATTGCAAGGGAATGCGTGGGCGAATGTGAAACGAGGACACGAAGAGCACGAGTAAGCAGTGCGAAGAGGAACAAACTGGTCCAACGGAGACATGAATGAATTTAAATGAATGGACCCCAGGAAGCCGTGAAGGACCTGAAACCGTCACACCAAGGCGGGGGGGAGGGAAAATAGTTAACGAATCGAATAGAACTGAAGGAGAGAGAATGGAATATGAATGAGAATGCGAATGGAGTGAATGACTCGCGTGTAGGATGCGCGACCCCCGAAATTGAATGGAATAGCGGGTGGCACGCGTGAGTGGAATGGTGAGTGGTCACCACCGAATTGAAAGGAATAATGAATAGTCCGCGTGTAGGATGCGCGGCCCCCGAAAGGTGATTACTCGCGTTCAGAAAGACTACGAAAGTGACCAAGCCAGCTTAACCGTACAACTGCGCTGTCCTCCAAAACTGAGATTTAAACATGTGTACGTCGCAGTGGCACTTTGAACACAATCCCTATTTCTCCAGAATTGCTATGGTGATGCAATCTTCTCCCACGAAAGTGCTATTGTAACCTCCGCTGTTCGCATACGGAGAAATCTTTCCCACACGGTTCCGCTCCGCTACTCGAAACAATGCAGTTGCACGGAGAAATCTTTCCCGCACCGTTCCGCTCCGCTACTCGTTAGAGAGTGCTTGGATTCATCTCGGAGCTCTCATCTCAACCCCAGTTCCCTTGTGTTCGTCTATGTATGGGGACAAAAGGGCACCAAAGAGATGAAGAGAGAGATGGAAAACAGCTGGTCTTAAACTCGAAACGATGCGGTCACGGAGAAATCTTTCCCACACCGTTCCGCTCCGCTACTCGAAACGGTGTGTCTGCGCTCGCTTACACAATGACACTGCGCCACACCCGCACGAGATCAGCCTGAAAATTTAAGAAGATCAAGCTTCTTCAATTTTCGGCAAGTAGATGCTGAGTGTAATGGAAGTCCGCAACATATACTCAAATGCGTTGCGTTCTTGCATGTTCAAACGTGTTACCTAACTTCTGTAAACATTACAAAGTAAGAAATAAGCAACTAAATCTAAAACTGTAAAAAGAAAGAGTGCTATTACGTGCGATGAATAGGGGTCGTAATGATCATGCTCCTCGCCAATATAGTGCGCTTCCACAGGCGTTGCGTCGGTCGAAGAAACCTGGTGTGGTTTTTTACCCTTAGCACAGAGAGAAAAAGAGCAGAAGCAAGCAGATATGTTAGAGAGCGTATTTTCGAAAGCAGAGGAAAACGAAAAGAAGCATCAATCTAAGTACCGTAGCAACCGTAGACTCATTCTCACACTAGTTAGCGCACTCGCTCCTTACAAACAGAGTAAAGACCTCATGTCCGGTGGCGCCACTCTCGATGATCTGGTCTCCGCTTGGCAGTGTTCGGCGAGCGTTATTCACTTCTGCGGAATTGGAAGAACGATAAGCCTCCACGAATGCGGACGTCTTTGGTACCACCCGCTCTGGTGCCATATCAGGTTTTAGGTCCTCTATCGCTTTGTGGATATCTCGTTCCGCCGCTTCGATGAAAGGGCGAAGCCCTTCCATCTGAGCATGATCCAGTGCCTGCGCAGCTTTTTCAGCCCACGCTCTCGCCTTTGCAAGGGCACTCCCCTCGCCAATCGCAAGCCGCTGCAGGGCTTCACGGGCCGCGCCCTTCACTTGCTCAGTTGGGGCGCCTTCCTTCTTCAGACTCAAAGTCAACATGCCCTGGTCCTTGTGCTCCACCTTTTCGAAGACGGTCGACACGGCCTCGTCCTCAGCAAGCGCTTTCTGGTGAATCCTGAAGTACGCAAAAGCAAGCAGCGAGGCCGAACGTCCTTTCGCCTCCTTGAGTTTCTCCAGCACGCTCTGGGCCTTCTGTGACAACCCCAGCATCGCGTCCGCGCTCGCCCCCTGCAGTGATGCTACATTCTGGCTCTCGTCCCTCTGCTGTGCTTTCGTTTGGTAGTATTCCGCTAGCGCATTCGCAACTACAAGTGCTGCCCCGACCTGTTTGACGTCGATTGCGGTAGCCGGTGATTCGTCGGCAAGGCTGGCTCCGACATGTGGAAGCTGATTGTAGAGCCCCTCGAGTATTTCAACCCCCTCCTCCATGGCTTTTCCATCGTTCGCCTCGAGGGCGCGCCCCACAGCCAGAGACTCCTTCCCCAGACCCGCGCTCGTTGCTTCGACAGTCTGGTGTGCAGCGTCCACCTTCGCCTCCACATCCTTCGCCAGTTGCGAGACTGCGTTGTCAAGATCGTTCTTCAGCGCCGTGACCTTTTCGTCCGTAGATCCCTTTCTTTCCGCAGAATCATCTCCCGCTGCGTTATGAGGCTCCTGCGGTTTGGTTTCCTGTTCCTCCAGTCTCGTGATTAGCTCGTTTCCCTGTTTGAGGCGGTCACTCACCATCTCTTTCGTCACCTGGCCAGCACTCTCAACATCCGCCTCCTTGAGGATATTGTCGACAGTGAGTCCCGCCGCATATGCTTCTACTTCTTTCTGCAAAATCTTTTCGACATCTTGTTGCAGCCCCGCGATCGCCTGTGTCAACCTCGCCTGCACGTCCTGCGCATGCGCCTGACCCTCATCTCCTTGACCCTCTGCAACAGAGTCGCCCGCCCTCGTCGATGCGTTCATCATCATCTGGTCCTCAAAAATGGCGATCAAGCCTTCGAGATGCTCCCGCACATTCGCTTCAGCCGCCCGATCAACATCTCCGTTGACCGAATCGTCGGCGTTGATTGTTCCGAACTCCGCCTTCGTGGTAGAAGTGAAGTCTGCCAACATGTTCTTGACCATAGCTCCATCGCTGTTTTGGCCCAGTTTGCTCAATCCGTTCAGCAAGTCCCCACCTTCCTTCTGAAGCTGACCAAGAACGTCTCGGCCTTTTGCCAGACCTTCCGGATGTTTGTACAACTCAGTCACTTTATCTCCGTACACTTTCAGGTTAGTCTTGACTTCGTGTAGCGCCTTCTCCTGCTCGTCTTCCTTCGTATCCTGCCGCGCAGCGTTCGCCTCCACTTCTCCAGCCCCACAGCAGCCTGCAGCGATTCTGAATGTTAGCGCTATCTTCTCGATTGTTTCTCTTTCGAGAAGAAAAGTCTACCTCTGTGTCCTCTAGATCAAGTTAGTGTAGTTAAAAAATGAAGTGTCATCATATCAATGAAAACTACAAATTGTAGAGGTCGACGGAGACTACAATGCATTACAAGTCCTATTATAGGAGACACTAACTAGTTGTGGCAAGGTTTTCGTAGAAAGTAGTACTGGTACTAGTACAGTCTGTATCTAGATGTATGAGAAAATGCTGAGGTACTACTTCTAAACTGATGTAAGAAAGATGAAGCTAGCAAGTATGACGAAACACGTATCTTGAAGATGGGTTTTAGAAGACGTCTGGTAAGTATCATTTCCAGCCATAAAACTCCGGTCCTCACTCGACCCGGATCGCTTGATCGATGCTGCGTCTCAACCAACGACGAGATCGTAACATTAGAAACCACGGATGATGATCATTTAATGGAGGCACAGGAATATGAGTACTAGATGATCATGGAGTATTTTAGTAGATGATGATTTAAGAGAATCTTTAGGAAACCCAAAAAAAAAAGTCAGCGTGGATCTTGAAGAAAAAATAAACTACGTACGTACTAGAGCATCTAAATAATGTATGTTGTGTTTGACCAAAAAGTACACATTATCGTCTGCAGAACAAGTACTTGCAAGCTCCAGAATTTCAACTTCCTTCTACTTATATTTTACATAGATATAGAAACTGACTCATTGAACTTAAAGAGTCAATCATCCTTTTGACACACAAGTAGAGCTAGACTCAAGTCTTCACAAAAAGCCTTAAATCGAAATCCTTCAGCAGGCGAATCAATGTTCGTCAGTTGTTCGCCAGCCTGCTTTGCAACTCCTTCAGCAGGCGGATCAATCTTCGACAGTTGTTCGGCAGCTTGCTTCGCCATAGCGGTCTTTAGAATATCAATTGTGAAACAAATTATATGCTGTCATATTTACATCATCCTCATCCATGATTGTACAGATAATGATAACCTACTTTAATAGGAAAAAGTAGTTTGATCACCGCTGGAGGAAATTCACATCACTTTCGTTGACGTTACTTACTTGAAAAGTTTTTCTGATCTGCTTCCTCCACCTACAAACTGCTTATTTGTTCATCACTCACAAGATACAGAATTTGCAATCAAGAGCCTTAACATCACATCCCACACCACGAACGCCAGGAGTAATCCGAAAAGACGCAGCGTCCCGAAAATTAGAAAACTTTTTATTGACTCAACTCCATGCCTGAAACCGAGCGTCTTTATCTCGAACTACTTTCAATCTACTTACTTTTACGAAGAGTAAAAAAGTAAGTTAAAGTTTAGAGTTGCAGTGATGAATATTTATACTTCTTTGCGGTGCCCAAGTTGTAAAAATAGGACCAGAAGGACAACGACAAGGACACATATTTTACCGCACTACTATCGCGAAGCGAGTAGCAATAAGTTTTAGCTTTCCATCTTTCGTATCTTCTCCTCACCACCACCAGCACTTTCCCTCTCTCTCCACGACCCTGTTGCTTTTGAAAGCCGAAAGCGAATCTATGCACAGGTGATATCAAGATCAACAATCCATAACATTTTGGGGAAAGCGTTTTTAACCCAGAGCGTCACCATCGCAGGCGTTTGTCTCCTTGCTTCTCGACTGGGGATCAGGGCACTTGTGGCTACCTCCTGCGGGAAGTGTCGAGCAAAGATACCTCTGTCGCGGATGAATACAACGCAGTGGGGACGAAATACGAACAGCGCTTGCTTCTCGATTGGGATGAAGATGCGTCTGGTTTTTGTCCTTCTCGACAAAAGCGACAAAGAGTCGTTGCTGTAGACTAGAAACTGCTTAAGTACCTATCCTTTCCGAATAGAAATTGTTGCCTTGTCCTTCCCGACTAGAAATTTTTGTTTTGTCCTTCCCGACTAAAAAAACTGTTGCCGCGTCCTTCCCGACTAAAAAACTGTTGCCACGTCCTTCCCGACTAACAACTGTTGTCTTGTCCTTCCCGAATGGAAATTGTTGTTTTGTGCTTCCCGACTAGAAAATTTTTTCTCGTCTTTCCCGACTGGAAATTGTTGTTTTGTGCTTCCCGACTAGAAAATGTTTTCTCGTCTTTCCCGACTAGAAATTGTTTTTTTGTGCTTCCCGACTAGAAAATGTTTTCTCGTCCTCTCCAAATAGAAATTGTTGCTTTGTCCTTCCCGACTAGAAAATGTTTTCTCGTCCTTTCCAAATAGAAATTGTTGCTTTGTCCTTCCCGACTAGATTGCAGCTGTTGTTGTTGTTGGGAATGTTGTTGTCTCGTCCTTCTCGACTAGAAATTGTTGCTTTGCCCTTCCCGACTAGATTGAAGTTGTTGTTGCTGTTGTGAGTGTTGTTGTCTTGTCCTTCCCGCCTAGAAGTTATTGTCTTGTCCTTCCGGACTAGATCGAAAATGTTGCTGCTGTTGTTGTCTTGTCCTTCTCGAGTAGATTGAAGATGTTGCTGCTGTTGTTGTCTCGGTCTCGTCCTTCTCGACTAAAAGCGTTGCATTTTTCTCGATTGTTTTGGAGAAAAGACTTCGTAGTGAGTTTAATAAGGGGCTCCTTCCTAGAAAAACTCTCTACTTTTTCTTTTTCCCGAGAATCGATTCATCAGTAAAGGAGGAGAAGTATTATGTGGGGTGATTACAGGAGTCTCTGACAATCCGCATGACGTCAATTGCTTGGAGATCATGATCGAACAGTTGCTTTTGCGTCAATCATGCAAGAAAGATCATAATCGATCTCAACTTAAGATAACGGAGGGCTGTCAGTGTCAAGGGGAAAGTTCGGAGTCTGAGGACTGAAGGTTGATCTTCCAAGGCGAGAAGAGCACCGACTTTCATTTCTACTCGTTGTGCAGTGCTACACTCACTTACTTCAACCGATCCTCCTACCGCCTATCTCTTAGCCAATTATAAGTCCTTCCAGAGTCTACTGCCGACATAGTGCTGCTACGCGTTCGCAGAGCGACTCATCTTCGTTTCTGTAACAGTGACGACAAGTAGACCGAGAGGACAACTCCTGATTGATCCGACAAAGGTATTGTTACTCTAGCTCACCGAGGACAGCATGCACAACATAGGCACTCTCGTTCTGAACACTGCAGGTGGCGCCGGACGACTGCAGGACCGACAGCAAGCTCCAGTCTACGAGACCTTCAAAGAAAGATCCCCTTAGCCTCAGGGCAGACCGTCAGGGGCTGAGTGCGAATTTTCCTCTCATAATCGAATTCCGATGAGGGTATAATATAGTTTTGATGCCGGTGGGAAGTCGGAAATAGATAGATGCGTTTGTGAGGGGCTAGATGTACATTATTGACACCCGCGTGATAGGCACCCACGGCGCCGGAAAAATCGTAGGAATGATGAATTCTGAACGGTAGATGTGAAAGTATGAAAGGATGAGCCACGGCATGCACATGAATTCGAAGCTAAGCAACAAAAATAAATTACAAGGAAAATACTTAATGAATTCTTAACTTTTTTGGTCTTTGTTTTTGTAATCGAATTTGCTTTGCAAGTTCTTTGTGTTGAGATCGTTGAGTGCCATAATGATATCATTCCGAATTTTCTACCACTTTTTGCTAAACAAGATTTTTTCATGCTGTATGTTTGAAATGAGATTTGCGTAATGATGAACCCCTATTCATTGTCCTTGTCACCACAACTACAAGAACTAAGTAATATTACAATCATCTCGACCTTTACAACTACTGCATCTGCAACAACCCTTCTTCACAACTAATGCAACAAGTCCTGACAACTTAGTGGATCCCCGTAACAGATCTATCTGGTAACGAGGACAAGGACAACAACGACCACCACCCTAAACTTAGTAGTTTTCCAGGTGCTTCTAGTTCATCAAGGCGCAGCGTAGTGCCAGCTCCAACGCCCATCTGTAACAGGTGTTACAAGACTCGAAGTCGACTTCTGCTTACCTCTAGGATTCCTGCTTCCCTCTAGGAGGGAACCAACCACGATCGATGGTCCCAGAGACTGTTCGAAAAGAAAGCAATCGTGCAGCCAGGAATCGATGCCCCACAGACAGGAATCTGATAGATTAAAAAGGTGCGATTTTCGAAAAAGACTGGAACTTGGAACTCAAAGTCACGTCGTCGTCGTCATGCATGTTCAGAACTCAGAAGTACAATTCATGTTTTGTTAGAAAGAACATGAACATCATATGAAGGTCAGGAAGCAGAGAAATACATGTTTGCGCACACCAGTAGAAGCGCCGTGGTTGGGTCTGTCATTGCCCACAACTTTTTGATTGACTCCATGAATCTGGTTACAGTCAGCGAAGTGCGGTATTACCCGCCACCCATCGCTTTGAACTATCTGCTTCTTGGAAGATACCTGGACACCAGCAGATGGTTATTGCTCATATTCTTATAAAAGAAGTTGTGAAAATCCTTACCATGATAGATAAAAAAACATAGCAAGCTTGAGCTTCTAGTGAAGTCGAAGAGACATCCTCACATGAACATGATTCATTACTAGTCGTCCGATTACTAAAGTACCGCAACCGCTGGTGCTGTGGCATATCCAACCGCAAGAAAAATTCGCTTTTCTCCTCTGAAGAAGACTCCTCATACCGTCTGGTGAACGAGACTCCTCCCCAGACTCCTCGCAGACGGAAGATCTACCACCTGCTACTGTCGGCTCATCATGAGACTCCATATATCATCTCGCTTGGACAATCCATCATGCGAACAACCGAACAGCAACAGCCACACATACAACTCGCAAACTTCGGAAACTGCTACTAGCGACCTTGTGTTTGTGGTAGATGAAATTATGCTGGAATGAAATTTTCATTCGACATAAAAACTAGTAAAAATGCTATAGCTTTTATAGTCTTTAGTACGAATAATGAGCATGCATCTCAAAATAAAAAGTGTGGACTAACTTCATACTACCGCGGTATTGTAACTTATCACTCACAAATAAGCCCTTATTTCATAACAACATCTACGACATATTCTATAAAGCTCTAACTATACGTGATAGTGGTACTTTGAGCATAGTTGCTTCTCCAAAATTGCTTTGCGAATGCAATCTTCTCCCAGGTTATCAAAGTGCTAGTGCAAGTTCCTCAGTTCGCATGCGGAGAAACCTTTCCCACACCGTTCCGCTCCGCTACTCAAAACGATGCAGTGACGGAGAAACCTTTCCCACACCGTTCCGCTCCGCTACTCAAAACGGTGTGTCTGCGCGCCCTTACACCATGACAATGCCCATCCCCTGCACGAGATCAGCCTGGAATATTCATCGGATACAGATTGATTCATCGTAATTCCTAAGATGAAAGAGAAATATCACGAACATGAAGTCCTAGAATTCTACTTACGTACAAGGCTACTTACGTACAAGCACTTGCTGTATTCCTTGTCTTGTTGTGATACGTGGCATTCGCGATCGCGACATGCACGCCACGATTCATGGAGTGTAACAACCCTAGTTCCTGTGTGCGAACAGCGTGTGTTGACTCTAACGATCTTGTATGAGAAGCTAAACTAAAGAGAAAAAGTACTTTATGTTTCTGTTTATACTATCACGTGCGACGAATCGAACTCGAAGGCGTTGTCATGATCTTGCAGCCCCTCGCCATTATTAGCGTGCCCTTCCACAACGTGATTTGCGCTCTTCAAAGATACCTGGTGGTGTATTTTTTCACCATTATGCATTACAGAGATGGAGAGAAAAGAGCAGACCACACAGAACGGAGCCCGTTAAGTCAATACTTGAAGTCGGGAGAGTCAACATTATAGATAAAGACACGTTCTGTGACAGGTATCTTTCTACTGCCAACACAAGTCAGTAAGTAGAATGTCCCTTCTGTAGTCACAAGAGTGTAAGGAACCTCGTGGCCAGTGGTGTCATTCTCGATGATCTGGTCTGCACTTGACAGTGTCCGGCGAGCGTTGTTCACGTCTACGAAGCGAGAAGGGCGGGAAGCGTCGAGGAATGCAGATGCAGCATCCGCTTTATGCTGCTGCTGCGGGTCCTGTGCCTGTGCTGCCGCCAACGCTGGTAACGCATCTATTTGTAGTAAGATGTCGGAAATCTGAGTTCTGAGAGACGCCTGCGTTTCCCGCATTTTCTTTATCTCTTGTTTGGTCTCATCCGTCATTCTCAGGGAAGCTGCAACACCTGCTAGTCCCTGTTCCGTCAGATCTGGATAGTAGACCCTCTTGAGTTCTGCACGCTTCGCCGCGATCGCGTTTTCTTGTTGTTCCCGAGTTCCAGTGCTATCGGTCTGTTGTTCTGCATTCCTCACGGCCTCTTCCCCCTCCTTCAGAGACTGGGACGCAGCAGCGAGCGTGCATTTCTCGAGTAGATGTCTCACAGGCTGCAATTGCTGCTCCCCCAGACCCGGGTCCTGGTCACTGTCCCGAAGTAGGTGGGTACAGCGGCTCCACGCGTCCATTATCTCCTTGAGCGTGTCAGCTATCTGGCCAATGGTTTTTCCGTTGGCATCTTTGATGAGGCATACATCTTGACCGGGTGGCTCACCTTGCGCCTTTTTTTCGATGGCGCTGACGCTGTTGCAGTTCTCCGTAGTCTTCTTCTCCATGATCGCGTTGACTTCGTCGCGCAACTTGTCTTTTTGCTGTTGAGCAAAATCGCACAACTTCTTCATCAGCTTATCCGTGCGTGAAAGACAAACCTCCTTCGCGACCTTACTAAACTCCAGCGTTTCGAGTTTAAAGGCGAAGCTTCCGTCGGTTAGGGTTTGTTTGCCTGGTAAGATGAAGGAACACGATTTGAGTGAGTCTTACTTTGCCTACGGTCACGGGTACTCCGTACTAGCCCGCGGACTTCATTGCATGAAGGAACACCTATACACGACAGGAGTAGAAGATCGTGAGAAATGCATAGGGACCGCAACAGAGCCGCGAGCATAGGCGGCGAAAGGGACAGAAACAGGAACATGATAGAGAGAAGGGAGAAGCGAAGCGAAACGATTGCGAAAGTGTGCCGAGATGAAACTCGGGTGCCTGCTACAGGCCCGCCATGAGTTCTAGGCAGGAGCTGAAGCAAGGGCGGGAAGGGTGGGTAAAAGAGAAGAGAAGAGAAAGAGAAGGGCGCGCATGACAATGCGAATGCGAATCACTACCGAGAAGAGGTAGTGCCGCGTGTAGGATGCGCAGCCCCCAAGTGAAAGCGAAGACCGAACATGTTCCTGTACTACCGAGTCACTCAAATCAGCTTAGCCATACATATGCGACGTCTGTCCTCTTCCCCAGCGTCATTCAGGGTCGTGAGCATTCCCTTAGCGCCAAACAGGAAACGCAGCATGTCGCGTCCCTGCAATATCTGGCTGGCTCGCTTCAGTACTACTTGGACGCGGCTCCGTAGATTGCCAATAGTCGCACCTTCTGCGCCGATCTCTGTGCCAATCCCGCTCGTCAAAGCCTCACATTCGTCGCTAGCTTTGTCAAACATGGAAAACATGCTTGTGAGGGCAGTCTCGTCGTTGAAGTTGCCATCCAAATTAGAACTCACTACAATCCACCTCTTCACCCTTGTTTTCCTTTTTCTACTTGAAGGCAGCTCATACATAGATGGAGCAAAAGATGGATTAAGTGAGGCCTTAACGGATAATTCAGCCTCGTACGTTTTGACCTCGTGTCTGATGATCAACGCGAGTCCCCATGCAGCCTTCGTGGCCACATCTTTTGCTTCAGCGCATGACGGAAAAACAGCGGTACTCTCGGGAGCTGCATCAGAAGCGCTAGCGTCTCTGCAGTGCGTTTTCACAAGCTTCCTCGCTTCGTTCCACTTCGTGTCGAGCTGTGTTTTGGCGTTGTTCACTGTCCCCTTGACATTGACTCTCAGCTCTTTGACCCCCGCTGACACAAACGGCAGTTGTCCGCTGAAATTATGAGGCACCTCTGGCAATCTTATGTAGTACACCTCCGCAAGCAGAACCTCCAGGCTCGCCTTCGCAATCGGGAGACGCATCTGCAGGCTGTTAGCGTTCTGGAACAGCGTCTTTGCATCAGCAGAGTCAGGGTCTATCTTCTGCAGCGCAGCCGCAATCATTCGCACAACCCCTTGCGGACCGTCAAAATTGGGTGGTACACCTTTCCTTGCACGGTGGCCAGCGGCAGTCCCAGCTTCCGTGCGCTTCAGTCCTGTGCCTTCTCTGGTCTCTAAAAACGCCGTGCCCTCCACCGCCGGCACCTGCTCGTTCTGCGCAGGTGAGATGAACTCGGCTGCAAGATCGGAGAGGGTGTCGTAAAGCATCTCAGCTTGTGCTAACTTCGACTCGGGTCTGTAAGGTTGATCTTCGTCGACTTCCTTAGGTGGCTCGAATTTCTGAACCATGGTGTCAGCCATGCCCAGAGCCCATTCCGCCTTATCAACTTCCGTTTTTGCTCTATTCGTCAGACCCCATGCTGCTAGGTGCACAGCTGATCGCAGGTCCTTGATCTTCTGGTCCAACGAGGTATCGCGCTCCGCTGCGATGGTGCCGTCGCTCAGGTCAACATCCCTCTGCCTCTCCAACGTCTTGATCAACTCGCTGCCCTCCTTGAGAAGATTCACGCTCGTCTCAACATGGTGCTGGACCTCAGTGCGCTCTCCTGTAAAGGAGACTTCCTGGCTATTCTGGAGTGCGGTTGTGAGCTCCACGACTTTGGCATTCTGCACCACTTTAGCGTGAAGATCCTTGAGTGCTTTTTCGACTTGCTCCTTCAGCTGCGTCTTCTCCAAAGCCTGAGCACCATCGGCTACCTGCAGAGCGTTCAACTCAGCCAACAAGCCCTGACCAGCACTTTGAATGTCTTCTGCAGGGGTAGTCGGATCCTCCACGCCTCCATCCACTAACGTAGCCACTCTACGCGCGATGGCTTGTAGCGCTTTTTTCTGCTCCTCTTTATCGGCCGATACAGTAGGCTTCGACACCGGAGCCGGCGCCACTGGAGATGCCGCAACCGGAGACGCCGAGACATCCGGCATCGCCGTTTGCTGCGGCCTATCTTTATCGGCCGATACAGGAGTAGGCTTCCACACCGGAGCCGGCGCCACTGGAGATGCCGACACCGGAGACGCCGAGACATCCGGCATCGCCGTTTGCTGCGAAGTTCTCTCGTCCTCAGGGTTCGCCCCTTCCTCTCCACAGCAAACTGTAACGACCTCGAATGTTAGAGCTTGTGGTCAAAAATAAAAGTATCATTCACAATTCAATTATGGAAACTACACAGTTTCTACGTCATGTCACGTGACCTCGTGGTCCATGTTGTCAAATGGAGACAAGGTCGCTTCTACAGCTCAGTCAAGAACCTTAAATAAAACTCAGTTACACAACTGTAGAAGAAACGACTACTAGTAAATACGAACAAGCTTTTGTAGTTGTCGTAGTACTAGTGCTGTGCTTGTTTCAGAAGATCATGTCTAGTGATCCTTTCTCAGCCATAAAACTGCGAGTCCTTGCATGCCTGGACTGCTTCGAGGATGCTGCGTTTCCGCGTACGACGAAGCAGTGACATTAGAATGATACACGAACAGCTAATCATAGTAGACAGTCTAAGTGATACAAGACCACAGTAGATAACTATACTTACATGCATAGTGGAAATTCTAGAACCAATTTCTAGAAAGGTACAAGTCCGGTCTGACTAAACGAAGTCCCAACCTCACATAAAGCACCACGATGAAAATAGAACGTCTGCGCAAGGAGATGGATTGATGCTGCTCTGGAAGAAGAAGAATCTACTTCATCTGAGATCTAAATCTGTTGACCGAAAAGTAAAAATTAAAATTAGCAGAGCAAGTATCCACTTCCACAGAGACACTCTTGCACTCATATAAGTCTGAGTCACCCGTTGAATTCAACAAAGGGTCATGCTCTTGATGACCCACAACAAGAAGAACCTCTATCTTCATACATACTATGTATGATTATGATATTCATCACCAATCTAATTATAAACTCTTCAGAAAATAAAGCCTTAACTCCTTCGGCAGGCGAATACGTGTTCGCGAGTTGTTCGGAAGCCTGCTTGGTAAAACCTTCACCAGGTGGGTCGATGTTTGTTAGTTGTTCCGCAGCTTGCTTCGCCATAGCGGACGTTAGATCATCAACATCAGCTGTCTTATAATCTAATACATCATCATCATCTTTGTCCATGGTTGGAAAGATAAACTACCTTAGTCAGGAAAAATGGTTAACCGCTACTTGAAGAAGTTCACATTACTTTCGTTGACGTTACTACTCAGTAGAAAAAATTTTTCTACTGATGATCTACTTCCTCCAACTACAAGCTGCTTCTTTGTTCATCACTCACGAGATAGAATTATTGAGAGCCTTAATGCCACGTCGCACACCACGAACGCCAGGAGCAATCCGACAAGACGCAGAGTCCCGAAAATTAGAAGACCTTGTGACCTGTCTAATACATCATGATAGTACCTTGATATATATAGTATAGGACAAACGTCTTCATCTCGAACTACTACGTACTTTCAATCTACTCTTTTAGAAGTAAGAATAAAAGAGAAATCATTTTAGAGTTGCACTGAATCGGATTTCTTGCTGTGCCCAAGTTGTATTTCTAGGACCACGCGAACCCATTTGAAGTTGGACCACTAGTACTATTCACAGGAAGCTTTCTACTATCAAGATCAACAAACCCAAATCCATAACATTTTGGGAAAAGCGTTAACCAGCATGATCGCCTCCTCCTTGCTTCTCGACTGGGATGAAGATGCGTCTGGTTTCTGATCTTGTTGACAAAAACGGCAAATAGTATAGAGTTGCTGCCGACTCGAGTGTATATTTGCTTTTTCCTTCCCGACTAGAAGTTTTTTTTTTCTTCCCGACTAAAAAGTGTTGTCTCGTCCTTCCCGCAGAGACACTGTTGTGCTGTCCTTCCCCACCAGAAGTTGTTGTCTTGTCCTTCCCGACTAAATCGAAGATGTTGCTGTTGTTTCGTCCTTCCCGACTAGAAATTTTTGTTTTGTCCCTCCCGACTAGTACCTTGAAGCTGTTGGTTGTTGTGTTGTCCCTCCCGACTAGATTGAAGATGTTAGTTGTTGTCTTGTCCTTCCCGACTACAAGTTGTTGTCTCGTCCTTCCCGACTAGATCGAAGATGTTGCTGTTGTTGTTGTCCTGTCCTTCTCAACTGGACGCTGTTGCTGTATCCTTCCCGACTAGATTGTAGTTGTAGTTGTAGTTGTTGCTGTTCTTGTTGCTGTCCTTCCGGACTAAAAGCGTTGCATTTTTTTGATTGTTTTGGAGAAAAAACTTTGTGTTGAGTTTTATAAGAAATTCCTTCTTAGGAAAACTCTCTACTTTTTCTTTCTTCCTATAATTTAAATGAGAGGAGAAGGGGTGTTAGCTGGGATGATTACATGAGCCTCTGACAATCAATATGAAGTCGCAGTCAATTGCTACGTGGCCATCAAGTGAGTAGTTGTAGTTGCTTTTGCATCAATCATGCAAGACTGATCCTAATCGATCTCAACTTAAGATAACGGAAGGCTGTCAGTGTCAAGGGCAAAGTTGGGAGTCTGAGGGTTGAAGGTTGATCTTCCAAGGCGAGAAGAGCACCGACTTTCATTTCTACTCGTTGTGCAGTGCTACATTCACTTACTTCAACCGATCCTCCTACCGCTTATTTCTTAGCCAATTATAAGCCCTTCCAGAGTCTACTACCGACATAGTGCTTCTACGCGCTCACACAACGACTCATCTTTGATGCTTCCGTAGCAGTGACGACAGGACCGAGAAGATGCTGCCTTCCTATTTCTACTCTTTGTCGTACCTTCCAGAAGCTGCTACCGACATCATAGTAGTACTTCTCTGGGTAGTTCGGAGACTGACTCATCTTTGCTACAACAGCCACAGTGAACGCCAGTTCTTCATGGATCCAACAGAGGTTGGGATGTGTAACCTTTCCGCTATGTGGGAGGTACTACGAGAAACATTATAATTGTGAGAGGCTACATGTACACTTTTTGCCCATGTTGGAAAAGTTTAAGTCGAAAAGAAGAGAAAACATAATTCACGTTTTTAGTTCGTTCTTGAGTAATCAAGTTAAACTGTCGTAGAATTTTAGACACTCACTTTTTCATGTTAAAGCGACTAGTTCCTTTGCTTTTCTTTTTTTTTTTGAATCCAGGAACCGGTCTTGATGGATGAGGGAGGTACTGCTTGTAATTCTGAGAGGAGCTGCATTGGCAGGAGGGAAAGGGGGATTGCATCCTGAGTCGTGATCATCTTCAACATAAGCGGGATAAATAATAGGCATCTATCTGGTAAAAAGAAACAGGTAACTTTTAGAGCTAGTCCTAAACAACTTGTAACATAATGGAGACAATTATAGCATATTTATAGAAGTATCTAAGGTAAAAAATAAAATCTTGTTTCGTGAGAATAGGTGTGAAATCATGAACGAACAAAAAGTAGAGGTGGATGACCTTATCAAACTGCTGGAGCAAGTTCCTCCGTTCACATGCGGAGAAATCCTTCATGCCACGCTGTTCCGCTCCGCTGCTCGGAACAATGTAATTGCACGGAGAGACCCGCCCCACACTGTTTCTGTTCCGCTCCGCTACTCGAAACGATGCAGCGTCTCTGCTAAATTACACGACGACAATGCCCAAACCTTGCACAAGACCAGCCTGTAGTAGTAGTAGTAATAGTTGTAAACCCATTTACGGGGTACGGCCCGACGTTACAAAGAGGCGGGTAGGGGACATGTTTCCTTTTTCTTTCACTGTTTGTTTGCCTGGTAAGGGTGCTTAGTAGCAGTAGTGCATTCATTCGTGGCGGCGTAGAACTCACACACATCGAGCATGGCAACAACTGTTGCATTTCCTACATCGATAAGCACAGAATGTGTGAGAAAAGTAGACTTCTATAAAAAGTACGAAACGGTGCGGATGGTCGCATTCATAATAGTCCTTTCTCCTGCTTTCGAAATAGAGCTCCACTCTACTTTTACGCAACTTCCTGAAAAAGTAGAGTGGAGTTCTATTTCGAAGATCTATCAATGGAACGAAGGCTATTTCCAAGATCTCCCGGAAAAATCGCATCATTCAAACCAATGAACTGGAAAGAAACCCGTTCCCTGCGCCTCCTGGCGACATTTCGTATGGCATTGGATAGAAGTTCCTGACAACAAGGTCAGAAAGCGAGCGGCGCCACTATCCAATTCTAGGAAGGCAGTTGTACATGATGTTGATGCTGCACTTGCTGCATGGCTATTGATGTTCGTATTCGTCACAGCTAGTAGACGACCTTTCTTCAAGCCTTGTTGTTCACCTTTTTCGTGTTCTGACATTTGTTCTAGTGATGCTGTGACTACTCTCTGATGGCACTCTTCGGGATCTTTCCATTGCTGTCGGCAGAAAATTGATGTTGACGACGTGGTAATGATGTAGTGACAAGTACCTACTCGAGTGTGCAGTACACAGAAAAGAGAACATAGACGCATCCAAACACTGATACGAAAAGCGGCTCTTCCGAAATTTCAGGGCATTTAACATCAAAGCTTTAGAAAGATTCCGACACTTTCTTCAATGTAAAATTCTGACTCGTCTCGAATGCAACTCAGTTGAAGTATCAGCCACACGATAATGTGCCTAGGTAGCACACAAGAGATAGAAGAGACAAATGCTATTATGACTGTCTGTGGACGAATCATCTATGCTTCGATGAGAGCGACTAGTGGATCATCCAGAGTCGCTGCAACAGGCAGACGAAATAATCAATCACTAAAACATCAATTGGCAGTAGCGGCAAAGTCAACAATTCCACTATCTAACCACAAAACCACGTTCGTAAAATAATTCCATTTCATTTGTTCCTTTACAAAGTACTCCTTTATTTGTTCATCTTTGTACCTTCGGGAAAAATGCACTAGCACAAACGTACATTCTGGATGCCCCAAAACATACTTTCGCAGATGTCCCCAACTCGTGTGGGTCCTCTTAACCGCTTCCCGGTCAGCGTCTTCTTCCGTCATGCCACCGGTCGCTAAAAACGTGCACTCGATCACGATGTTGGCACAGCTGAAAAGGAGTTCTCGTTGAGCATGCAGCAAGTCTAAAGTAACGCCGTTACTGGGTCCACCGCCAGAGCCACTTTTTGGAACTCGACATAAGCAAGCTTCGTAAATGTCACCTGACAACGGCCTAGCCTTTGAAGCTGGGGCGTAAAAAATGCATGACGCGCTTGTACTTCTACTCGAGGAGTTAATATCATTCATCTCTTTCAGACATCCTTCACAGCCTTCTCCAAAAACTTGCACCGTCGTGTCCAGCAAATAAGCCAAAAAAGGCTTCACCTCTTCTACATTAACGAGCCCACCAGTCTTTTTCAACTCCTGAATCCGTTGTCCGCATTTTTTACCGTGTTTCTTAGGATCTTCTTTCGCTAAACGTCTTAAACCCATCAATTCTGCATCAATCTCTGGTGTGCTTCCTTTCTGAACCTGTGTAGCTTCACACAAAACATAGCCAACATCTCCAGTTTTGTGATAGCAATGCACAGTGCGAACGATGGTGTTTCCCGCCTTGCTACCCTTTTTGTTTCCGCCACCACCGTTAGCGGGTAAGCGATATTGTAACCCAGGCTGAGCGGCTACCCAATTTTTCTGGATCATAGAATCAAGAGGTTCTTTGGCCACAGCTTTTGTTACACAGGGGATAAGATTAGCGTCATCGATTACACGACTTTCACCAGCACCATCATCGGGTGATTGATCTTCGCCAGCTTCTTTCACAGGTGGAACCGACTTCTTCCGAAACCATTTCCAACTAGCTTCCCCGACACCATCTTCAGCATTATTTTCTCCACGACACCCTTGACCCCCAACCAAAACCAAATTCGGCACTATTTCCACATCCCTGCGCACACCAGAGGCTTCAGACGCGTCAGGCATTTTGACTGACCATGTCATACGGCACATCTCTCTAACATTATTCAAGTGGAGTCTGGGTACGAAGACATATGGCGTAGCGGGACCGCAGCGCAAGAGCATAGGAAGCGCGTTGATATGATCAATGTGACCGTGAGAAGGATTAGAGGGGAAAAAATTTTAGGACGATCAGGGATATCGATATGGTAAGCAAAAAATGATGGAAGCCGCCGTTCATTGCAGAAAGCCTAATTCAATGAAGGTGACCCGTCCAATTCTACTACTAAACCTAAGAACTAATGTCTTTGACTTTGATCTTCATAATAACCAAAATAGCCTCTGGATTAGGCGTGTCCACCTTCCAACCCACGCCAGCGTCAAGGAAGATGTTCAACTCATTGATCACAAACCCTGTTCTTTCCAACGATCGAGAATGACCGGACAGCGTATACTTCGAACTCGAACTACCCTTCAATTTCCAGGTATGCCGCCAAAAACCAGCTTGAGGATGCTCCAAGACGGCACTTAGGGATTTTTTCACTGCATCTACGTCGTCAGGATGCTGACAAGCGGGTGCGGCACAAGCGCATTTTTCGAGGAGGCGTGCGAACTTCTCTTTCATGGCATCTGCGTCCGCGAGGGGTTGACAAGAAAGCGCCTCATCGATGGTTGTCGTGAAAAATCGATTATCGACGGTAGTCGAAAATAGGTTTGTGAGGCCCGTCGAAGACGACATTTTGGTACTTACTGGGTTTTGTCGAAGGATGTTTGGGTAGACGAAAGGATAAGATCGCGTAGAAGAGAAGAAATCTATCTCTCGGCAAAATCATAAATCAAGAAGAAAGGAAAGTCTGACAAAGAATGAAAGCGGTGATAGAACAAGTGGCTTATGCAGAGACTACCGAATTTTTGTTCCGCCCTAGGCCTGGTTAAAAATGATTCTGTTCCAAACTAACCTGTGGAAAGCGGAGGGCTATTTTTGTTCGTGAACACTAGGACAACAGCGCACACCCTTAAGGCGGCGCGTTTTCTATACAATTCCCAGCCTGTCTCAGTTGTGCAAATCGTGAAGGTTTTGCATGATTCTCATGCGGATGCAAGTTTGTCAAATGTGTGGGCCTTCTTGCTCATGTGTAACGGCATAAGGACCCACAGAGGACACATAGGATCGGATACGAAGTGACTCGGCGGCCACAGTGTGCGATCATAGGTTTTCAGTGCTGTGATCATTATCATCATAGTGCTGCAATGATCTCCATCACCTTCATATTCTTGCTGATCATCATATTCATGAACGTAGTGGGATCACCATCTTCATCTTCTCGCTTTTAACATTTGCGGAACGGGGGAACTGGATCAATTTTTTTGCGACTGGGTCAACCGATTTGCAGAGAAGGGGCCATGAAGGGCTATTCTTCGATGCTCCAAGGCCCATTGTTCATGTACACGTGAAAAGATTTTTTTGACACTGAGAGAAAAGCCAGAAGCTACAGTCTTGAACAACAATTTCAAAGCCATCTTGGTGGCTCACCCTTCTTGGTGGTTCAGCATTTACTTCGAGGTAGAAATTGGTGCGCTACGAAAAACATCATTTGCGCATTGAAGTGTGCATTTTTAGAAGGGTTCAATTTTCAATATGACGCAGTGTAAGTCCACTGCCAGTTGTTCTGTGCTCTTTAGATATCAATAACCTCAATAATATTCGACGTCTACGTCTTAGACATTAATACAACAACCTCGATATTGTTCATTAATTTTCACTCAATATTTGATATCATGCACTTTTTGAAAGCGCAATCAGAATTGTCAACAAGTGTTTGTAACAACAGCTACGACTCCATTTCATGCTCGCATAGAATCCACCAACCGACCGGAGACTTTCCCAGTCGTCGGCGACACTGCTGGTGAGTATTTGTGTCCGCTGATATGGATTTTGGGGGACAGGGATTCGCCCAGAGGCGATTTCAATGTAGCATTTTTTGCAGCAGTCTTACTCGCATCTCTTCCCGAAGGTGAGGAGGACAGCAACAATGGTCGTACTTTTCGCATCTGCCGTATGCTATAGTCTTCTGGCTCTTCTTCGTCATCATCTTGGGCTTCTGCTCCATCTTTACCTTCTTGTTTAGAGCCAGCTTGTTGTGCAGGTTGAGTCACTCCCGCAGTTAGTGAAGACTTCATTTCCTTTGGCGGGAAGACATCTTGTGTGGCGTCAACTTCTCCAGCAGCGTCTCCCGTTCGCAACTTCGGCAACTCTTGCCCCGGATTCAACTCCGATCTTTCCATAGCCCGCAAGACAGATAATTGCCGTCTTGTCTCCCTCATCTGCATCTCTACAACGTCATCGCCTGCTACGTCATCTATGTTATGGCCCTCCACGTTATTCATGCCGGCTGAGAACACGCCTGTAGTGCCGAAACCTCCAGACGCGAAAGCACGCATATTACCATGTCCTTCGTTTGGATACTGCAGATTTTTCGGAGAACCACCTCCAGCGGATACAGGCGATAATTGATCACCATTAATACCTCTCATCCGACTTTTCGGCGAGACGCTCCCACAAACTTGTCTTGTTGCTCTATCATCCGCCAGAGAAAACGGTAAAACGCTTTGTGCTGGCAAAGCAGTCCTTACTGCGCGTGCTAGTCGCTCTTCTTGCTGCCGCAACTGCATAGTTTCTCGGAAAAAGGCGTCGTCATTCGTACTCCCAAATTCCTCAAACGATCTGCTGGATGAGGCCATATGAGTTTGGCTCATAGAAGCCATAGTGTTGTTCATAGCCATACCCATAGGGGAACCACCTCCAGCACGACCTGTAACTGTTTTGTTCATAGGTGATCCCGCTGAAGCAGCTGTACCTCTGTTCATAGGGCTTGCAGGAGAAGAGAACCCACCAGCCCCAACCGTGAGCGTACCCACAAAAGCGTTACGTGGTGTCATCTGGGTAGTTGTAGTTGCTCCACCTTTTGGCGAGAACGATGCTCCACTTTGATGTCCAAAGAACCCACCAAAGGACGAGCGCGTCATCTCCCTCTTCCTCGAAGCTCTGTCAGAATAAATTCTCTGGTACACTGCTTGGAGCTTTTGCTTGTCGTACGTGTGCTGGCTACTTCGGTCGGAAGCGTTCGTTCCGTTCGAAAGACTGAAATGCCGATTTTCCAAAAAGGCCTTTGTTCTGTGCTCTCTGGCATTGTGCTGAGCTTTCTCTCCGCGGAAAGCGTGCGAGTCTCTCAAGCCAGTCTCCGGGTCTTCGTAGCGTGACATCCAGGCGCGGTGGTGCCTGAGAGAAAATCATTTTAATGGAAAGTTTTGAGATCAGCAAGACTGAGATAAAAACAATGAACCAGCACAGTCGACTGGATTCAATTTTTTAACAACAGAAAGAAACTGGATTCAATGACCAGTATAGAGGACTGGATTCAAGGACAATAACAAAATTCCAGTCAAAAAACAATGAACCGGTATAGTGGACTGGATTCAAGGACAATAACAAAATTCCAGTACTTTGAGTATCCCACACTTGGAGGTACTCGCTTCTGGAATATCGGAACGGCATCGAGTAGAACTAACTCTGAGAAGTCGCCACCGCAGCCAAGGTCCTCCATAGGAGAAGAAGCAAGCGAAGTAGTAGGTTGCTGCATCATTTTGTAGTCAACGTTAGAAAAGATGGGTGTGAAGAAAATCAGTGCGCATTTGAAGATGATATTGTCGTGAACAAAAGAAATTGCGTTGATGTGTTTATGTGAAATAGGGAAAAAAGGAATCAGTTGTAGGAAGAAATCATTAGAATTTTCACTAGATATTGGTAAGCTGGGGAAAGAATGGACAAGAGGCGCGTCTTTGCGTATCACTAAGTATCACCATATAAGGAACGAATAGGGAAGCGAGGTGCCTGAAAAATTCGTTTTAGAGACAGAGAAGTAAAACTCATTCTTTAGCACAATAGCAATAGGTATTAGACGGTCAGACAGAAACTCTGCTGTGCACTCAAAAACAGAACACGCTGCGGAAAAAGTCGCTCGACAATTATAGATGCCAGTGGTCTCTCAACAACATTTTCAACAGAAACATTGATCCCTCGGTGACCGATGTATGGGAATTGAAAAAACGTCGTGTGCAAATTATTTTCTTCGAAAAAGAACATCTCTCATCAAGCCAGTCGCGAAGACAGAAAACTAGAACAGAGCTGTTCTCTTTTTGGGCTCATTCGATGTTTCAGCCTCTATGGCGACAAGAAAATAAGAAATCATTGGTGCTTCGTCCAGCCCTGTTCATAAAACTGTACTATCAACAATACGTAAAGAAACTTTTCTTGCTAAACCGCTGTAAGTGAAACTTTTCTGTCTTATACTGAAACAAACTTGCTTGGGAAAGCATCTCTGAACTATGAGTAGATTTGAGCTGGCAAGTTACTTGGGCAGGAAACGATCGACTGCTGCTGTGGAATTCTCTGTAAACTTCTAAAAGTGAAATTTTTGTTGTATCTACTACTAGTTATCATCTCCTAGTACTGACATCAAGAATATTCCCATGTTGACAATTGACCAAAACTATATACAACTTTAGATATTGCTGGAACTAAGCTAAGGCGAGAGAAATCTTACCGGTTTGCTTGAACTCTACAACTACTTGTACGTCCATAACTCCTCCCCGTCTATATACAACTACTTGTACGTCCATAACTCCTCCCCGTCTATATACAACTACTTGTACGTCCATAACTCCTCCCCGTCTATATACAACTACTTGTACGTCTATAACTCCTCCCCGTCTATATACAACTACTTGTACGATAACTCTAATCCCCTTGTTCATTACTCTAACCCTAAACCCTATCCCCTTGTTCAGTGCAGTCTCTTATACCAAACTATAAATTCCGGATACACATTATCGGAATCGTAAGTGATGAACTCGCGATAGGTTCCTCTGCATTTTTCGCGGTCGCCTAACACGCTATCGTAATCGCCGTTTACACAGAGAGAAACGAGATTGTCCGGATCCGGGTAAATCGCATCTTCGTAGAGAACGCGGCCCTGTGAGGATTAGTGGGGATAGCCTATAACTTGGCCTTTCAACGTGCAAAAAGAATTGAAATTTTGCAAAAACGATCAATCTATGGTCGACAGTTAATAGAAGTACCAAAACAACCCGGCATATCAAAATCGGATTCAATCCATCCTGCCTCTCTTGTGCGTACTCGTCCGCTTTTGTGCAGCACTCTCCGAAATACACGCCTCTTCCATACAACGACCCCGCATTCGTTCCCGCAAGATTGATCTTGAAATCTTGATCTGTGATAGCCAAAGCCGCTTCCGGTTTCGTACCATGAAAAAGATAGTATTCATTCGAATCCGTCTTGATGTTCTTGTCTTCTCCACTAATCTTGCTCCAGCACTGGTCAAACCGCAAATTACTTCCTGGCAAGATTCCCAGTGTCTTGACCATTTCCTCCGGCTTCCTGCTGTTGTTGTACCTAGGGTAAACTGCTCCTCTAGTGGGCCCATCGGGAGAATTTTCAGCAGCCTCTAGTGTGCGCATCACTTTGTTCTTGCCTTTGAGGTAGTTCACCCAGATCTTGTGGTTCTGGACGTGCATCACTTTCACTGCTTCGTAAGCTCTAGGCACTCCGCCACGACGATCTCGAGTTCTTTTACGGACCATTGCGGCTTAGAACGGGGTCTTAATAAGATCTCGAGAGTATCATACAATTTCAATAAAAAAATATTGTCCCAACAATGAGTAACTCCTGTGCTTAACGGTTGCGGAAAACAGCTCATATCGGTTTCGCGAAACCGTTAAGGGTACAGCTCTTAACGGCTTCGCGAAACGGTTTCGGGGCCGCCTTATCGGTTTCGCGAAACCGTTAAGGGTACAGATCTCAACGGCTTCGCGAAACGGTTTCGGGGCCGCCTTATCGGTTTCGCGAAGCCGTTAAGCGTACAGCTCTTAACGGCTTCGCCAAACGGTTTCGGGGCCGCCTTATCGGTTTCGCGAAACCGTTAAGGGTACAGCTCTTAACGGCTTCGCGAAACGGTTTCGGGGCCGCCTTATCGGTTTCGCGAAACCGTTAAGGGCACAGCTCTTAACGGCTTCGCGAAACGGTTTCGGGGCCGCCTTATCGGTTTTGCGAAATCGGTAAGAGAACAATTCTCAACGGCTTCGCGAAACGGTTTCGGGGCCGCCTTATCGGTTTTGCGAAACCGTTAGGGAAACAGCTCTTAACGGCTTCGCGAAACGGTTTCGAGCCCGCCTTATCGGTTTTGCGAAACCGTTAGGGAAACAGCTCTTGACGGCTTCGCCAAACGGTTTCGGGGCCCCCCTTAATGGTTTCGCGAAACCGTTAAGGACGCGACGGTTTCGGGACGCCCCATATCGGTCTCGCGAAACCGTTAAGAGGCCCTTCTTAACCGTTTCGGCCTTTCTTAAGTAGTGACTGAGGCTTCCGCTAAGCGGTGAAAGTCACCACTTAAGCGAGAGGGGAAGTCACCACTTAAGCGAGAGGGGACGTCACTGTGGTGCCAGCCGTCTTCGCTTAAGTGGTGAAAATCACTAATTAAGTGGCAACAGCGGTCACTACTTCCGCGACTCTGCATAGGTTCGATAAGTTTCTTGATGTCAACTACTAGCCTCTTCTCGTAAGTTAAATCGAAGAATTCCTGCACTATCGTCAGCAATTCATCTCGTGGTTTTCGATAAGCTGGCACTCCTTCACCACCAGCACCACCACGCAATTTCTGCACTACTAATCCCGTGTCGAAATGCGCTGGTATAGAATGCAAATCCTTGAAGAGTTATGAATGAGGAAGGATAGGATAAGATAGGATGCCGTTGCTTCTTTCTCACGCGAGGTGTATCCGGAAGCGCCGCGGGTGGTAATCTTCATACACGATGATGTACATAGGGATTTTTAAGAATAACGGAAGTAGGGAAAGGAATGATGACGACGTAACAAATCCACTGCCTCCTTCGCCTCCGGAGTGTTCTGCAGACCAGCATTCTTCAACTCTGCACTGAAGAACAGATTTCTCAGCGCCGCCTCCAATTGCTTCGCCGCTTCCTTCCCCTCTTGTGATTTCCTGTAGGATGGCTCTTTGCTTGTTGTTTTGAATTAGAAAAGTTCATTTCATCGAATCACAGATACTCTCATCGAGCTGCATTCTTGTGCTCAAAAACTAAAGCGTGACCACAGTGACTGTCATCTCACACTGACTTGAACTAGTGCTCACTTTCAAACCCTTGCAATGACGTATGTCTATCTTGTCTGCTCAATTGATCATCTACACCTCCTTCTCATACCTCTGATGCGGTCCTCCTCCTGATGCTGACGTCACCTGCTTCGCCGCATCCTTCAGCAATCTCAACGCCTGCTTCTGCGGAAACAGCACGAGTTCCGTTTTTGCATTATCATACTCCACGATCGCAGTTGCATTGTACTTCTCAGCCAACTTGATGCTTTTCTCGAGTGCTCTGCGGTCAAAGGCTTGAATAGCAGAGACGAGGTGGCTTTTGATCATGTGTGTAAATGTCTTCTCCAATTGCCCTAGTGCATTCGACGAGTTCGCTGCTTCATCTATGCGCACTTGAAGTTCTGCATGTTTGATGCCGAAGGTTCTCGCACATTCGAGTGCGAAATGGATTTCATCTAGCTTCTGAGGAGAGACGCCTCCACCAACAGCAGAACTAGAACTCTTTTCTTTGGAAGGCGTCTTTGATGGATCTCTAGGTGACGGAACCGGACTTCCCAAACCCTTCCGTATTTTTTCGTCCACACTAAATCTAGCCGCCAACTGTAGTTCGTTTTCTGCTTCTCGGCAAGCGGTGGCGAGAAAACGAGCAAATATTTTCCATCCGCGATTTACTGTTTTTTCATCGCCCTCTTTCAAAGGGCTTGCTAAGCTCCCTGCCTGTTTTCGTCGAGTCCCAGGTGAACCGTCGGAAATAGAAATACCACTTTTGCGTCCGGGAGATCCGTCAGGTGAGTATGAAAAGGCAGAGATGTTTGTGTAGGTCATCTCGGAGCGTAAAAATTTTGATCAGACATCATCAATGTGCGCTATACAGAAATTCAAAAAAAGCGAGCTCCTCACTTCACACCACGACCTTCAATCCTTAAATCTTCACTCCCCGATCTCCTTCTTGATTTCTTCTCCGTCTCACGTCCATCCTCCACTGCCCTCAAGGCTACTGCGCACAATCGCATGTCTTCGTGTTCTAAGGCCCATTTCAATTGGTTCACCGCATCCGCTAATCGTTCTTGGAGCTGTAGTTCTTCTAGGAGGTCCTGTGCTTCGGTGTAAAGTTCGTACAGCTGAGGAAACTTGTCTGCATCCGCGCGTCCGTACTGTTCGCAGGTCATGATGCCTTGTTTCAGTTCCGCTGGCTTCCCTGAGCCGTTAGAGTGTCCGAAAGTAGTAGTAGGCGCAGCAGTAGGAGTAGTAGGAGGAGTAGTAGGAGCAGTAGGAGTAGCGTAGTAGTAGTAGTAGGAGGAGTAGTAGTAGTAGGAGGAGTAGTAGGAGTAGCGTAGTAGGAGTAGCGTAGTAGGAGTAGCGTAGTAGGAGTAGCGTAGTAGGAGTAGCGTAGTAGGAGTAGCGTAGTAGGAGTAGTAGTAGTGTACCCAGTCAGGGGGTATGTGGAGTAAAAAAAATCATAACAACAAGAACAGAAGAGACACGCCTAAACTTCTGTTTCATTCTCAATAGACACAGAAATTAAATTTAACAGACAACACGGTCACCCCTTTGCCTCATAACTTTAATCGCCCTGGTTAATTTCAGTTTCACCAACAGGTCTCTGGCCAGGTTGTCTTCGCGCAGACCAGCTATCTTCGAGTAGCTGAGCATTTCGATCCCGCGTTCCAGTTCCTGCACGTCTTCATTGTCAATCGCACGCTTCAAATGCGCTTGCAAGGTGGTGACGAGGGAAGGTTAGAAACGAGGGAAGGTTAGAGAAGGATTCCCAAACTTCGAAGTTTCGATTTCATACAATGACGAGGGACGGTTAGAGAAGGATTCCCAAACTTCGAAGTTTGGATTTGATTAATCAAACATTGTTCTTTCACGCTATGATCTTCCATTCAATCATAAGTCGAAATAGCTTCTGATATCACTGGGTGCAAGTCTCCTGCGGCGACGTTTGGTGGGGTCAGCCCTGCGAGCCAACATCCTTCCACTCCATCCGTCAAGGAATAAATATCTCCTGCCTTCAACGCCAATTGACAGGCTAACACGTGGTTACCCGGAAAAAAAGGGGAGAAGGCACACATCTGGCATTTCACCCACTGGTAGCGAAATATGAGAAGTGAGCACTTGTTGGGGTTTGGAGGTAGTTTTGGGTGTGGAAAGAAGAATCACAAGAAAATTTGAGATCGATGCGTCTGCTCTACGACTTGCAACGACAACTAGAACTTGTCTGCTCTTGATAAAAAACTACATTTGTTGTAACCATGCGACCAAGAAGAACCAACGTCATTTCCCTACCACTAAGCAACTTCCCATATCATTCGGTGCTGTGCCCAGATAAATGCGCTCTGCTCTGAAGCTGGCATTGAGATTATTCGAGGCTCCTCCTGCTGGCCGACACGGACTGCCGCAACAACTGCACACTAAACTACTCCCCACTGGTACGTCTCGTAGTTGTAACCATTCGCTCCGATTAGAAGCAAGTACTTAAAGTACTTAGACTCTAATTTATTCCAGTGGAAAGAATACTGGAAAAAAGACATGTACTTACTTTGATTTCCAGTGGAAGGAAATCTGTTATAATGTACTATGAGATGTTTGTTAAAAATCAAAAACAAAATGCAGCATTTCGGACAAGAAATAAAATGTAGTTGCAAGAAGTTGTATGCGAATCTAGTATCATGTATCTTCATGTATAATCCACGGAACATAACAGTCGGTGACAATTGCAATTGTGGTCCAATATTTGCCAGTCTACTGCTCATCACCACGCTCTGCCCATCCACGTTCTGTGCCTTCACCGCGGCTTCTATTGAATGTTGTGTTCCACCAGAGCCAGCAACTGTTCTAGTCGACGATGAGGCTGAACTCGAGGTCTTGATCAAGTGCATCACCAACCCCTCTAGCGTTTGCGCGGCCGCTATGTGTAGCCCTGTGTTGCCGAACTCGTCTTTTGAGGTCCACACATCCGCACTCAGTTCCATCAGCTTCCAAGCAACGGCTTCTTTCCGGGTTTTTAGTGCAACTAACAGAGGCGCATTCCCACCACCAAAACCATGCACGCTGCTGCCTTTGCGAACAAGGTAAGCCAAAACGTCCAAATGCGGATTCTTTGGTGCCGCAGCATCGTTTCGACCAGGTGTCATCTGTGGTTGAAAACTTGCGGACATTACTACACTGGCAAGCACGCCACCTCCTGGACGTGCTCCGGATTGGTTCACCATCATCGCGTTTTCGGGATTTAAAGACTTAGAAAGTAGAGGGAGAGCAATCTAAAAACATGACATCATTTTCATTCTTGTCATCGCCCTACGACTTCCTCACCACCGCGCCACATCGTCATGATCATCATAAAGTTTGCACCTCCTGACGCTAGAATCTGTACTATTCGCAAGTTTCCCATGCGCGCGCTGCACCAGAGTGGCGTTTCCCCGTATTGGTTGCGTCCCTCCAGGATTTCTTTGGAGCTCAAAGAAATTCATTTCTTCAGAATCCTGAGAAGGAAATAGGGAGAAGTGGCTTGTAGAAGTGAATTGTTTTGAGCCTTAATTTCTAGCATCTTGTGTTGTTGCTGCGGGGTTAGTCTCCTGTAATCGATGTACTGCGGCACGGTCGGTTGCTGTTGTGAAAGTTGGCCTGGCGCTTGTTGTGGAAGCATTGTTAGAGACATTTAGTATTTTTTAGAGAGTGCCAAAAAAAAGCGCTTGTTGTGGAAGTGCAAAAGTATTTTAGGGCAAAACTATCCTAGGAGCGCTTGTTGTGGCAGTGCAAAACTATCCGAGGAGCGCGTGCGGTGGAAGCATTGTTAGATACATGACCCCAAAACTTTTTTTCCATCTTTCGAAAAAAGATTAAATGCGAGATTTTCTCATCACCTGGTGCAGCCACACGATCTTTTACAACTACACTACTCCCACACCAAAGCGTAACAAGTGTACTCCTGCGCCACTTAAGCATAACACGTGTACTCGCCTTTCAACATAATCATTTACAACTAGTCTAAACTAAAACTCGTGTAACACCAACACACATAACACGTGGACTCCCGCGCCACTGGTGTTTATGCCGCCCACGCCACCAGCCTGAACGACCGCTGCGTGCATTGCAACCACATGCCCAGGCACATAACCCGGATAAATTAGACAACTTTTTTGTTAAGTAATCCTGCACGAAGGTACTCTTCTTAACTACTCCACCTGGAGGATTAAACCCGAAAAGTTTCTGTTGAGAATAGTCAGATAGTGAAATAGAAAATTGTTCATGTTCTTTCAACCACGACACGCAGCTAGACACATAAGATAGAGGTGTCCACCACACTGCCCGACTCGTCCAGCATGAATTTGCGGCCAGGAAAGACCCCTTCGTAAACATCGGGAGCATGAAGGAGGAGAAAATTTTCTCACGTGACAGAAACCCCTGCGTAAACATCTGGAACATGAAACTACAGCCTTTTCTCACGTTAGACTACCCATGACGCGCACATCTTCAAAAAGGAGAAGTCGCATGCAACGGTGGACGAGGCACAGTCACAGTGTGACTTTGAGTGCGTTTTTTTCTTTGCCATAACGGACAACATTCTCGCAGGCAGCCGCATCTCCTTCGTTAACGGCACGCCAGAGTCGGGTGGCTGCTTTGTTTCCCCGCTCGTTGGACGAACCTTGCAAGCAACAATTCATGGCCTTTGCGTTTAATACGGCTACTATTTGCAGAAAAGAAATTCACTTGGGATTCGCAAGCCCATCTGGGTTTGTCGGGTCACTCGTCTGTTCATGAAGGATCGAAAAATATAATAATTCTTTGGCAACAAACAAGGCAGTTTTCGCGCTCTGACAAACCGCGCGAACAACGCCGGCAAACGGTGTAGTCCTGTTGCATCGGACGGCGAAACACCTAACCGAGGCAGCAGGACGGCCGAAGCCGGCGCGGCTGCTGTGAGTTACCCAGGGCCGGGTCCTCCGTCGCGTGTCGACAGCAGGACCCCGCCCGGAGGCGTTGCGCAAAGGGGGCCCATGGCGGGCCGCTGCTTCTCCTTCGAAGCTATGTGGCGGGCGAAGCGCGAAGCCCTGCTCAGCGAAGCCGCGCGGAAAAGGGGAGGCGACGCCAGACGACCGGGCGCGAAGGAGGCGCAGAAGAAGCGCACGCCGCCGCGGACCCCCGGGGGACCGTCGCCCGCGCCGAAGGCGAGCAGGCAAGAGGCCCCGGGAAGAAGATGCGATCGGCGCCGCCTTGCGAGTCCAGACGGGGGACACGAGGGGCGCCCGGCGTTGGCGGAGAGGACTAGCGCGCTGAGGGAGCAGCCGGAGGACGTGGCGGGGCCGCGGGGGTAGGGGCTTTACCACCCGCTATAGCGACCTGCGGGCAGAAAGGCCAGGGCGATTGGCGAACGGCCGCCCGGTATGGCCAGCCAGCGGGCCCTCTGGCGACTTTGTCGAAAGAAGTCGCAGAAAGCCGGGGCGCTTTCGGCCGTTGCAGCGCGTTCGGAACGAGCGTTAGGGGAAACGGCGGGCCGGCTGCTAGACTTGGAGCACTTGGACCGGGGTCAAGCCTATGGGCGCGGGCTCGTGGCCCTTTGCTCCGGGGCCGCTTGTTTTCCCGCTCTTCTGGGTTTCTCCCTGCAGAGTCTTCAAAAGCTGGCGCCCTCCCGGGAGAAGCACGGCCACGGCGGTCCGCGCAAGTCATCAACCTTTCGCGGACCGGCTGCCAGGCCTGGAGCATCAGGCCCGAAGCGAGGCCCGGCTAATAGGTGAGGGCCCGTGGCTCTTTTCCCCCGGGCCGTTCTTTTCCCGCTCTTCTTGGAGCTTTCCCCGCAAAGTCTTCACAGGCCGAGGCCCTGGGAGGGAGCCATGAAAAACCGGCCCGCGCAAGTCGTCGACCTGTCGCAGACTAGCGGCCAGGCTTAGCGTTTCAGCTCGAAGCTAAGCCAATAGGGACGGGCGCGCGGCCCTTCGCTTCACGGCCGTCCCCTCCTCCGCTCTTCTGCGGGTTCCTCTTGGAAAGTCCCCAAGGGTCCTGTGGGGACGAGCTAGGCCACGGCGTCCCGCGGAAGGCGTCGACCCATCGCGGGCCAGTTTGCAGGCCTGGCCCTGGCTGTCCGCGGCCGTGCGCTCGTTTGTTTGCCGGTCGCGGAGCTGGTGGCTGAGGCCTCTCCTCCGCCATTAGATGGCGCGCCGTCGTCGCAATTTTCTTAAAAGCGCGACGCCCTTCGAGTTGTGAAGGTGATCGCCTTCAGCGGCCCTGGCTTCGGGATTTCCTATCCCCGATAAGGGGGTAGTAGACGCGCAGCGCAGAGCCGCGGCCGCCTGGCAGCCGGCCCGCGATAAGTCGGCAGCAGATGCACAGCGCAAGGCCGCCCAGCAGCCAGCCCGCGGCAAGACGACAACAGAGGCGCCGCCCCGAGCTGCCTAGGAGAGGAGCAGGCCCGCGATAAGCCGACAACAGACGCGCAGCGCAGGGCTGGCGAGCACCTGCCCCGCGATAAGTCGATAAAAAACGCGCAGCGCAGAACAGCCAGCCTGCGACAAGTCAACGACAGACGCGCGGCGCAGGGCTGCCTAGGAGCTGGAATGCGATAAGTGGACAAGAGAGGCGAAGGCCAGAGCCCGAAAGGAGCGATAGAGCCCCACCTTCGTGCAAACGAATCGCAAAAAAGTTCTGGCCCTTTCCGCATTACCCCCGCCCGGCGATTAAAAATTGGAAGCGGGTAGGCCTTGCGGCCTACCAATATCAGACCAGACAGGCCGAGCCTAAAACGAAGCAAACTAGAAAGCTTCTCGACATTGAGAGGACTCCGCGGCCATCTGATCTAACACCAGAACCGCGACGCCGCAAGGCGTCGGCGTCCGCTCTATGTCTAGACTCCTCCACAGTCTAGGTGTAGCGATCTGTCTGCGGGTGGTTCTGGTAGTCACGCGCTAGCCACGTGGTGGCGAATACATCCCCGCGCAAGGCTTCGGCGGCGGCCTCTTGCGAGCCTGCCGGAGGCTTTGCGAGGCGGCTCCCGCGGGCTCTGCCCCAGCCTCCCGGGCTTTCCGAGGAGCTTGGAGAGGGCTCACCCATGAGCCTCGACCGGGCTGCCGCAAAGGTTTCGGGGCGGGTCTTGGGGGACCCGCGGCCCCGAAGCAGTCCGGCGCCCGTTATGGTTTTTTCTATGTTCTTGCGGCAGTTTGGAGCCGTCTCTAAGTGTCTTCAAAATGACAGACGGACATGCCCCAGATTGACCAAATTCGCACAATTTCGCCCCCTCACCGACCAGACCCGCCGCGGCTTCATTTCGTTGGGGAGGTGGATCCCCTTCCCCGGATGAACGAAACCCGCAGCGACCTCGGCCGCGTGTGGGTTCTAGTCGCGAGGGCTTCCCGACTCCGAGTGGGCTCCTCGTCTTGAAGGAGTCCAGGGCTCGGCTGGAGCTTTCTGAAAGACAAAGACGGGGAGCGCAATGCACTCGCCTCATAACCCACCGCCAGCCACCGCGCGGCGCCCTCGAATCTCAGGAGCGAACCAAGCACGAAGAAGACCGAGCGGGAAACACTGCGCACGCAGTGCAGCCCGCCACCAGCCACCACAGCGCGCCCCCGAATCTCCTAGAAGAGAGGAAAACGAGAGGGAAACAAAAGAGAAGACAAAGGCAACACAGGCGGGACCGTGTCGACCGGGTCACCACTGGAGAACCACGCGCAGCCAAAGCCGCAGCATCGTCATGCCGTCCCGCCCTTTGCCTCTCTTGTTTCTCGCCCCGCTTCTCGCTCCTCGAGATTCGAGGGCGCGCCGCGGTGGCTGCTGGCATCGGGCTCCCTGCGGTTCAGAAGACCCAAGAGAAAGACGAGGGAAGAGCAGAGAAGACGCACACGCAGCGCGTCGCGGCCTGCCCCGTTTGGGTTCCACGCTCAGCGTAAGCCCCAAGCCTGGCCCGGGTTCCGAGCATGCTGCGAGTTTCAGCCCTGCCTCGAGCTCCAGGCGTGCGTAGGGCTCGCCTGTTTGGTTTGATGCCGGGCGGGCTTCCGGCGGGCGGGTTTGGTCGGCTTGCGCTTGGTTTTTGAATGTGTTCGGTTCGCGTTTCCGTTTGGCGCGGGTTTGGTTTGGGTGTGGTTGGAGTTTGGTTGGCGTTTGCGCGTTGGCGCGTTGGCGCGGTTTGGGTTTGGTTTGAGTTTCGGCCTGGTTTGCGTTTGGTTTTGGTTCAGCTCGAGGCTGGTCGGCGTTTGGTCTGTGTTTGGCCTGCGTTTGGTTTCGGTTTCGTTCGCGTCGGGTTTCAGTTTGGTCACGGTTTGGGCCTCGCTGCGTTTCTTTGGCTTGGGTTTGGCTTAGGTGGGCTGCCTGAGGCTACCAGAAAGCGGCGCACCTTTCCAGATCTTTCAGCCTCGCCCTTCTGGTCTTGGACTTTTTTCCTGGTGGCGACTGGAACAAAGTGGGCACAGGCTAGCAACTTCTGGACCATTCTCGGGCATGGGCCTTCAGGGCTTCGATTTTTTTACCAGTGGCCCTTAGGGAATTCCATGCACGGCCTGGGGGCTTTCCCCTGGGCCATTTCTTGGGTTGAAGTCGGTGGCTTCTGACTTTTTTCCAGTGGTGTTCCAGCTTTTTTTTGCACGATTTAACAACTTCCGGGCAATTTTTTGAACTTGAAACCGGTAGGGCGTGGGGCGTTTTCTTGTGCTGACTAGATAAAAAATCCTGGGGGATTTCCCTTGCCCGGCGTTTAAGCTGCTATCGCGACTAGAAACCGCGCACACGTTGGCGGTTTTGTTTGTTCCCTCCTTTTTTGAATTTTTTCAATTATTAGCATTTTTCTAATTTCCAAAACTGCAGAGCCTCAAACTCTGAAGGCTTCGAGCTTCACAAAATTCAAGCAAATCGCTCCAGATTTAAGATTTTTCAAATTGACATGTCACCGCAGCTGCCAAAGAAAAAAAAGACGGTCAAGCCAATCTTTATCGATGTCATATTTTTTGCCACACGGTCACCCTGAGCCAAAAAAAGGACCTTATTAATTTTTTTTGTGGCAGGTTGCTGCACGGCCAAAAAAATTGGATTGGTGGAGATTACTTTCGCCAAGATTTGTTTTTATTTTGGAGAAGATGATGAGAAAAGTGCAAAATTATAAGTTTTCCTATTTTGATTTGTAGCGAGCACGGGTAAAAATTCGACAGGGTGCTGATTTCTAATCAAAAACATGCTGAAAGGTGCTAGGATGTTGCTTTTTTTCTAGATAGCACTAGAAAAAAGCCACAAGGTGCCGACTGCCAATGGAAAAGGATGGGAGAAAGTTGCTAAGTTGTTGCTTTTTTTTCTAATCCGCACCGATAAAAAATCCACAGAGTGCTAGTCTCAGGCTAAAATGCACCAAGAAGCTGCCGCGTTGTTGCTCTTTTTTCCAGTCAGCATTGGCAACAAGTCCCACGCTGCTGCTTTCAAGTTACAAAGTCGCCAGAAGCTGGACAGGGTTGCCGTTGCTCCTTGTTTCTGTTTGATCCAAGTCCTCCCAAACCAGACCCAAACGAAACCCAAACCAACGAAACCCAAACAAAACACCAACCAAACTGAAAGGGACCCAAATCAAACCCAAACCAGACCCAAACGAAACCCAAACCAGACCCATAATCAAGCCAAACCAGAATCCAACCCAAACAAGTCCCAGGCTGCTGCTTGCAAGTTAGCAAGTCGCCAGAAGCTAAATAGGGCCGCCCTTGCTTCTTGTGTCGGTTTGATCCGAGTCCCCCCCCCAAACCAGACCAAAACCAAACTCGAGCGAAACCCGAACCAAACCCAAACCCTAGCCAAACCCAACCCAACCCAACCCAAACAAGCCCCAGACTTTTTTTTTCAAGTTACAAAGTCGCCAAAAGCCAAAAAGGGCTGCCCTGGCTCCTGTTGTTGGTTTGATCCGAGCCCCCCCCCCCCCCCCAAACCAAATCAAAACCCATCTCGAGCGAAACCCAAACCAAACGCAAATCAAACTCAAACCAAACCCAAACTCAAACCAAACTCAAACCAAACTCAAACCAAACTCAAACCAAACTCAAACCAAACTCAAACCCAAACCAAACCCAAACCAAACCCAAACTAAAACAAAAACCCAAACCCAAACCCAAACCCAAACCAAACCCAAACCCAAACCAAACCCAAACCCAAACCAAAACCAAACCAAAACCAAACCAAAACCAAAACCAAACCAAAACCAAACCCAAACCAAACCCAAACCAAACCCAAACCAAA